ATTTGAGAAGGGGGTCCGCTCAGAGAAGAGGGGGGAGGGGGGGGTGGTCGAGCAGGAACTGACCCGTTCGGGGGGGGTGTTTTGGAAGCTCCTGCCGGGGGGGGAGGAGGCATAGGGGGACGGGGTTTGCTGGAGGCCGCTTTGGGGGGGGGGAGCGGAGCTGGGGGCGGAGGAGGGGGGGTGGTTGTGAGCTCGGCCATCTCCGCTTCAAAGCGAGCGAGCTCGGTATCGAGTGCATCTTTTGGGTCGCCGCTGTACAACAAAAAGACGACATTCTGAAAAAAGCCAGTTGAAAAGCAACATGGTAGCTGACATCGTCAGTTGGAAGACTGCAGAGGGAGAACAAAAAGAGGATCCTAGAGCTGATCACAGAGGTCAAAAGGAGGCACCAAATCAGGCGTCAGCACATGCTCTGGATTGCCTGCATTACGCGTGGTTCAACAAAAGCCAGTGAACCAACGAGAGGCGGGGTAAACAGAAGACTCAGAAGGTTTGGTTACAGGGCAAGCCTAGGGAATATGTACGAAATCAACAGGCGGAGCTTCATTAGAAAAGGGTCAGAATGATTAGCCAGGAGTGCTGCTGTCCCACCCTGTATGCATCGGAGATAACAGGAGTCTATTTCCACAATAAGACCAGCAATGGATTAGAGCAGCCACGGTAGTTGGAGCAGAAGGTGAAGACACATTGCGCTGTCCACAACAGCCACAAAGGTCCCCTCGACTCTACTTGAGCAAAAGTGGCAAGAAGAGCCCCTTCCAAACTCAAAGCTTAAACATGCTAACTCTTCAAGGAGTTCATGTCCAGCTTTTGGGCCTTGCAAAACGCGCACCGACGTGAAGCAGTGCATGGTACAATTACAGCACTAACCAGGGAATCAAAGATGCATTCGAAAATGGACAGAACAGGCTGAGAGGGGTGATATGTCTCAAGCAAAGGGGATCCCATGCTGACAAAGCTTTCTTTGACCCATTTTGTCCCTTTGCGGACTCTAAACTCAACTCAATGTACAAAAGCAAAATCTATTTCAGCGTCCGCATAATACACCACCACCAAACCCTCACAGCCGTCGAATCTCTGTAGATTAATCATTAAGCTTTTTCTCCAGCCATTTGTAAACCTCAGCAGAAGCGCGTCCCTTGAACAGACACCTTCAACAGCTTGACACAACTAGCCAAAATCCAGTCTTACCCTTCTTTGGCAGACTCGGCCATGCTTCCCAAGTCCTTACGAAGCCTTGGCAAGCAACACCACCGAGAATAAGACTTGGATCTATTGTAGGAATAGTATTGACCAGCACCCCGACCGCCCTTCTAATAGTACTAGTCCAAAAGCAGGGTAAAAGCTGTGGAAAAAAGCGACTCGGAACTCGCTCAGGCAGGCAGCAGGAATTTCAGGAGGGAAAGCGGCGACAAGATCTACAACCTTCAAAGTTTAACAATGCCCCTTCTGGAGGACTACTGTTGTAGGCTGAAGGTTTCCAGACGGTCGCCACGGACAGTATTCCGCCCCGCTGGGCAGAATTCCGCGGGGTCCTGCGGAAATTCACGGATTCCGCACACTCTGCCTTTCCGCCCATTGCAGGCCACACCGGAATCAGTGCAGTTGAGCCTCGGAGCAGACAAAGTGCCTATATGCCAAGACGCCAGTGCCACCAGTCAATCAGGGCTTCGATCCGTGTGGTATTTTTGCTGATGTCACCGCTGGATTGCAATGTGCCACGTCCAGAAACATTTGGGCTTGCGCCAGAACAGAGAGAGGGCAATTGGAAAGTAAGTTGAGCGCGAGCTGCCATATGATCAATCATGTTGCAAAACGTGTTGCGACAACGGTTGCCTCCCAATCGCGAGCTCCCCATGCGTGCACTTGACCCTTGATGGCGGCCCACGAATGCACCGCGGCCGCCCTAGGTATAGTCAAAGCCCCTTTGTGTGTTGTTTGAGGCTCGAAGTATGTGAAGTTCATGGTTGGCGGGTGAGGGCAGCGCCGGGGATCCATCATGGTGGCAAGGAATTGCATCCGCGAAGTGAGAAGCTGCTTAAGGCGTCGATCTAGGGAGAATTTGAGCGAAGTGCTCAGTGGAGGTCCTAGCAGCTTTGATGGTTAGTATGGATCGTCGCATGGAATGATCGTCTTGGCGACCTAAAGACAACACCTTAGCGTGCCCTTTTTTCTGCTGACATTCAGCTTAGATCGTTGAGTTCATTGAACTGCTTGTGTGACTCATGCACCGAGTCCATCATCATTCTTTCACCATGCAAGCTGTAAACAAGCGTGGTGCGCCAGATTATGGGGTAATAAGTTGTGCGCCCGGTTGATATTGCGCGACGTCGGGATGAAAACGAGTGACCTAGGACACTTCAGTCTTATTTGAAAAGAAACAGGAACAGCGTGAGGATGTTGACAGGTTGTCTCCTCAAGAACCAGCCTACAAAGTCACCACTGCGACAACACTCTGACTCGCTTGTATCCCGGAAGACCAGTTTTGGCCCTTTAGTTTGACTCCAGATTGGACTAGGCCATTTGGTTCTTCATCAAGAACTTGCCTGAACGGGCATCATACGACCAGTTGCACAAATACAGAGGTGGGAACAAAGGGCCGATGCCTGCCATCCGTCGGTGCTCCAACTCCGCTTCAAATGCCTGCAGGTTACGAACGGAACTAATCAAATATTGTCAGGAAAACACAATTAGACATATGTGCACAACGAATGCGGTTGACCAACGGAAAACATGGCTTCATGCCAACGTCGTACATGCAAAGGAGTTGACGCGGACTCTCCTATGAGTACCTTCAAAGCGATACAAAATTGGACAGAAAGGCGGTAAGGAAGGAGGAGGCATGCCCCCAGGATGGAACCCACCGGGTTGTCGTCGTGGTCAATCAGTCCTCCTTCCTGACGTCAAACCCATGAATCCCGAACTTTAACCCCCTTGATCCATACACCCAGACCCAAGATGTTCGAGTCCCCCAATGACCGCCCAAAAAGTGTCGGCTCAGTTGCTGCGGGAAGGAGTAGTGACGGCCCCGTATAGCGTCCCCACAATTGTTATGGCTGTCAGTGGGTTTGTTACTTTACTAACCTCCTCAATCCCAGACTTCAAACCTGGGTAACCGAAACCTAAATTCGAATAAGTGAATCCCCAACAACCACCCGAAAAAGTCCGCTCACCTGCTGAGGAAGGGGTAGGCACGGCTCCAAGGTGGAGCCCACCAGGTTGTTGTTGCTGTCGATGGGCTTTCCAAGCTGAACACCAAAACTGACCTGAATCTCATACTTCAAACCCCAAAAACTAAAAACTAAACCCCAACAAGATACTACCAACAACCGTCCAAGGAGTTGTGCTCACCTGCTCAGGAAGAAGTAAGCACGGCCCCAGAATGGATTTACACCCTAGAATTTCAAATCGACATCCCGAACTGTTTACTTCCAGAGCCCAGAAACCCCGATAACTATCTTAATATGGAGTCCCAACCGTTTACCAAATAAGTTTGCTCACCTGCTAATGAAGGAGTAGGCACGGCCCCAGAACGGAGCCCACACGGATTTTATGGCTCTCAGTGGGTTTGTCAATCTGAAACTAAACTCCTGAATCCTAGATTTCGAATCCAAAAGCTAAATCCAAAAATTGATTCCCCAACAACCGTCCGAAAAGGTCCGCTCACCTGCTGAGGAAGGAGTAGGCACGGCCCCAGAATGGAGCCCACCGGGTTGTCGTCGCTGTGGTTGGACTCGTACACCTCCCGGACGCCGGACGCCTCGGGCGTGGCCACTTCGGACGGGATGTCGGACGGCGCGTAGCACCAGGTCACGCGCACACGCTGCTCACCGGGAAGGGTGCCTTCCCACAGTGCCTGCACGGGAGAGTTGTCTTTGTGTGTGTGTGTGTCTTTGCCGATTCCTACCACCACAAGTCGACCGACGTAGAGGTCCTATTCAAATCCACTCTCTTTTCTGTCTCGAGATGCTTCCTGCGTTTCTAGGTTTTAAGCATATTCACAAGCTTCTGGTCCAAAGAAATGAGTGTGTCTTGACGCGCCATCGGCGACCAACCGAATCCTCTGGAGATTCCATTGTAGTCGATATTGCGCCCACAGACGTTATAAGGTCATCGTGAGGTGCTCCGCTGTCTTGGAACTTTCGGAGCTTTCGCCTCTCAGCAAACATTCCTGAAGTTCGTTAAGAAGGGGCCGCCAACGTCAAGTGCTCTGATTTTTTTTTTTGGAGACTCTTCTCAGCGACTCCGTCCCCTCAAGCCCCCTCTTGCACGCTGACGGCCTAATAGAGTCTGACTTGACGTAGTGACAGTCTAAAAGTTTCGAGAATCTAACAGGACTCTGCAAACATCTATTGCCACGTTGCGCTCTTAGAAGTGTTTGGGAGCGCCGCCTTAGTTTGCCTACTCGCATCGAAGGGAGGCAGATTAGACACAGAAGCTTTCTGACGGCCTGAAGCACGGCTGCACGACTTCTATGAGAGCGTTTCACAAGCCAAACGCGGCAAGGGGGGGGCTTCTGGAAGGGACTGAGCAAGCGGGCCCTTATGAGGCTCTGCATATAAGTCTTGGCTGTTACCCCCTGCCACGAAACGGAGAGCAAACCTCGCAGGTGCTACCGCTCATCGAAATCCTCGTGAAAGCACCTCTCACCTGTATTCTTCCCAGGAAAGGGGGGGACCCCGTAGTGTCTGACCGCAGCTCGACGGTGTCCCCCTCTCGGTAATGCCGCCCGTTCAGCACGCACTCTCGATACAGCACCGAACCGTCCTCCTGCTTCAGCCCCCCCCCCACCCACGTCAGCGACCTTGGACCCGCTGACGTAAGCGCGAGAGCGGTGCTGACGTCAGCAGGCGTTCCTAGAGCCCCATCTCCCTCTTCAGGCCTCGCTTCGGCCCCGTTCCGGGCATGGGTTTCGGCGGCCGGAAGCAACAGCGGGGGCGTCTCGGGCCGCTGCATGACGACGCCCTCCAGAACCGGGGTCCCCCGGATGACGTCACCCCGGAGCGGTCTGCTGACGTCACCCTCGCCGGCCGGCCGCTGCCGCCCGCGGCTGCCAAGAAGGTCCGCCGACCTTTCGACCGATGAAGTCCCCTGATTGGCGGCTCCCCCCGCCGGCGGAAAAACGCGCCCCGGCGCGGTGGAAACGCTCGCCCCCAGGGACGCGGCGAGCACGGCCAGGGGGCTCGCCCTGCCCGCAAATCTACCCCCCTGGAACGGTACAGCTGACCTCGCGGGCACCGAAGGAGCAGCCGGGGGTGCCTGCGCTTTGCAGAGCGGGCAGGCCCATTCCTGGTCGTTCGGAAGTGGGGGCGTCTGGGGGGGTAAAACGCAGCGTGTGTGGTACCCCCGCTCGCAGACGTCACAGACGATGATGGCGTGGGTGACGGTTTCTTGCTGGTGGCACATGGGGCACGTGACAGGAAAGTCGACGGAGGAGCGGGGGGAGAGGAAGGGGGCAGTCGCCAGAATCTGTAGGACAGGAACAGATTTCGGAAGTCGAACCCTGTCGAAATTGGCCCGTTTGGAGGCTCGAAACAAATTTAGATAGAACGAGGCAGCTCGAAATAGGCCGGTGGCAAACTGAAAGAGCTATACCACAAGAGGACTCGTTTTCATGGCAGCAGGCTTTTTGAAGTTCTGATCAATAAGCGAAAGGCCCCGCATATTTTGTTGGGTTTAATTTGAGCCCGATGTCCTCTCAGAAGAAGAGGCAAGCGAGGGAAAATGCCGTTCAATTTTAGGTTGACAATGTTGCTCACTAGTGGCTTGTTGCTGCCGCTCCACAAAGTGTAACATACCCACGTTAAAAAGCGCGCAGAGTCTTATTTTGAGTCAAACCGCAGGTCAGAGCTGGTGACCACTTTGTTTAATGTTCAGACATGCAGAGCTCTCCAACTCAGCTCAAGAAAAGGACGAAGCAGAACGATGACGCAGTTCCAAGCGACACCAACGCAAAGGAGAACAGGTTGTGCGAGCGCGTCGCACCTGCTTCTCGGTCTGAATCGTCACGTGCTTCTGTAGAATGGTCTTCTTCGCCTTCGCCAGCTGCTGCTGGTGCGTCTGGAGGGCCACCGATTGTTGCCGCAGCTGAGACAGCTTCAGCTGAACCTGAAGACAGCGAATGGTAAAGAGGGTTTGAGAGGAGGGTTAGAATTCGAGTTGTGGGCTGCCCAAGAAAGGAGAGTTGCATGCTGTTCGCCTTTCGTTGAGAAGGCTTCTTGCCGTAGCTAGACAGCTTCAGCTGGACCTGTAGACGGCGAAGAAAAACGAGAGGGTTTGAGAGGACGGTTAAGAAGCGGGTTAAGGGCTGGCCAAGAAAGGAGAGTCGCATGCTGTTCGCCTTTCCTTGAAAGCTTTCCTTCCGTAGCCGAGACACCGTTTCCGCTGAAGCTGAGGATGGCAAGCGGGAAAGCGTGGATTTCACCAATGGGTACAAATGGAGGGGTTAAGCAAGCGTCAGAGGCGGGTCACGATGAAAAATAAAGAAATGGGGTACCAGTTGGCCAAAGAGGGAAGGTTTCGCAAGCGGCTTGTCCTGACTACCCTTCAGTCGACGGCTCTGCTTTATGGGGTCCATCTTTTAACCTCAGGGCAACCGAGCAAGCCGGTCTCTGGTTTTGCTTTCACTAATAAATCTCTTCCAACGTTCAAATCTTCTTCATGACCCGTTTTTCAAAGCTCTCATTTAAGGAAGAAAAAGGGAAAGATCGCTCGGCTCACCTCTCTGAGCATCGCCAGCGACTGGTCCTCCACCTCGCGTTCCTGCGCCATGTAAGCTTCCAGCTGCTGTTGCACCTCCGCTAGCTTTCCGCTGACGTGCTGCTCGATCAGCTCCACCTGCCGGAACTGCGTCAGCAGCTGCTGTTGCTCGCGCAAGTGGGCCTGCGTAAGGGTTTACGTGTCAGGTTGAAGAGTGGATCAGCGCTGGTTACCAATCTGACCCTCGAAGGCCATGTATGCTGAGCTTCGAAACCTCTTCACCAGCAACAGCTGCTGCTATCGTGCGTCTGGACCTGCAAAGCTGGGTTGCAACACGAATTTGAACGGAAACTTTTGAAGGCTTTAAGTTGGAAAGATCCTGAGTATGTACCACCCGACGCAGTCAAGCGAATTGTCTGTACCTGCCGGGACTGTGACAGCAGCTGCCACTGCTCGCAAGTGGGTCTGCCGAACGGAAGTAGGTTTCAGTGTTTGAAAGGATATGTAAGCACTAGACGCTGAGAAGGTGCCAACTATGAGGGAGCAAAGATTGCGAGCAGATTGTCTGCACCTGTCGGAAAAGCGTCTGCAGCTGCTGCTCGCGCAACTGGCATGCGAAATGGGGTTGGCCAGGGGGCCGGCAATCAGGTAAATAATCATATGTCATGAGTGGCCTACCCCGCGGGAGTGCACTCTGAGTGACCGTTCCAAACGTGCTTTACATGTTGCGCCCTACACAAGGCCACCGCGAAGGGCAACAGGCAGTAATCACGCAACAATCGCCCCTGGTGGCCAGCACATCAATCTCAATGGTGCGATACATCAATAAAGCTGAAGTTGATCTCGATTTCCTCCTGCACCACAATTCCCGTCCAGTCGCGAACACAAATACAGGGAAAACGGGGCGAGCCTTTCCTTCACATCATACCAATATGAGATAAGTGGAATCTGCACCGCCTCAAGCCGCACCTCGATCTTCTTCTGCACACTTTTCCGGTCCGGCAGCCCCGTCGGGATCCCCACTTGCCAGGGCGTTTGCTGACCGGCCGCTCGGAGTTGCTGATCCAATTCGGTTAGGACTTTGCCTTGCCCTGCTGCCAATGCGATGGCAGCCGCTTCCGTGGGAGTGACTTGACCGGCCAGGGGGGGGCCGTAGCGAACATTCGGGGGGGTCCTTGCAGGGGTTTGGGAGGGGGGTGTCTGGGAGTATGAAGGACCTGTAGGAAAGTGGAAGTGGAAGAGGGTTGACAGGATTTCAAGGGGAGGGCGAGGTTCAGTAGTCAAAATAAAACGTTCCTCGAGAGATGTTCGTTTGATTTGTTGCTGTCCAACGTCAAACCGTTTACCTCAAAGAAGAGTATAGAAGTTTGACGGACAGAAAAGCTGGGCGATCCACGGTTTCGTTGTGTGGTATAGCAGCCATTGCCGAGGAACCGATTTGACACGAGGACATCAGCAAAGAGTGCACGCTGAGCTCTTGTTACCTCCACCTCCCTAGGGTTGCACAACGTCCGAGGCATCAAGCATATAGAGTTCACGCACCGGTAAAGTCAACTGCAGACAAGAGGACCTTCCGAATACAAGCAGCAAATTAATCCTACTGAGGGCCAGGTTGATTCGAACTAGCAAGCCCCAAAGCGTTCAAAATCATTGGCAGGGAAGTTCGTTCACTGGAACGGATCGCACCCTCTGAGGACATTCGGTGCACCAATCTGTAACAAAACAAGGTTTGAATATGCAAAGAAATCTTTGAGGACTAACCAGTCGCAGGCGTGATTTGACTGCGGGCTCCGGGCGGCTGAGCACCGCCTGCCGTAAGGCTGGGAGCGCCTGTTTGCTTTGCCAGCAGCTCTTGTGCCGCGAAAGCCGTAAGCGCAGCCACAGAGGGGGAGACCTGATGTAAAGAAGAATGACGAATCCACATTACGAGACTAGAACAGCTCAGGGCAATTTGCCACAACCTTCCAATTGGCGGTTAGGGATGGCTAGATGACTAATGCATAGCGTCCCACATACTACCCCTTAGAGGGTTTGTAGGCATCAGCTATCTGCATTTAAGCTGGTCAGCTGAAGACTCGAATCTGCGGGACCTTACCATTCAAAAATGCTTGTGAATATTGATGCAAAGAACAGTCTGATGCCACAAGCAGGATTGAGATTTTCAACGCACCGAAAGTCTAACATTGAAGCAACCTGCAGGCCCCCTTACTGTTCACTCACTGACTCTAGCTCCACCGCTTCCTGCGAAGAAGTGGCACTTTGTTAGTGTCTTCAAATAAAGAATGGATGTTCTTAGTGTCCCTACCTTCCTGGGGATACGGGCTTCTGGGGCCTCTGAGGGATCCCCCTGCTCGTCAGGACGTTCCTGGACCTCAGCCTCACGCAGACCAAGGCTCCGCAGTGTGTGGTCAATCTGCACAATCAAGCACCAAAGGTTGACACACAAGCCGGACAGCAGAAACTGCACCTTAGGGAACAAGGACACTCGGTAGCCAGTTGCGATATAACAAGTGCATGACATGAGAGAAAATCTGGCCGCTAAGAGCAACCATAAATCTTTGCAAGGCAAATCGTTTAATTGTGCTTTTCAAAGGCTGGAGCTCTGTCAAACACAGCACGCTTGCAAGTCAACTAAAACTTGATGCTTGAGCCAACAAGGCATGAGAGGTTCTGGCTCCTTCCTGATCTTTCGATGCGCAGGAATCACCATAAAAGCTCCTCACAATTGAAACACAGACAGGCCCACTTCAACTGAAATCATCTACAGCGCTTGGGCAGGCAAGCAATCAATCCTCAGCACTGCACCGGCCAGGTTGAAATGATCATTGGACTTAGTATCTACCAAACACATTTTTGTGGCGTTTTGAAAGCAATTACACTTGATGTATTCTGAATTCCTGAAAGCAACAACAGCAAGAAGACACTCACCGCCCGTTTGGACACCAGTTCGTTTGGAAGCGTTTTTGACGCAAGGCGATAGACATTCTCGTAGGCCTCCGCCATCAAGTTATCCTCCACCTCGGTTGGGGGCCGCCCAGCGCGCACCTTGGCCAATTGAGATAGTGTCAAAAGGATGACAGACGTGCGGTCCAACAGAGCCTCATCGTTGTTGACACTGTTTCTCACGCCGTTGTCTGGAAAACTTCCCCTGCCCTGATTGGTTCCTCCTTCCCTGTCAGCGCTTGCATCAGCTGAATGCGTGTCTGCTTGAAGCGGTGTGCCAGAGCGGTGTGCCACCTCATATGCTGACTCGTTTGGAGTTCGCTGGTCCACATGCTCATCAGGAGGGCCTGCACCTTCAGAGAAGCCAGTCTCATATGTGCGGCCCTCCTTTGCAACAACTCCTCCATCAGCACCACCATTTGTGCCGCTTTCAGACTGCCCAGGCATATCCTCAATGGCCTCTACGCCATCACGTGGACTTTTGGTGTCCTCAGGCACCTCTGGCACAGCAGTCTCCGCTTCAGGAGTCATCGTTTCTGCTTCCTGCGCAGGAGTGCCTGGCAGGAGTTTAAAGTCGGTCGCTGTCGGTGTTTCATGCTGCGGTACAGTGTCTCTCCCATCGGCGCTAGTCACTACATGCTTAGCTGGCCGGCTTTCCTCCTCAGTGTCAGAAACTCGTTTGCGTTTTGCACCAGCAGTGTCTGAAGCCACTCTATCAAGAACACGCTGCAACGCAGGCAGGGCGACGTTGAGCTCTTTCAACAAGCTTCCTACTTCAGCCAGAGTGACAGAAGCGATGACGTCGGTGTTTTCGCCGTCTGACTCTCCTAACTCTCCCAACTTTCCATTTGGAGGAGCTTCCTCCATTGCTGCTGAGACCTGCACCTCCGCCATTTGGCTGGCCTGTCAACGTGGCAAGAGAAGGGATCAAGATCTTGGGAAATCTTCTCGGCTGCAACCTGTGCCTCCAGAGCAGCTCAAGCCGATGCCAATGCTACAATGCTTAGCGAAGTCGCGCATGGCAGGCCAGCGCCCCTTCGCGCCACTTCAAGTTCTACTACCTAGCTAGAGAGTGCAAACTGCAGACTGCAGACCTTGAATGTTTGAGCTGCTCGAGCGGGATCACGCTTCAAAACCCGCAAACCCGGCCGGCAAATGCGATCGCGCGCGGCCGCGCAGTCGCTGATCAATCGACGATATCGGACCCCGGCCGGAACGCCGGCGGCCTAGACGGTAAAGCTGCCCGGCCAGACTGAGAAATCGACATCCAATAGTGAGGACAGGGAAAAGCTATCTGACTGAGTATGCGAACAGCACGTCCCTGATCAACCCATCTTTACTTGAGTATATTTGCCAGCTGGCCGCGAGCACGTCAGTACATCGCCGCGGCAAGCATGATGGCGCCGTTTCAATGCGCAGCTGTGATCCAGGCAGAAGACTTGGGCGAAAGCAGGTAGGCCAGCCCCCATTGATACCCGATGTCCCGTGAGATGGCTTGAACTAAACGGCAGGAAGACTCTACGTCGCTTTCTCGCTTGACCCAGCAGGTTTTGCTCCATGAACTGTCTGCCACCAGATTTGCAGGGACGTGCTACATGTGCAAAAGATCAATGGAGCGTCTTACAGCAGTCTTACTATGTTGACTGCGTTTTTCTTTGCTTCCAAAACTAGTACTTCGCGATGTCGCAAAAGCTAAAATCCGAGTGGTTGGTAAGAGTGTCAGTCTTTGAACAAAAGCCCCTGTGAGGAAGGATCCGTGGAGTCCACGATGTCGATCCTACTCTTCAGCGACTGGGATTGAACGGACATGAATAAATTTGAACTACCTGAGTTTCATTCACTGCCCCCTGATTATATTAAGTTACTAGATTAGTAGAGGCCCCCTAGAGGCCTTTTGGCAGCTATTCAATAATGAAAGACGGTTGAATAACTTCGTAGTCTGGCAGGAGGGGAGCAAGAGGACGGAAGTTTTTAGGAAGTTTTTCCCACCTTCGATCTGATTATACCTCTTCCGCTGAAGGATGTGATTAACCACGAGATGTACCTTGCGGGAATCCGTTACTCATTCTGTCACACTTTCTTGTGGCAAGCATTCATCGACTCTCCTGCAGCACCATCGAGGATCATAAAGCAGATGGACTCGACGAAATCGAAGCTGGTAATGACGTACAACTCATATGATCCGGTTCCAACTGGGCTGACTCCTCTCTTGTTAAAAGTGGATCGAGCTGGATGTCGACAATCTAGACGTCCAAAGAGTCTGATTAAATTTCAACCAAAATGTTAACCGTAATTTAAGTAGAGTCTCACTCAACTTCAACTCGGGTGTAACTGAAACTTCCTGCCTCACATTCCAGGCTGGAGGAATATACGAAGGCCTTCAAATGCGCACAGCAACGGTTCCAGGAGCAGATCAAGTCTGAAGAGCGATTGGAGGAGCCCTTTCACACGGGCATCTACATGACTGTCGACGAGTTTCGCCGGTGGCAGACTCCGATCAGCCCCACCCACGAAAACGTTGTGTGGCTACACCAGGGGGAGGTGCTCATATTGGGCAGCTGAGAGAGTCCGGTGCTGATTGCAAGGACGGCGCTAGACTCAATGCGCGAGGCGGTTCATCAAAATGAGAAACTTGGTACGTCTGTAGCTCGAGCGTTGAGGAAAGCTCGGTCGTGTTGGGGTCTTTCGATACCTGGCAAAGCGAACTAGTGTGCGACAGAATCTTGTCATCTTGGCAGGAATCGAAGAGGTTACTGTGCGACCGTGAATTGGCTCCTGGGAAAAGCTTTGAGACGAACCTGCTTTGCCCAAAAAGGACTACTTGCTGGAATGACGGCGGAAGCCTTACGTCAGCATGCCCCTGGCCTTATTCTCGTGGCAAGCATCACAGAAGCGGAACAAGATTCTCTAAGCTTGCGAAGGGCAACCCTTTTGGGCCGTTTCCGACTGACCAAGATCTTTTTGAGCAACTAAAGTTCGTGAGGTTGCACGAACACAAAGTGCTGGGTATCTGGTGACTGGGAAAGTTTCTCAAAGTTCAAGTGTGCTTACGCAAAAGTCGTTTTCGTGCAGTGGCCACAGGGCCGCTCGGGCGGATCCCGATTCGCGAGTTCAGGGCTCGTTTTCGCGCCACCTCTGCTTTCTACGAATGTTCAAAGGCTGCTTGCCACCTGTCCTGGAAAGTGGGCGATCGTAAAATTCCGAATATTGCCCTGCACGCTTTTGAACCCTGGGCGGCGCGGCCTTTCATGCAAGCCTTCGGCCTCGGGTGAGTTTCTCGAGGATTCGCTCTACGTAGGAACCTGCAGATTTCTTTGGACTTTGTACTGGAGAGCATAAAAGCACGGTCAAATACTTTTCTTCAGATGGTGCATCAAAGGGCAGAGCAGTGGGCTTATAATCCTTACAGCTTGGTAAGCAAAGGTCTTTTTCGTAGTCTTCGAGTTCATCTGGTTCTGCGTGAGCTGGATTAGAAAGTTTGAGTCTTACTGAAATTCAATCCGGGTGACAACGTTGCACCCGCTCTACGGGCTGAACATTTGTACAGGCGTCGACCCAAGAACTTTTACCACTTCATATCGAGGTTCATTCGACGCACGTAAGGAATCAGTATCCGAGACAGAATCCGACATGATTCCGATTGAATTTAGAAAGTCCTTTCTGTACCAAGCGGGCTTCAAACTGGGCGAGTCGTAAGTGTAAACACTTTCGTTGTTTCATAACTCACCGATGCGGAGCACCTGTCTTTTCTACAGTCTCGACGTCCTCCTTTGACCGAAATTCGTGTGTTTTGGAAGCAGGCTCCCAATTGCAACGGTATCAAATTCTATCGTTGTAGGATCTTAATTCGGGAGCTTTCTCACTTCCACTCGTTTCAACGCCCTTCTTTCGCAGATTCATGGAGGCCTTTCCCAAATGCAACGTCTTTCTGGGCTTCTCTCCGAACCCCACCTCTGTTCAGGCGTTTGCCATGGGGCGCGATCCCGCGGATCCGAGCGCAGAACCGGTCGTGCAAACCGATTTGAAAGCCGACGAACTCTCAGTCCCTCTAGCGGTCATCTTTCAGGAGGGAGGGAGAATCTTCCTGACAAGCTGCAGGTGAGCTCACACACGGCCGTCTCAGTGGGAAATTTTGACAGCTGTACAAGCGCCCGGGGGACTGGGGGGGTTAGTCCTGGATTAGGACGGGTGCGAATGGAAATGCATGAATGGGTTCTTATTAGGGTTCAGAGTTTCACTTTGTTGAGCCCTGGGCCCGCCCTGGGCTTCTAGCTGAGACTCTTTGCTCTTCAAGCGCGTTCATTTGGGAAAGTCAACCCCCGCAAGACTTGTCGCTTTATGCGGACAGGAGGTTTAGGAACGGCTCCTGGCATGCCGCAATTCTGGATGCGTCTCAAACTGAACTACGTGAGTGGGAAGTCGGCGAGGTATTCGTCTTCGCATACCCGCGCTCAGTGGAGCTGGCACACAATATTGACTGGCGCGCAAGCGTTCTCCGACGCGTTGCTGAATGCGCAGATCAGGCCTCGTGAAGCAGCTGATTGCAGATTGTTCAAGTGCCGCGCCAATCTGAGGCACTCAACAAAACAGCAGTATGAGGAGCTTCCAGATTGGTCAGACCTGGCATTACTGGGCTCATCATTGCAATAACGCGACTCTTCTTGGCATTCTCCTTCTTGACAGGCGAGTGCCGATCTTAAGATGTAACGCTGGACCTGAAAGTGGCCCACCTGGACTACTTAGAATGGCTCGGGTATTACCTCAACGGATGGCCGCCAGAATAGGGAGCGCGTGAAGCACGATGGATGAAAGTAGCTGGATAGAATAGTTGAAATGTTTGACAAAGCAATGTTCAGATATCAGCCATTTTTCGCGGCTGCTAGTATGAGCAACCGAGTTGTCAGATCTTCGTGCATATTTTGACAGTTTGTACGGCTATTGGACGAAACCTTCGTCAACTCTTACCCTCTTCGTGCAGATAAGGGGGAAAAGTGGGGCATCGGAGCACCGTCAGAATAGCGGCGAAATAAGATCGAAGCAGAACTTCCACAACCCGCCTCTTGACCCGTTGATGCCAGAATAAGCGATGCAATCGTCATAAACCTGGCGGCTTTCAATTAATTCGTTGTTTTCACACATTCACACTGTGCTTAAGTAATTACGTGCCAGGTCGATCAATGACATCAGACTTTCAATGGTGATCACGTAAGTCGTAGAAGATACTGAGGTTAGTACCCCAGTGTGAGCTCGAAGGCAGCTCAAGCCTAGACGCTGCACTGTGCACGCGTGCATTGGTGCATACTGACTATAATCAGTCTGTACACAACGGTGACCAAGATGCGCGGCAGGTTTGAAAAAGTATTTCGTGACAGGAAGATATATGGCGCCAGTAACATGGAAATATACTGGCTAGCTTGGCGCTCGAGCGGCATGCGCCGGCCACAGTCATCAGAGTCCGACCGTCGAGGTTTTCACCGAAATTGATTGCGCAATGTATTAGCTAGGAGAATGTATACATCCGTTCAACTTTCGATTTCGGCCCGGAATCAATTCCACATCTTTGCCTCAAGGAACCTTAAGAATTTTCGTGATCGTGCCTATACCTAGACTTTCATATCATCACTGAGTCATGTCTGAACATCACAGAAATGAAATGTCGGCCTACCACATGCGCCACACCTTGCCTCATCCGTGCCAGACTGTCGCAATCGTGAAGCTCATGACTCATAGCCTTCAATGATTGACTTGCATGGCATTAAATAGAAAACGGTTTCGGCCTCACTGAGCCGCTAATGCGCTATTACATCGTTCCCGCACCTTATCATTGTTGCAACGGCAGTTTTCTGTCTCTAACATCATTGTCCCCTCACGAAAAGGCTCCCTTCAACGTAGCACTTACGATTCTGCTTGATCCGGGCAGCGCAGCGAGCGAGTCTGTACCAGAAGAAGCCAAACAACCTCATCAAGACGCTCATTATTGAACCCAACGCACCGAGACACCACCGAAGAAATGCGAAGTACTGCACGCTTGTGACATATTGATGTCTCGAGATCTTGCAAGAGCCTAAGACATCACAGACTACGAGCAAGTCGCGTTAGCACGTCGTCGTTAAGACACAGCTGAAAAATTCAAAACGGTATCCCTTCGCAAGGTCGTTTGGAGAGTCGGCGTCAACCAGCTTAGTCTTTCGTCCGAATGCTACTTAACGAAGCAATCAGCCTTATCTGGGCCTACCCAACTTTCATTCAAACCGTTTCCTCGCGCGAGCGGGGCAAGAAGGGACGGCTAAGAGACTTCCGGCTTTGCGAACGGTTCAGAATGAAGAAGAAAGCCGAGGGGGATCCCCAGAAGTTGCCACGTGGCGGAGCTGACTGACCTCGGCCTCGAGCGTCATTCTCGACAATTGGAGAATGAGGCGGGGGCCAGGTTGACAGCTGGCAAGTGATGTCGAGCTACAAGCTGGTGCTGACGAGGTGCTGACGTCGGTCTCTCGCTCCAAACCAAACCGGAGCCGCCCATGAGCGTCATGAGCCGTCCACTGGTGGAAAGAGAGGGTTGGTTAGCAAGTGAATTGAAGGAGCTCTTCCTAGAGAAAGTGGAAGGGATGCAATAGCCGGTGATGAAAAAAGCAGAGAGGGCTCTCGTATTTAATGGGTAAAACAGAGCAAGAGCGCGGTATGTTCCTGTCAAATTACATAAAGACGACGTCCATTCAAAATTCTATCTAGTCGGCACACACAGCGAGACGTGTAGATCGGAGCACAAGGCCTGTTCGATTTCACGACAGCGTGGACGTGCAGGTCACGACCCTCGTCGAGCTGCCTCTAAAAACCTTGTTCGCCAAAAGTTGGACGTGTCTGGCGCCTTGGATATGCCCAATTGGTCACAACTGAGATCTTCGAGCAAGCTACTTCGAGTACCTTCGAAAAGGTACACGGAAAGTCGCTCCTAAAGCAATCAGCGTCTTGCCATCGTGCGCCGTCCATTCCTCTTCCCGCTGGACGTCGTTCGCGATCGAAGAAGTATGGGACAAGGCAACATGCAGCCCAAGACGCGGGACACGTGAAAGGTGTGGCAGAAAGCAAAGCCGGATGACAGTCGTTTATCAAACGAGGAGAAACTGCCAAAGCGGTGGCTGTGCTCACGCTTGGATGGAAAATAACAGCCGCGGTAGCGTCTGGTAGGTGAGCTTCTGCGGGTCCGGGATTCGGCGATGGTGTGTGAGAAAAAAGTTTTTCGTCATGCTTGAGAGATGCTGGCGAGAGGAGCGCGTGGAAGCGGCACCGGGACGCCGGAACTGCTCCACGTTCACCCAGGAACAGCAGGGACTCGACCGCCACAACGCGCCTCTGCACGAGAGGAAGTGACAGTCATGATCTAAGAGCACTGACAAAAATTGGAAGGGTTTGGAGCTAGCTGCTGAGCTCGCACATGCTGTTATCGAGGGACCTCTCAAAGCGCCCTGAACTTGGTGCATATAGGTGCCAGGCAGAGTCTCGGCCAAGAAACAACTGAGCCCCGATGTCACAGTGGGCTGCACATTCTTAGCCCGTGTTCAGCAGAGTAAGGCCCAGCCGCTGAGCAACAACTTCTGGGCCAGCTTAGCTGTGAGGCGTCTTCTGAGCTGCGGAGTGAACCATGGGTCCTCGTAGAACTTCCAAGGAGTAAAAGGAAAAACGGAGTATGTTTGAGGAAGCATAGGAATGGCTTGTGTGAGGCAACCTTTGAACGTCCTCATCCCTCACCTCAAACTCCATCGAGCTGTGCACACGCGCGGTCGCCTGCGCGCTCGGGTGACCTTGATTCCCCAAGCCTCGTGGGCAGGCATACATTTCCACTGGGAATCGCCAAGAGCGAACGACAAGCGCCGCAGGTCACCCTTCCCACAGCCGCTGCTGTTGCAGAGAGCGCAGATGCCGCGGCCGTCTTGGACCGGAACTCCTTCAGGCCCGCGGGATGCGCGCCAGCGCAGACCGACTGTGATACCAGTACTGCAGAGATGGAAGCGAATGTTGTCAGGCGCAGGACTGATAGCGCGACGGCAAGGGAAGCTCCAGGCGGCTTTTCTAGTCAGCGGAAACAGCTTGCGTTGCGGTGCCTCCGCTGTGGCAGCAGCATGGCAGCCGCTGCATATATGGTTCGGTTATCATATCATGAACCGAATCGGAAGGAACCAACTATGGCTTACAGTCTCACAGAAGAGTGGCCATCACATTGTACGAGGACTGGTGGTGTTTCTCAAAACCCCCTAAAACCCTTGGTCGACAATGCATCGTTTGACAAGACGAATGTTGCTACAATTTTCGTCTTTTGCCAAGCCCTCGTACTCTGAAGCCCTCGTACTTCTAGAACATCAGCGTTTGAGTTGGATCCGAAGTCACAAAGAGGGGGAAGATACATGCAGTCTTTCCAAAGACGCTGCTCACATGAGACGATTTGATGATGACGGTGATGTCCCAAGCGGACACCTTGTTCAAAGGGCTCGCTCACACCTGGCAGCGAGAGTGCTGGAACAAAGGGTGTTGTCTTTGGAGTAGGCGCTTTACTCATGCATGCCAGCCAGGCCAGATAGATTCAGGCATCCTGGTCAAACCCTGGAGAATCATCTGTTTCAAGCTGGAAGTACTACTTTCTAAAACGAGCGCGAGAGCGAGAGCTCTCAGAAATCAATGCTCTGTTGACGCCTGCTTCTGCAACCGTCTCTGCTTGCGCAACTTGTAACGCTCCTTGTCAGCAGCGCTTGAACATAAACGACATACATATCCGAGCCCATCCGGTGTTTTTGACGTCACCGTAAAACTCGCACGCTTGTTTCTGCTCGCCGCAGGCAATACACTTCTTTGCTTCCCTTGGAAGGTAAACTTGCGCACTCCGCCTTTTCTGTCTGATATGCGCCAACCTCTTGTTGTCGCAACTTTTGCAACAACTTTGACGCCCAACTGGACTCCTTGGATGTACACTGAACTGATCGGCATCTTTAACCTCGTCGCAGTGGTGGCAACGCAATGGCTGATCTGTCGGCATCCACCGTGGCCGAGCAGCATTCAATGCAGAGAGACAGGCTCTGCAGCAAGGTCCCGTCCGATCCTTGCTCCTAGCATTCCTTGGGAAATCTCTTAGTTCCTTAGTGAGCCCACACTTCTTACAAGCCTTAGCCCTCTCCCACGCCTCTGTCACACTCATTCCCAGGTGATGCAGCTCTTTCTGCGCGCACTTTGCCTGCAAGAGAGCCAAGCACGCTCGGCACACGTCAATCCGCCCGTCCATACTCGTAACTGTCTTTTCAAAGTCTACTATTGGCTTGGAATGCTGACAGTCAGGACATGTTTTCACCTGGGTTTCCAACGTACTTCCTGTGCTTCTAGCAGGTTCTGGCCCGGGTACTGTGCTGGCCCCCGTTGCCACCGCTTGCACCCGTCTCTGGACCAATTGCCCCCTAGATTTTGCAGGCAACGGACGGCCCCCATCAGCTGACGTACTAAAGCTCAGAGTCAAACTCTGTCCACTGCCGAAAAAGGGGGTTTCACATCTCACAATCCTGCAAAACGGTAGCTGCTGATTAGCATGGATCCTTGATAGAACATCGCGCGTGGGCGCCACACTTTGGACCGCTGCATGCTGCACACCACCCCCCGACCTCCACACCTTTCTTGCCCAACCACATGCTTCGGCTTTCAGGTGAATCCCAGACGTGGTCGCCATTTCAGCAGAGGAGGCGCTTGATATGACTAGCACGCACTCTCACTTGACGTTGAAGAAAATGTGTGGAAATTCTGCCACATTGCAGAGTGACTGTGAAGCTCGTCTATTAATACTATGGATCTAGCTGCTCGATCGAGCTAGGGGAATCACACTTCAAAACCCGTAAACCCGGGAGGTGAATGCGGCCGCGCGGAGCCCCGCGCTGGTTAGTCAATCGCCGCGGCCGCTGCGCCTAGAACCTCGGAATCACTGCACTTAATTAAAACTTTCAAACTCTAATAATTGCATCTCGTTCGTCCTTGATACAGTAAGATTAAGTAGGCCCGACGCTGATTTCGGTCAAATCAGGACAAGGAAGAGAGCCGTCTGACTGAACAACACGGCGCGCCCTAATAACCGTGACAGCCCGTCTTCGCTTGGGTTTTGCACTAGCTGAGCCCGCCGAGCGTGTCAGCACATATATCGCAAGCATGATGGTCCCATTCAATGCGCGGCTCTGATTCAGGCAGAAGACATGGGTGCCAGCAGGTAGGATATGTAACTCTCATTGATACCTGATGCCCACCTGATGTCCCGTGAAATGGCTTGAACAATAAAACGGCAGGAGAGAATGTCGCTTTCTGCGCTTTTTCCCTGAAGCCAGCAGGTTAAATTTGTTCTATGACTTATAGTGTGCGATCAGATTTTCAGGGACGTACTAGGTCTGCAAAACATCAGTCAAGTGCTTTATGATAGTCTTGTCTCTTGTCATGTGTGGATTGACTGCGCCGTTTTCGTTTGCTTCTACTGTTACATTAGGTTTCTGCTCAGTGGTTTAGAAGAGTGCCAGTACTAGTCACTTGGACAAAAGCCTGCTGGAAAGAACCCATTAATCCGCGAAGTCGAGCCCACTGTTCAGCGATACACTTTTGAACGTTAGTACAATCAGGCTCTGAGTTGCACTCAATGACCCTGATTCTGTTTCAGATCACTGGGTTCGCGCGTAGAGGTCTTTTGGAGTGAGCGGCAGCCGGCGCAGCAATGAAAGAACGTCCACGTAGTTCTCAGTCTAGCAAGAGGGGAGCAGGAGGACCAGATTCTGTAGGACTTCCATCACTTTGTACATCTCCCACCAGGTTGCGCGTCTTCCACTGAAGGATGTAATCAAGCTCGAAGCAAGCCTTTCAAAATGTCTAAATATTTTTATCAAAGCCTTGCAGACCTTTTTGTACCGAAGATTCATCAATACACAAAACTAGGTACCATTGAGGATCCTACAGCAGATGGCTCGACGTAGCAAGGTAATTTAGGACCTGCGATTGCTGTATTCCGATGGTCCCCGTTTCAGTGGGCTGACTCCATTCTCACGTCAAAGTGGCTCTAGCTAGCTGTATAGCCCAACACTTGAAGAATCTCAGTTGTTGAGCAATGTTCCGGCCTCTTTTTCAGGCTGACGGAGTATACAATGGCCTTCCAATTCGCACAGAAAGGGTTCCAAAAGCAGATTGAGTCTGGGGTGCAACTGGAGGAGCCCTTCCACACGGGCATCCACATGACCGTCGACGAGTTCTGCCGTTGGTAGACAGCCAGACCGACTCGCGAAAACGTTGTTTGGCTGCACCATGGGGAGGTGCTCATACTGGGGAGCTGGGACAGCCCGGTGCATCTGGTTGTTAGGAGGGCCGCTTTGGTGCTGATGAGCTCGGCGATCCGCAGACGTGAGCAGTGGAAGACGGCTGCAGCCCAAGCATGGTCGTTTTGTTTTTTGAGCTTGGCGACTCGGCGAGGTGACGCCAGTGGCAGCCAGAGAGAGGCGACCAGGGAATTGAACTCGAAGAGCCAATCGTTTTCGAGACAGGATGTAGTGGAGAGATCCACATAGGCGAATTTAGTTGCAGTGCTCTTTAAAACTTAAGTGCAAGCTCGGCGCAAGCCTCGGGGAGACTCACTGTGCTTGGAAACGGCCTGTGGTTGCTTGCTTCTTGACTGCGTTATCGAACGGACGCACATCATGAGCTTGGCCAAGATAAATCTTTGTTGGAGGAGCGGAACCGTCGAGCGGCTCCAGCTTGATCTGCTTGAGCTCGTCGGGAAAAGAGCTGCAAGATGAAGTCCCTACTTTCGTCCGAAATGATACGAGAATGGAGGCAAGTACTGCTCTCAGTCAATATGCTAATATGCTTATATGTATGCGGCTCGCTTATTTTGTGCAGTGGCAGCAGAGCCGCTCGGGGAGATGCCACTACGCGACTTCAGGGGTCAATTCCGCGCCGCCTCCGGTTGCTAGGAATACTCTTTGGCTGCGTGCCACCTGTCCTGGAACCATAAAGAACGTGCAACTCCCAAAATCGCCCTGCACGCCTTCGAGCCGTGGGCAAGCTTTCATGCAGTTTGTCGGCCTTCGGTGAGTTTTTGACGTTTGCGCTGACGCTTTGAAAAAGATTGGAGGGTTTTACTGATCCCTCGTGAGTTGTGCATAAAACGAGAGAGAATCTCACAAGTGCAGACGCGCTGTGACGTGGGCTTGGACGTCCTACAGCCTTTTGAAATTTACCCTGATGATACTGATTCTCAGTGTTTGAAATCGTTCCAATTCTGCTTGACGCGTTTTGGCCGTTAAATGATTGGACAATCCGATGCCCGCAGAAACGAGTCTAGAAGTTGTCATTCCGTTTGTGGCAAATACGAAAAGCCATGTTCGGTCATGAGATTGCGCCTTGCGTGCTCAGAGAGCGAGCTCGCTCTCAGCGCCTATCTACCCAGATGCTAAGCGAAATTGCCTTTCACTACTATCTCGATCTCCCTTCACTACTATCTCGACTTTCTTCTCTTATTCGATTGATTTAGGAGAAGCCTCCTGGTTGTAACTTTTACATCACTGATTCGGGACGTCGCCTCGATGTCCCTCAAGATCAGCCGTTGGGCGGAGCTCCCCGATTTCAGTGCTACGAGCCTCTCTCTTTGATTTGCAGGATTTTGGAGGAGTTTCATGATTGCAACATCTTTCTGGGCTTCTCTCCGAGCCCTACCTCTGTCCAGGCGTTTACCATGTGGCGCGACCCCGCAGATCCGAACGCGGCAGCGGTCGTGCAAAGCGAGATAGTCACGGTGGGTGATAAACTGTCTATTCCCCTGGCGGTCATCTTTCAGGGGAGGGAGAATATCCCGAGCAATTGCAGGTGAGCACAAATCCGGCCAATGTAACTCGGGGGCAACTCTGACTTGACAGTTGTATCGCGGAAGACAAGCGCCTGGGGACGGGTGGTGTTGATATGGTGTCTAAGGCGGCTTACCTGGTAAGTACGAAATGCGAAGCACATGACTGGGTTGCAAATCCGGGTTCACTTTTACTTTTTTCTTGTTCGTGGGGTTTTAGAGTTTGTCACCTGAAAGAGTTGTGTCACTCAGAATTCACCAATCATGGCAGTACATGAGCACATAGTTTAGAACGGGCCCTCAGTTCATGCCGCAGTGCTGGATACGATTCGTCCTGACTACCTACAAAACCTAGCAAGTATTCTCCCAAGTGAAGTTGAACCCAAAACTGCGGCCAAGACACTCGGTTTGAAACGGCAGAATTGTTGTTCTCGGGCGTCTCAGGTTTGGTATTGCTGCCGGGCCTCATCTGACATTGCGAACGCAAAACTTATTGGCAATTCCTTGATGTGATCATACAGGCAAGTGCCAATCGGAATGTGAGATTGGACCTGGAACTGGCCCACATAATCTATTTAGAAAGGCTCGGGTACTACGAGAACGGATTTCCACCCGAGTAGTAGAGAGCACTCTTAAGTACGATCAGAAGTGGACGTTCCCTGCTTTTTGCGCCGGCCGGCGTGTATCATTCTCGTGAGCGTGCGCTCGTAATTAGCTCTTAGCGTTTAAAGTACATGTTCGACTTCAAGATTACGTATACGTGCATGGAAGGCTCACATAGAGTCTGCAAAGGACATGCACTGCATCGTCAGTTGCTTGGCGCATGCCGCATAATGCATCGGCGCGAGCTAGCCACTATCAAAGCTATACGCGCCACTTATTGTATTCGCAAGAGCGTCCGACCAATATCACTGTTCAACGCATGCCAGGTTATGAACGTACCCAATAGACTGTGCATTTGATCATGAGCGTTGAGCTTGACCTTTTGAATCTATTGACGTGCTCTACTAGGCTACCACATGCCCGGGCCAATTTCGTGAAAGTCCACACGAAGGCCCATGAATTGGCTAATCATGTCAAAGTTGCATAAAAATCGAAGTCAGAACGAAAACGACTTTTTAAAAGCTGCTATTGAACATGCAACGCCCCGTTGTATCATCATACTGAAGAATGCTCAATGGATTGAAAATGATCTGCAATTCGCAACCGTGGCCTTTTCAGTTGCCTACCGATGTCCTGGCCTACTGATGTCCTGGATTCAATCCCACTACGCCCCACGTGCTCCAGCCCATTGATATTGCGATGCTAGCGGGAGAGCGCTCTCCTTCAATATCAATACAGTCGATCTCCCTCGGCCAAGAACATTCGCTCAGGACTTACAATTTGAATGTTGTTTTGGTCCACCTAGGCTACCGAGCCTGCAATATAAAAGGAAGGGTATGAGCACGCTTCCGTGTTCTTGGGTTGCCGACAATTGACGATCAACGAAGCCCATCGAAACGGATGACTATTGCGAAATTCAACCAGATGGTAGGACAAAATATGCTGCCGGCTTCATGGGTCTCCCAATGGGGTTTCGCCGGGGAACGAAAAGGTACTGCCGGAGCTCTTCCCCGCGAGCTGTTGTCGATTTGCCACCCGCCCAATTGTCTGCTCTACACATTTTGGACCGCAACTGAGATTTAGTGCCTGACAAGTCTGCAAACGTGTCCACTGTCACCCTCAAGGACTTTGACGAGAAAAAGTTCCGAGCGAACGAGTCGAGTTAGGTGAGAGGACGCACAAAAAACGTGCAGGGTGCCACTGGCGCAGCGCATTGAACTGACCTGAACTCCGAGCGCGAATCAGAGACATATGGAGGGTCGTGGCGTAGTTGAGCAGGGGATGCGTTCGTTCCGCTTGGCCCCGGGTAAACTGCGAAGAAAGAGTGGACACATCAGAGACAGCGCTGCGAGCTAATTGATTTGCAACAGTATAATCGTTTCGTATAACTGCTAGCACTGTCAAAGCGTGTGCATGTAGCTGCAGACTTCAGTATAATGGCAGTAAGATCTCCAGCGCCGTGTTACGAATCTGCTGCCAGCGCACAACGATTTGAATGATTGCGCACTAGCACCACGTCGGAATGAAGCATGGGAATGCTGCTCACGAAAGGCGCGGCAGATTTAAGAGGAAGAAAAGGTTGGACATAAGCGCGCAAAGAAAACCGTCAAGATCACGTTTGCCTGTGTGTACAACCGGAAATACATGTCGCTACTCCAGTGTTTGTCGGAAGGGTCCGATGTAGGCAGCGACCACAAGAGCACACGTCCTGCTTCTTGGTCGCCGAGATCCGCGCTCCACAAAAAGTACAGATTGTCTTCTTCACCGTTCTGCAATTGGCTCGGGCAAAGATTGACTCGAACAGGCAGACTTCCTTCATCACACAAACAGCGCGCTATCTTGGGCGGCATGTAGAGTTTCTGGGCGGTTCACGAACGGTACGTACCTCGGGGTGGCGGCTGCGGTGTGCGACGGCCCCGCTGTTGCCGGTGCGGTGGCCGCTCTGAGCGCCTCCCAGGTCACGATTGTCGCCCACACGCGATGATTGCCAGGAATGCCCGCTTTCCCCTTCTTGGCCAGCTCGTATGTGTCGCCTCATGCTCCTGTAGTAGACAACAACAACTTTAGATAGTAGCCCGGATCTGCTGAACAGTCAATTCTGTTCATCACAAGAGCGCGTGTTGAGGTTGGCTGTTACTTTTATGGGATCGAAGTGATTTTGGAAAAGTTGGATGCGGAGGCACGCATAAGCGTGCATAGTGGAGTGATATGGCGTTTCGCTTCCCGCTTTAGCAGTCTGCCCCAGGTGACAACAACATCTTGAGTTCTCAACGTACATCAAACCCTGGCAGCCTGATCTTCAAACACGTACAAGGAGCGTGCTCGCGCTTACCTTGTGCAGGCCAACAGCAGTGGCCTTCCGCGCGCGCTAGGGTCCTGTGCGAGGTGCGTCAGCGTGGGATGCACGTGCACCGCATACCCGTTGTGCGGACGTCACCATGGCCACGCCCGGCAAGATCCATGCACACACCTGCGGCAAACCGGAAGCCAAGCTCTTAGCAGCTCTTCCGGCACAGTCCAAAGGCATCTTTATTGAGCTTCACCAGTGCACGGCAGGAAAGTTTGGTGCTTTGCATGAAACGACCTCAAGGTGGGTACGTAGGCAGAGGGGGCAATGCCTATTGGGTTCGACGAGAGTACTCTAAATCAATCCGCATCGTAACACTGAAGCCGTGGACACTGAAGCCCCGCTTTCGTCGCTTTGACGGATCCAACCGTTACAATGTCGACTGGCAACCGCAAGACAGAACGAACAAGACGCTAACCACCGAACCGGCCTTATAAAGTGCGGCGTACGCTGGGACGGCAATGTCCTGACAGAATCCTGACGAGCTTTTCGCACCCCGACTTCGCTGAGGTACGGCCCTGTGAACATGGTGACAACGTCTCTGCCGAGCCGACGGACAGCGCCGGGACAGAACGGAAAGAGCAGCCCCGGAAAGGAAGGCGTTACCGGGCGGGCCGCGCTTACTTGTCGGATGGCGTCGCTGGGCCTTTCTGGCCATGCTCTAGTGAGCGTCCGCAGCACCCTGCAGCTCCTCTTTGCTGATCGCCTGCAAAGGAAGGTAGAACGGATTCAAGATCCGAACCCGACCCACAATTTCCAAACGTTCAACGACTTTTTGAAGGCAACTTGAGATCCATTTCAATTGTGCGGTGCGATGCACAGATTGGCATGCACTTTACGAGAGTTTGCAGGTCTACAAGCAAGGTAGATCTTTGACTGGTTGGTTGCGGACGTTTGGAGCGATCAAGGACAATCGGAATCCGCTCATGACGCCAAACTCACTTGAAACAAGCGCTACGCAAACGTGGCCGCAGGACCAACACAGGCTGGTTGCGTGACAACTTGGCTGACTCACGAGTTCGTTTAGGGCACGGATTCTGGGAGCCTTCTGCATGCTCACCTTCCAGAGCATCTCACTGAAGGGCCGTGCGAGATGGAGAGCTTGAGTAGTCTCGGCAGCGCTCAGAGCCTGTACAGCAAGACGGGAGTTACAGTCCTCAACGTCGACGAATTGAAGACCAATCCAATGTAAAGTCACGTTGGCTCGAACGACCCTGTCACCTAAACGGCAGCTCATGTTGTCACTGTTCGTCACAAACTGTGCTGTCCAAGGTTGGCTCTTGTCTCTAGGAGCTCGAATCAATATCACCGTCCTTACAGAAGACTCCTCAAAGCGAGTCACGGTGGGATGCCAAGTCTCCGCTTTGCAGTTTCCAAGCAGGAACACAAACAGAAAACTCAAACCATTCTCCATGATCGAGACGATGCTGTCTTCATGAGCTGCCACGAGGTCAATAACAGCGGAACGACCGAACCACAAAATCTGAATCTATTTGTGCAGGCCGTTGGAAAAAATGAGGGCACTGACTGTACTCCCTCAGGAACACACGAAGTAAACGGTTGACCACAATAATGAACCAGCCTCTAAGCATATCACGCACCCCACGATATGCGTAGGGTCAACATCTCGAACCCACTCCGATCAAACTGGAGGCTGAGAGTAAGTCTTCGCTTTGTCTCTCCTCGGGGCTGACGGCTTACATTCCCGTCGGCACGAGCTGTTGTGTTGCAGGCCGTCCAAATGGTGAAATCGTATGTGCCCGGCTGACAAACTGGTTGTTCCAATCCTCCCTCCTGCCAATCAGAAGAAAGCCATTATTAGGAGGATTGAATTCGCAGCGGTTAGCTTAGGAACTTTTCTCCTTAGCCTAGTGGGCTGAGAGCTTCCCTACATCTGATTTGCAATAAGAGTTCAGCCAGGCCGAAAAAACTCCCTTGAAAGTCGTGACCTGAAAGGCAATCCTGTGCTTGTCATGATTTCGAAGTCCCACGACTATTAGCCCACTCTGCTTTGCTTAACTACTGAAGATTCACTTTGCACTCAGATGAAAGACCGATTCGTCACAGAAGATCAATGCATCATTTGTCCGAAATCAGGTCAGCGTCAGGACCGAAACCCACGCCCTTGCTGGAAGGGCGCAAGCTCAGAGCTTCTATCAAGTCATTTGACAATGGGCCCCATGTTAATGAAGAGAGGCGTCCCGGCTCAGAAGGGGCTGGCGAGACGAGAAATGACAGAAGTTGTCGCTCACGTTTACGTCGGCATTGGCCTCTCAAGCGCTTTTGACTTGCCGCTTATTCACTCACACATGCAACGGGACAGTGGCCGTCACAGATCAAAAACACAATTGGATGGAAAGACCAGATCTCAATCCTCAGTCAATGTACTGCGTAAACATAAGCGCCAGAAATTGTATCTGGACTCTAAAGTTTTCAAAAGAGCTTGATCAAGAGAAAAGCAAGCAGCTTTCATCGTGAACGGGGCAAGGTTCGAACCAACTGCCACCGTTCTCTACGCCCTTTCCTCCCAAAGTGTACAAAGTCAAAAGTTAAGCTAAGCTTTGAGAAAGCAGGTATGATAGGTTTCCTACTCACCTGAAACACCATGATGACGGTAGAGTCCAGGATAAACCATGGAAGCCCTTTTGAAGAGCGCTGTGCTTTTGACGTATTCCACTCTCGACTCCGTTTCGCAATAGCCCAAACCTGGCAGCTAGACTGCTGTTGCTGGCCTCAAAAATAGGCCCACACTCAGCACAGGCGCTTTCTTGTTCCGCCGGCCAGGCCCGGAAAGTGTTGGAGAAGCAAATGAGGCCGTGGCAAAAGACTACTGTGACAAGGAAGCACTGTGTAAAGCAAGAGAGCCCAGGCTCTCAACGTCATTGCTCTTCTGAGGCTCGCCTGTTGCACCCCTTTTCTGTTTGCTCATCTCATAACGCTTCTTCTCACATGACTTACATGCGGTGTCCAACCCATCGATTGCTCCATTTTGAGCATAGAAGTCGCACGCTGGTTTATGCTTGCCGCAGGCACTACATTTCTTCGTTTCCCTCAAAAGGTAAATCCGTGTTTCTCGCCTTATTTGTCGTGTCTGCTTTCTAGCTTCAACCGTGCAACGCTTGCAAATCCCAGCACGCCCACTTGGATTTCGTGCGCCTGAGGAGAAATGAGTGGAAGCTTTGATCTCCCCACACCACTTGCACTGCAGTGGCTGGTCTGTTGGAACCGACTGGGGCCGAGCAGCATCCAACAGGGAGACGCAGGCCCTACAGGAAGTGCGCGTCTGGTCTTTGCCATAAGAATCCCTTGCAAAATCTCGGAGTTCCTTTTTGAGCCCACATTTCTTACAAGTCTTAGCCCTCTCCCATGCTTCCGTCACGCTCAATCCCAGGTGATGCAACTCTTTCTGCGCACTGCTCATCCGCAGGACAGCCAAGCACGCTCGGCACACATCTGTCCGCCCATCCATACTTGTCACTGTCTTTTCAAAATCTACCGTGAGCTTCGAATGCTGACACGCTGGGCACAATTTGACTTGGGTTTCCAGCGTACATCCTGTCTGTCCTGTGATTCTGGCTGTTTCTGCGTTGGGCACTTCACTGGCCCCCTCCCCCCCAGCTTGCGCCCATCTTTGAGTCAACTGTCCACCTGAGCTTGTGGCCGCAAAAGGAAAGGATTGGCCCGCATCAGCCGCCGTCGCAAACCTTAGAATTGCACCCCGTCCACCACCCAAGAAAAACGGTGTACAATTCCCAATGCTACCGAACGGAATCTGCCAAATCGCTCCGCTCTCTTTGATGACAGCGCACATGGGCTGTGCATTTGGCGCTGCTGCGCCTCAAACACCACCGCCCGAAACCCACAGCTTTCTTGCCCACCCAGCGACTTTGGCTTTGATGTGCATACCAAATGCGGATGCCATTGTACTACAGCAGACCTAGAACTCATTGTCCAGAGATAAAGGCGCTTGATTGTAATTTGTATAGCAAGCTAGGCTGGCCGCCACGAGGATGGCTCAAGGTGATGCAGCCTCGATGACTGCTCCTTCAGGCTTCAGGGCTCGAATTGCTTTGCCCCTGGGAGAGGCTTTGTTGCTGAAGATGAGTGTCAAACTAGATTGGCAGCACGATATGCTGCACCCGGCATGCCATTTGATCAAATTTTTATCAGAAGTTACATAAGCTATAATGTCTAATTATAGGTGATTTTGCAGTGATAAGTTCTGATATAAATTTGTGATCTTTGCCGGTTTGCTCAAGGTTTGTCAGGGTTGCGGCCCGCGGGTGAGGAACTGATCGAACTGGTTTAAACAATTGCGTTTGTTTCCTACACAATCCGAACGGACTGGTGATGGACGTTTGTCCTACGGCGCGACAAATTTGGCAGTTAAAATTACCTGTAAATTCAACGGCTTGCATTCTGCGTATACGGTATAACGCACCGGTATCCGGCCAGGTGACAATGGGCGACTTATCATGTGCCTGCCAGGGCCCACCGGCCGCCTCCGCTCTCAGCCTCTTGATCTGAGACTCTCACCTATTGAAGGTCTTGACACAACGTAAACGAAACCCATACCCAGGCGACAAGGGTACCCCCTGAAACAAACCGGAACTACAATCGACGGTCCGCGACAGCTTAACACACGTGTGAAACCCAATTGTACGCCCTGCGACAGTCGGCCGACCGACTAGACGTGCACAATACGACAAACGAGTCAGAATATGCTGTACACACTTTCTTGTGCCAAACGGCGAGCCGATATTTCAGGGCGAGGAGCACAACTGCGAAACCGTACACCAGTTTTACAATGCCCGGTTAAAGTTCCTGGAAATGCGATCGCGCCGCCATCTTCTCGCGCCCAGAAACACGACATCTTTAAGGGTACTGCGGCGGCCAAACGCCGGAGAAAATACAGGGCGGAGTCGCCACTCATTTCCAACGTCGTACTGTGGCTTTGCACGGTTCCATAACGAAGGCTTTCGCCATTTTCAATAACGCGTACGCTCGCGCGCATTTGGGGCGCACACTGGACAGCAAGAAAATGGCATGCCAAAAATGCTGACTCCAACGGATTCCGGTGGGCTTCGGCGGATCGCATTGGCCCTGTGAAGACTAGCAATGACAGCATTCGCTGAGGCCTGTACCGGAATCCGCACAAGCAGGAGCCACCCGGGCGGCCCCCCGGTGCCCAGCTGTGCACAGTGCAAAGCCCGTCAATGCAGCAGAAATGAATTCTGTCAGCTAAGTACGGTAAAAGAAGAGCTCGTCAATGGCTTCCGTTGCAATGCCTTTGAAGACAGGCTGCCGGGCCTGGCTGCCCAGCCACAATCCTTGCAGGCACGGTGGTGGCGCTTCCGTGGTTGTGGAAAGTGCGCCGCACGGGCTCGCTCTTGTCCCAGCAGGCACTTGCTTATCTCAGCAACTTCCTTTTCAAAGTCTGTTAAATAGCTCCAGCCGATTCAGTGTGCGAATTGTGACATGTCGGAAGTCTGCTAGAACTGAAGCAAGGGCAGGCAAAGAGCGGCTGTTGCCGAAAAGAGCACCACAGGGCGATGCACAGTCATTTCCTGAAAGCACAGCGGACAGTGGTACAGAGAGAGAAAGCACCCAGCGTATAGCGCCGCCCCCTTCAAGCGGGGTGGTTGACTCCAATAATGTTGTGAAGACCTGCACACAATGCAAACGTTCAAAGGTGTTCGTCGATTTTGAGAAGACGGTGGTGACAGTGGACGGGCGGACCGATGAATGCCGGGCTTGCTTGGCGGTGGTGAGGGCACAGCGGGCGAGGAAAGCTCTGCATCATCTCGCTTTGAGTGTGGAGGAGTCGTGGGAGCGGGCCAAGAGGTGTACTAAGTGCGGGCTCGTGAAGGAGTTCCGCGACTTCAGCCGGCGCGTGAGGAACAAGGACGGGACGTATGGGTGTTGCAGGGCATGTCACTCTGATATCATTGTGCGCGCTCGCAGACAAGGGGGGCCGCATAGCCCGACAGACGAACCGCAGCGGTGTAGTTTATGCCTTGAAGTTAAAGAGGCGGACCACTTCTTCCCCGACGGAGGCCAGCTCACTGGGAGGAAGTCTGTCTGCAAGACTTGCTTTAGCGGGCAAAAGGCAGAGCAATATCAAACGGCTAAGGAAGTGCAGATTCACGTCTGGAAGGCGACTCGGCGTTGCTGGACGTGTCAGCAAGAAAAGCCTCGGTCTGAGTTTTACAGACGGCCGCTCAGTATTGAGGGGCTGTCCAGCAACTGCATCGCGTGTCTGAGAATCTATGAGAAGACCCGTCACGAAATGGGGAAGGAGAGAGGGCCTCTGGACGGCTGATTCGGCAGGTGGTTACATGGGTTGACGCCCTCGCTCTATCTAGAGGAGCTCTTTTTAACGGCGAGAGGTCCAATCAGGGAGCAAACAGGGTAAGCACGTTACTTGGCCGCTTGAGTCTTCCCTGATGTGGATCTGAAGTCGTTGGAAGGATGCTGAAGCTACTGGGTAGAAGCATCCTAAGTGAGGGTGCCTCTATGCTGTATCTGGACACTACTTGAAAGTCGGGTCAGTTCTGGCAGAATCAAAAGAGCTTTGTGCACATCCCCAATGTACTCCCCTTTCCTTCTCCTCTTTGTGTGCTAAGCAGCATCCAAAAGCAAGAGTTCCAAGTGTTCTGAATATTGGGGGATATTTTGCGAGAGGTGGGGTCACTTTAGAAAGCATCCTACAGCAGACTATTTAAGTTCTGAAAGACAGCGCTGGGGCTGTTGTTCGATACACACAGGGAGGCTCTTTTGGGGCAGCTATAGGTCATTTTCTTGCTTGCTTTCAGCAGGTATTGTGCATATAACAAGATGTGTGAGATAGCCCTTGTAAGATCACATTTGCGGTATCAGCGTGGCCTCAAAATGGTAGTTTTGAGACTGACTCTGAAACAGAAGTCGTGAACAGAGTCTTTGTGAGAACCAGAAGGTTTTGGCCGAAGGGCATTGAGGATCAGCCTCTTAATGGAAAAGCTGCCAGCCGGAGACACGAGCAATTTCATTTTCAGAGAGTAGAAACACATTTGATCAGCAGTAAGATGAAGATGATGGCTTTGTTTGCAGGTCGCTTTTACTTGTCCGCGCTTCCGCGCGGCTTGCATACGCTTTAACCTGCACTGAGTCCACATCCTTTCCTTCTTCGGGAGCTGAGGACTTGCGGTGGTAAGTGATCAGAACTGTGTGAGTACAAGTTTTCCTCATGCTGCTAACTGTTTCCTTGACTGCTGATCAGTGTGTTGCGTTGCCAAAGCTGGCTCAAATTCAGGAGGACGTCAGCATGACTTCGACAGAGATTTTAAACGGTCCTCTGAAATGGTTGTCCGTACCACAAGTCTTGATTGGCGATTTCGCTCAGATGCTGATGAACGCAGGAGCAGACGCCTTCAGTCAGCTGCGGATATATTGTCCAGTGGACTCTTCCTTCGTTAGTCGGTCTCTCTCGGTTTTGACGTTTGTGAAGGTTGGGTTAGATGCTATTGAGTGGTTGATTGCGAAGCGTTTGGCAGAGACAATCGCTCCCTGGTAATGATGCACGTTGAAGTAGTGATCAAGTTGTGGGGTCGAAGTGCCGCACTTGTGGCCGTTCAAAAGCACAATCGAATCGGTGGAAGCGGTCTTGGTGAAAGAATGGATCAGGTCATCAGCAGTTCAAAGCCCCCGAAAATGTTTCATTTGTTAATGAGTAGAGTCGCTTCGTTGCATCTGGTGAAAGTCGGAAGTTGTATGACATCAAGGAATGACTTGACTTTGCAGGCTGTTACAAGCACACATCGTGAGACCGTTGAGAGTGCACATTCGCCAAAGGACGGGTCGTAAGCAGACGGAGGATGCAAAATCCACTCTGACAACTTTTTAATGAAACCGTACTAAGCTTGGCAACCAAGGGCTCCCGGGCATGGGGTTGGGTTGGATAATTGCTATTAAACTCGCTGATGTTGTGGTATGCATCCGATTGAAATGAGACTGGCTGCCAATGAGTTATAGCGTTCCAAGCACGACAGTCGTAGAAATCGACGGATTCAGTGTTTGACGTGGGCCGCCCAGGCAATTGCATGACAAGTATAACCCTCCCATACACCCCAGCTTGGAGAGATTCTTTATTATTGTCAATCATTCGCATTTCAATAACCAACCTACAGTTGTCACGTCGATCCAGATTGGACTTGGCGCCGCGCAGCAGACAGGAGAGTCACTGTATGCTTATGCTTATGCTTAACAGTTGACCACTTAGTGAGTTTGTCAGAGTAGGTATGTAACTTAGTCCAATCATCAGGCGTCATGGTTGTCTACAGTATCTCAGTGGGAATTCTGCACAAAATTCTTTCCTTCAATCACCGCATAACTGCGCGCGCTGTAACAGTACTAACGTCATATACGGTACACCATACATTGCAGCGGCGGCCGAGCAATTGTCATTTTAAAAGATACATCGTGTCGTTAGGTCTTTTATCACCAATGAATAAGTCCGGACTGGTCAGTGTGCTGAGTCAAAAGTCCACCAACGTCCAAAGTCCAACCAACGCGTCCAAAGTCGAACCAAAGTCCAACCAAGTCCTCAAACCGGCCAAATATCCCCCCTAATATTCATGCAAAAAGTCAAAGCAATGATCATGGCAGACTCAAGCAAACAAAATATCAAAGGATGTCATGATGCGATCATGGTCTTTGCATGATTCTCTGAATAACATAATCGAGATGACATGGGCGCACTAATCACTAAGCAAGTCCTGCACATTTCTGTTCATCGAGTTGCACAGAGAGGTCCTACTGTAGTTCGTCCTGCTTTCCGCACTTTTCCACCTTTTGCCTTTGCAAATTTTACTGATACTGGGGAGCAAGCTCTCCTTCCCGCACAATATAATCTTCCTCAGGAAGAGGCTTTCCATCAAACCAGCACTCGAGAATCTTCTTGGTCCCGGCAGCGTAGCGAGCCTGCATGCCAACAAAGCCGAATTGTTGCATAAAAGGGCTCGTCAAAAGCATTCCCTCGATTCCCTCGACAAACAACGACGAAACATTATAGTACGCGCATCGTTGTGATTCAAAAGCAGGTTCGCAAGAAGGCCTCACAATGAGGGAATCCGGGGTAACGTGATCGGAACTCGCATTGAATGCCAGCGAATATTACAACAGCCAACCAGCCCAGACTTTTGTCCAGATGACGCCTGTCGAGGCAAAGAGCCAAGTGACCGGACACTGGCTAATGGCAGATGGACACATACTCTGTGAAAGAGAGCATTAAGTGAGCCAGGGCTTCGAAGACTGCCGGCTTTGTAAATGTTCAGAAGAAGCACATAAGCGGAGTGTCTCATGAGATGCCACGTGGCATCGCACACTGACCTGAGCATCGAGCGTAGTTCCCGACAGATGGGGGGTCATCGCGTGGTTAGGCATGTGGCGCCAAGGGTGGTCTGCAAACGAGACGGTAAGCTGTGAAAAGCGAATCAGGCGAAATTGACTGTCTCGTTGGAAAGAACAGATGCTTCTTTGGCCCAAGCGAGCGGATTGACAAGAACGGAAAACGTGCGTCAGAAGCATCATGGCCACTGTTGAACCGAGATTGCAGATAAACGGAAAGAGAGCCGTTCATCGGACAGAAAGAGCAAGCAGAAGAAGCCTGGTGTATTTTGACTAGAAGATGACGGCCTTCCGGGGCCCCACGAAAATGGACAAACGAGTGAGACGTCCCCAGCACAAGCTCGATTGGGAATCAACCAGGCTTGCTGCAGAAGGAATACCTTGAAGTCGACAAAGAGTCGGCGTCCTTTTTAAACGCGAGGTGTTCCGAGTGCTCGCAGGAAGTCAAACAACGTCAAGTGTTTGAATCTGAGAGGGCGTCAGGGCTCTTGGCATGCTTGATAGTTTCGCCGGCAATTCCAAAAGCGGGCCTTTGAAAAAGAGGGAGGACGGCGCAATGTCTCTTTCTGAACATCCGACTAGAAAGGTGCAAACAGTATCGGTTCTAGGAGTTCAGTTGACCACCTAAACGGTACCTGAACGGTACGCACCTTTGGGCGGCGGCTGGGGATACCAGACGTCCCCACCGTAGCCGTTGAGCTGGCCGCTCTCGAGCGCCTCCACGATCGCCTCGCGGTTCACGATTTCTGCGCGCGCGTTATTGATCAGGTACGCGCCCTTCTTCATCTTGGCCAGCTGCTCCTTGCCGATCATGTGCCTGTGCGAGGAACTGACCGCGATCAGACTCGGCTGATCTAATAGTAATTTCAAGTTTTGCAGGTCTCGGAGTTTTACGACTTGTATGCGTCTTTGCTTAGCCGCGAATGAGGGGTACCGGAAACGCAGCACTCAGTTGCTAACCACATTCGAGAATTCAATTTGTTTCTGCAGTCCAGTTCTTGTCATGGCGGATAGAAGATCAGGTCGAGCGATGACGTCAATTCTCTCCGGTACGCTTTCAGACCAGCAAAGAGATCGCCAATCGACGCGAGATCAGCCGCTCATTGGGACGTAGGAAGTTAAAGGGAAGACACCAACTCAGCATCCAATATCGTTGTTCAATGACGCATGTTCAGAGCAGTTGCAACAGAGCGCGAAGAGGTTTGAGCTACATTGACATTCAATCCGCTGCATCCGCTGCAATGCAGACCTTAAGAGTATCGGCCATAAGTGCGGGATTTTACAATTCCGGACGGGTAAAGCAGAAACGTCACTCCGGACCTAATGAGGCAGTCCACCGAGCACGCCAGGACTTCACCACTTCTGTTTCCGGATTGTTTGAACACTATTCCGGACACCCCGTGTCAACTGACCGACTGAATTGGTTAGGTCCGGAAAAAGGTTTTTGCTCTGCCCGTCCTAAATCGCGATTTCCGGAGTTAGGGCCGATACTCTTATAACCTTACCTGGTCTTGTCGGTGAGGGGCACGTTAATTGACACGACGTCGCACTTGCTGAGGAAGGTGTCGAGGTCCTTCTCAAACGTAGCGCCGAACTTCTCGATGTTCTCGTTCTGGTGGCGCCCGTAGTACAGCAGGTTGCAGTTCCAGCTCTGCGGTTGAGAAGGCCAAAAAGGGCAGATAAAAAAAAAAATTCTTGATCTGCCCCGTGACTTGGTCAGCAAAGCAAATGTATGAGAGACGGGGAAAGCTTTTTAATGGAATCGTACGAACGTGGTTAAAGACATCCGTTCTGTAGCGCGCACCGCACAGCTGGCCCCGGTTCAGAAGGAAGATATAATCTGCACAGTAATTTTTGCCCACTCGGAAGTCAAAGGAAGAGAAGCTCGAAGCAAATGGCAAGGGTTCAAAAGATGAAGCGAAGCTAGAGACCGATTCTTGCCCGACATGAACAAAACCGGCTCTCATGTTTTGATCCAAGACGCTCTTGCAAACTGTCAGTGGTTCCCTGTCTTTTCCCGTTCTTCCTCCACCTTCGCAAATGCAAAGATTGCAGAAACGAACACTATCTCGCCTTCGCCAATTCGGGAACGCAAGATTCCGAACACGAAATCTCACCTGCAGGCGCTTCATCATTTCCTGGCCGATCCTGCCGGCGCCCAGCGTGCCCACGGTCTTACGCTCCAGGTCGTACGCCTTGTAAGCGACCGCGGCCACGTTCCACTCGTCGTGGATGATCTGGAAGCGAGCACGAAAAGTCAGGGCATTTAATGTCAGACCCTTACCAAATCAAAAGAGTCAATCCTCCAAATCGGGTCGAACGATCGGCATGGTGCTGTGAGCTAAGGATTGTCTGTAGCGGAGAGGTTTCAATGGCTGTCAAACTGCGCACAATCGTACAAGAAACATTTGCTTAGACCAGCGCATGAGCATCCTTGACGACTGACCAGGTGCGAATTGATACGAGCAGGAACAGAGTGGCACAGCAAAATGATCGGTAAGCAACAGCAACAAAAGGTCAGGTCAGCACGGCAAATACGTCACTCGCCGCCTCGCACCTATCACGCCGAACTCACGCACTCGTCGAGCAGTAAAAGTTTGTAGAGGTGCCTTAGTGAAAACCTTCCGGAAATTGCGGCCTCAAGATCTTCTCATCTCATCAGAAAGAAACTAGATTCTCTCAGCAGAGTACCAATGCTGCCAGTGGTCAGAAACTCAATCGGAAAGCGAAGAACCTCGAGCAACAAAGCATGGGGTCAAATTCAGGATTTGGCCGACCGAAAGTCCAGTGACCTCGAAGTGAGGAGGCAAAGAAGTTGATTTCGAACGTATCTCAAGACGACAAGGTTTGTTCCCAAGAAGCAAGAAACCAGAACGATTCGCACTGCCCGAAATGTAAGAAAAACCGTGGAGCTTTACGAAGCCTGCAAAATTTCAGTTTGAGAAAGCCAGCTTTTACGGCTCACCTGCATGTAGCCGGGGATGAAGTTGCGAATCAGGATCAGGATCCGCATGATCTCGTCCTCTGCCACACTCGTGACGTTGCTCCCTGCACGGAAAGACGGCGGGATATGATTCGTCAACGGCGGTGTCGTGAGACTATCCAAGCGCAATGCGGATGTCCGTCGTTGAGCGAAAGAGCCGCACAAACTTTTATCACATAGAATCATCTGAGGTGGACCCGAAGATAATGGGTGGTCGCCGCAACAGATTGACACTTCGCATTCCTCAAGAGACTCCCCGAGAGCAAGGAGTCTTGTCACGGTGTACTGCTGCACTTCCCGGATTTGTCTAGTCTGATCACAATTTCGCCTGACGTCACCTCACCGGCAATCTCGGCGACCGTCATGCCCTTTTCGGCTGCCGCGTGCAGGTCGATGTGGTCGCTGCCCACCCCCGCGGTGATGATGAGCTTCAGTTTTTTGGCCTTCTGGATCCGCTCCCTGGTCATGTATGCCGGGTGGAAGGGCGTCGTGATCAGGATGTCGATCGTGGGCAGCTGCTTCTCCAGCTCTGTGGAGACGACAAGATTCGGAATGTCGATGGCGTTGAGAACGAAATCGCATAGGAATCCATGAGACCGTTGACTTCTGCCAACTGCTACGATAGCAGAAAACTTTACGCGAGCATTAAGAGTTTGCGAGGGTTTCCATAAGGGAGTCCGTTCTCGGCAACGGCTTTTGCGCTTCGACCGAAAAAGAGTCCACTGAGAAACTCCGCCAGACAAGTGTCACCTTCTGGCAGTGACGATGTACTGATCAGCAACTTAGAATTGTGAAGGTGACCAGTCAAAACCCGTTTATAAACGGTTGGATGCATGCCAATGAACTGGAGACTTCCCGAGTGGTCGTGGTAGAATCCCTTCATTCCACTTACCTAGGTTCCACGCTTGCAATCCGTTCGCCACCTGACAAAAATCATCTTGGCAAGAGCTTGAATATCGAGATACAACCGAGAGACCTTGCCCTACCCGACAATCAGGCCAACTAAGTGCATTGGTCTTCGAAGACGTACTTTGCATGAAAAATGATATGGGCAGAACATGCAAGACGCTTATATTGTAGCGCCCCATCGAGCTTTCACGATCCTAGGAACAGCAGCAAGAGGGACTAACTGCCGCAGAGTGTGACAATATTCTCTGGGGTGTTTCGCTTGGTTTAAAAGGGGTCGCCGCACAGCAATGACAGCAACTACGAACTTTGGAACAGGTTTGGAAGCAGACGACGGCATGCACAAGAAAGTTCATGCACAACTCCTCACCAGAATCGGGTCCATCCTTGTCGTCTGTCACAATGTACTCGTGTCCCAGTTTCTCCAGCCACTCTCTCAGCCCGAGTCCATTCTCAGCGCAGGCCAGGAACTGCTTGTTTTTGGCATACTCCCCAGCCTTGTATAGGACTGCCAAAATCTTTTGCTTTCCCTGCGCGGGTGAAGAGCGACAGGATTGTTTCGTATGCAAAGCGCACCTGATGGCGATCCAGGCCATTTCCGTAAACTTCATTCAACGATCTACATTGAGGTTGCTGAGTGCAGGTTGGATAAAAATCAAGGTGAGCTTTAGGTTATATTGCAGACAACCTTCCGGTTCCCTAAGCATGCACGCAAGGTCTTGATCTCAAGGCCTTCGTGAGATTCGAGGTTTACAGAAAGCACACATTTCTGCACTACAAAAACGTCATTGTAATCAATTTGAACATTGAAACGAAGCAGTGGCACCGAATCTTACTGCATGTGATTTATTGAGCTCTTTCGCGCGTCCAGATCCACGTTCTGCTTACTTCATAAGAGGTCCGTTCTAAGAAGTGCACCAGCCATTTCCTTCAGTTCAAGTCAGACACCAAGGTATGCCGGAATTCATAGAATCACTCTGCATGAATGCAGAAGTGCCAGTGACCGTAATAAAGCTCTTCAAACAAAACCGGGACCTGCTTATCTAAAAGACAAGTCTGTGACGAAGTCGCGACATAAGGCTGCATGAGCTCATCAATGCTGGTCAGAAGCTGCAGTGAATGTATAATCATTTTTACGGTCAAGAAGAGAAGTAAGATCGAGAAATGAATTAATGCATCTCAGTATTTCAAAAACGCCTCATAACATGATAGCTGCAAACAACTGACCTCGTGACGCTCGTTCCCTTCCATGTTCTTACTGTCGCTTTGTGCTCGCTGGACGGATTGAGCACTCCTCTTGCTTGTATTAGGGACTTCTGTTTGAAAAGCTTTCCGCTCTTCTAGCTGTCTGAGTTCCTTCGAGCTCTCTCGCAAATTTGAAGGTCATTCAATCTGAGCGTAGTGTCTTTCTGATCTCGCAACTTGGGGCCTTGAAGCGCTGCAACACCGTTTGATCGACCTTTGAAAGCCGGCAGACAGCAGGTACCAGCTCAGCTGTGAGTCTTGCGCTCAGAAGACAATCTCGTGTGCTGGACAAGGTTCCTGCGACTTCGAGCGGCGAGAATGGAGAGGGGAAGTCATCTTGTAGCTCTACAAAGCTTTCACTCCAATCTGCGGCGCTCCTCTTTCCTGAAGCCCTTCGAATTTTGCTGAGGTCAGCCGTTGCTCATGCAGCCCTGCATGGACGCCTGCCGCCTGAACTTTCGAATCAGAGGAAGCAGAGGGCCGAGACGACTTGCGAGTTGCATGCTAGTCTTACTTTTGGCGCCCGGCCTGAAAGGTTTTAAGGTTCTGATGTTCGCAATAGGGCTTGAGAACGGAGCACAGAACTAACTTGGCACGTAAGCGGTTTTCGCGGCTCCACGGGTGCGTGCATGAATTGTCCAACTCAGGAGAATTTGTCCGCATGCAACTGATTTCGAAGCCGCGGCCGCGTAGCGCAGGTTTGAGCGGTCGCGCCACCCCAATATCGACATCCGTCAGCGCATGCGCTTGCATAATCAACATGGGCAGCTGAAAACAATCATGATGTCTATGAGTCAGGAGAACCATAGTGCAACAATTATTTGGTGCCGCCGAAAAATCTACCGATTAATCAATTGGCACTCCGATAACTTTCGTGTGACCTAAGAGCCGTGTGACCTAAGATAGGCACCCGGGGGACGGGTGGGGTTGGTATGGTGGTTAGGGTGGGTTGGGGTGCGGGGCGGGTGATTCTTTGGGTTAGGGTTTTCGTTTGAAGTGCCCGGGTAACTCGTACCTTAGGTCACACGCCCGTTAGGTCACACGAGAGTTACCGGTATTCAATTGGCAGTTCCGACCGACGGTGATGGATTGAGCAAAAAACCAACAATTACAAAATATTACGCCCTCACAATATTACGCCCTCGTTATCTCTCTACTATTTGACGTAGAGACAGTGAGAGAGCGTCGGACCGCTTGTGCCAATTGTTTGTTCAAAAATTTGTCCTGCAACACTTGTTTGTTGTATTGCAACACTTTGTTGAGAACGCCGATTCCCAATTGTCCCTGCTATTTTACACTCAATTGCCTTCACATAAATTACTGGTACTGGGAAGCAAGCTCTCCTTCCCTCACAATGTAATCCTCTTCAGGAAGAGGCTTCCCATCAAACCAGCACTCAAGAATCTTCTTGGTGCCGTCAGCATAGCGAGCCTGGAGCACAAAAAAGTCAGGTTACTTCTAACAAAAACTCCTTACTAAGGAAGAAACGTGAAACTAAGTTCGCGCGTCCTTGTTATACAGAAGCACTACACCTTTCTACGAAGGCCTTAACTGACATCCAAACGTGTTACAAATTCATCGGATTCCCGCAACAAAAATGGAAGGCAAACAGCTCAGTAGTCCGTCAGAACGATGCCTGCTGAAGCAACAAACCTGAATCGAGACTATTCAAGTCTCAGCTAGATATAATCTTTCCAATAGGAGCAAGTGAGCCATGGCATCGAAGAATGCCGGCTTTATAAAATGTACAAAAGACAGAAATACAAGGAGTGTCTCGTAAGGTGCCACGTGGCAATATTCACTGACCTGAGCATCGAGCGTGGTTCCCGACAGATGGGGAGTCATGGCGTGGTTCGGCATGTGGCGCCAAGGGTGGTCTGCAGAAGCAACGATAAGCCGTCAGAAACGAAGGACGCAACAGTGTCTTCCTCCTCGGAAAGAGGAATAGAAGCTTCTTCGGACCAAGGCTTTTTCGGACCAAGAATTCTTCGGATTGAGGCTTCTTCGGACCGAGGCTTCTTCGGACAGAGGCTTCTTCGGACCAAGCGAGCAGATCCAGAGAAACTTTCGAACGTGCGTCAGAATACATCATGGCCACTCTGTAACCGGGATTGCAGGCGTCCGCAACGGAATGAGGTTGATCAGCCATACAATCTAGAAAATCAGCGAGGGACGCTTAATGTGTTCAACCAGTCACAGTTGACGGTCTCCCCAAGTCCCAGAGAAAATGACACGCGGGATAGAGTATCCCCCGACAAGCACATTCTGGTCGATCACCAACCGGAACTATTCTGACTCGCCGGAACAAACTCGTTTGCACGCTTCAGCCCAGACTAACCGTAAAGTAAAGAATCAAGAGTCGACGCGACGTTGAAGCCGGAAGTACTCTTTATAAGCGGGATGTTTGTACTCGTAAGCACTTCAAGATTCAAGCAACCTCAAACAACCTTCCCGGGGTACGGACGGCACAGTTTCTGCCTAACCCGCCAGCGAACTCTCGTGCAAACCTTATAATTTCTCATACAAACCTTAGTGAAGAACGAGCGACGCGTCCCTTCAGACTTTCTGTTTGGACGCTGCACAAAGCAGCAATTATGAGTTTCTTGACAAGCCAATTACCGGTACGTACCTTTCCCCGGCGGCTGGGGGTACCAGACGTCCCCGCCGTAGCCATTGAGCTGGCCGCTCTCGAGCGCCTCGCCAATCGCCTCGCGGACCACGATGTCGCCGCGCGCGTTGTTTACCAAGTACGCGCCCTTCTTCATCTTGGACAGCTGCTCCTTGCCGATCATACCTCTGCACACGGGAAATGATGACGTCAGTGAGCCAAAAATCGTCAACCGGTACTGTGTTCGGGACAACTCTGCGTCATTTTCGGCACTCCTTCGCACCATAAAACGAGACGCTACACGATTACGGAGGAAATCTCGACGCCCAACTAGGGTACATCGCCTGTCATGTTCCCCATTCTGTGATCCTAAACCCATTCCCCTGACCTTGTTCTGCTTCACTTCGTCACCTCGAATCAGCTACTCCTCGCACAATACCCCTTTCACGCCCCGACGTTTGATATTTTGTGAGAGGGCCCCAAGACAAGGTCCGCGTTTTTCTCATTAAATGATGCCAAGGTGTAAGGAAGCTTTGCACAACCGACGGAAGATTCCTTTGAACCCCAAAGACCATTGAGATTTTCCGGCATTTTGTACTTTTTGTATCTTAATGATCTGTCAGTAGGACGTCAAATCCGGTCAACATGTGTGATTGACAAAAATCACGATGCAACGACCCGCATCAGTTTCGAAATCAAACGCGACTCATGTCTCCATTTTAGAATACCGTCGCGCTAGGAAAGGTTATAGTCTGTACCTGGTCTTGTCGGTGAGAGGCACGTTGATCGATACAACGTCGCACTTGCTGAGGAAGGTGTCAAGGTCCTTCTCCCACACAGCCCCAAACTTCTCAATCTTCTCGTTCTGGTGGCGCGCGTAGTAAAGCAGATTCAGGTCCCAGTTCTGCGGACGAACAGAGTGAGTCAGACACCAGAAAGAAGGATTGACCACTTACAAGACCAATGATAATCCTAAAGGAAGGAGGTAAAATTTGAAGATACTCGTATTGGCTACGAAACGACCAATCAATGCACATCGAGTGGAGGGGCGTAACTTAGCAGGGACAGATTACGTGGTCGCAAAGCTCGACCATTTCAATCAAATGGACCGTTTCATTCATTGCTCTTCCTCATCCTTCGCTCATTAAACGCTATCAATCTTAGTCGCGGAAAGAAAGGATATTAAGCTCACCTGCAAGCGCTTCATCATTTCCTGGCCGATGCTACCGGCGCCCAGCGTACCCACGGTCTTGTGCTCCAGGTCGTACGCCTTGTGAGCAACAGCGGCGACGTTCCAGTCGTCGTGAATGACCTGTAGTAAAGAGCGCGGTCTTCTGAGTTTTCATAGTTCGTACGACGCTTCTGTTGTGTCTACCCCGCTACGTCTTCTTTGCGGCTTTCGACACACAGAAATCTGAAGGATAATTGAAGCAACCGATTGCGCAGACAAGGACCCAGAACTTCTGGGTTTGGCAAAGAGTCCGGCTTCTGTTCGTAGAAAAGCAGCAAACAACGTTCTAAAAATGCAGACGTCCAATCAGTGAGAACACAGATCATTTGCAGGAAAGTTGATACAATCATGAGAGATTTTGGAAGCGTCATCTAAGGTTCACAAGTACAGAAGATGAACAAAACAGTCTCAAACGGAGTCGTCGTCCAATCAAAAGAAGAATCGGCCTTTGAAAGAATGCCCCAAGCAATCAGGAGACCTCTCCCCGAGAATGGAAGGGCAACAGCGCCATGGCAGAGTTTAGATCAACGAGAAGTCCAAATGACACGGAGATGGTTTGGACTCACCTGCTGGTATCCAGGAATGAAGTTGCGAATCAGGATCAGGATTCTCATAATCTCATCCTCTGCTACGCTGGTCACGTTGCTCTCTGCGCGGAGAAATACGGGCACATATGAACACAGAAAAACGTCGAAAAAACGCGTCGTTTAATATTCTCTAGTGCTCAATTCACATGCGTCGACATTGAGCTTGCTTCGTCATTCTGTTGGTTCAGCCGGTTTTGTCCGCTGTAGCAGCTTTGTCATTACCGGGTACATATCGACACCGCCTTCGATATGCAGACCTAAGCGCCTCGGACACTGACCGAAACCAGAGAATAGAAATAACAGCAGTCAAAATTTCAAGTATGCGGGATTTCGGTGTATTTGAGGAGAGGAAGATAAGAACAGAGGCTTGTACCCACTTGAAACCTCAACGGGTTTTCTCACGGAAGCTCAAAAAATCGTTCGAGAAGGCTCAATGAAACAAGAATGCACGATCGCGAGAAGACGACAGCAAGAGGGCCAGTCACGACTAGAACGGCAAAAACTTTGATTTACGCTTCCGACGCTTCGATCGCGAAGAAACAGAATAAGGTACTTACTGGCAATCTCAGTGACGGTCATGCCTGCTTCGGCTGCCGCGTGCAGGTCAATGTGATCGCTGCCCACGCCGGCAGTGATGATGAGCTTCAGATTCTTGGCCTTCTGGATCCGCTCCTTGGACATGTACGCCGGGTGGAACGGCGTCGTGATCAGAATGTCGATCGTTGGCAGCTGCTTCTCCAACTCTGTCAATGCGACAAGGGTCGATGATGAGAAATGTTACCGCAAGAACATAATTGTCAAGGCCTCTACACATGTCAATCCTCAGCAGCTGGTTTAGTGGCCCTGGGACTTCTGAAAGATAAAAGAGATAAAAGCCTGCCGCCCAAGATCGCATCTGGGGTACTACAACGCGGAGTGTCCGCCATGCATTGGCAGCTTTTTATGCAGCTCCACACAAGCGTCAGGACTCTACGAATCAGGGAGAACGTGGTTGGACCTGGTTTGGACAATGCTTTGTTGCGATTCAAGCGACAGCCTCCACCCCCCCCTCTCCTCTCAGTCAACGTCGCTGACGTCCGAACTTTCGGGAACGTGAGGAAAGTTCAAAGTTTGGGCGGTTGGGGCGATCATACCACGCCCCAAAACAACACGTTAAGAATGTGCATCACACGTTTAAAAAGCAAGTCGAGTCGCCGCCGACATATGCAAATGATCACCAGACCACCACCATAGCAATTTCACGCAAAACTCTTTCGTCTTCTGGGTCAAGACTCTGTTTCAAGATTCAAATCGTAGACTCAGCCCCTGGCTTACACAACAGTTGATTGAAACTAGTGTGAAACTAGTGGACAATTCCAGTTATCGGGTTTTTCCATCAAGATTGAAAGACACATGCAAGAAACCTTTTGATGCCCCCAGACGTCCATCCTTTCTTGCTACAACAGTTGCTGTCATAAACTAAAACCCAGCCAGCAACGCGGCTTTTTGTCACGAAGGATGTTTCCTATTTGTGAACAACTCTGAAAAGCTGTCACGAAGGATGTTTTCTATGTGTGAATAGCACGGAAGTGGCAGAAACAGATGCATGTTTCAGCGAAAGGCCTCACCAGAGTCTGGTCCCTCCTTATCATCTGTCACAATGAACTCATGTCCTTGTTCCTTAAGCCATTCCTTCACCCCAAGGCCGTTCTCAGCGCAGGCCAGAAACTTCTTGTTATCAGCGTACTCCCCAGCCTTGTACAGGACTGCCAGGATCTTGTGCTTTCCCTGTTCACAAGAGGGCAAACGAATTCAGCTCGTATGCAAAGCGCAGCGGATGACGATCCAAAGGTCAATTTATTCCGACTACGTTCGAAAATTCTGGGAAGAGACTGTTTTCGACTCTTCAGTGGGTATGACCAGATAAGTCATGAATTCTGCTGGAACGGGAGTATCACATATGTTGTAACGTCGTTGGCGAATCTCAAGATTCGGAGTGAAATTTGAGAACGTGGACCTCAGCTGTCAGTTATACTTTCAAAGCAGACTAGCAATTAGGACAGCTCTTACATGACCTACTACTAACTGTGATAATCGGATGTACAAATGACTAACATTTGTCTCTGCATGTGATCAAACGTTGCAATAGTCCTACGTCCAGGTCGATCCCCAGCTTCTTCTGTACAAGTCCGTTTCTGAGTAGGTGGCGGAGCCTTGTTGATCACTTCAGTTCAGCTTCCTCAATGATGTGCATGAGGCTGCATGAGCTCACCAAGACAAAGGCTCGTTGCAGAATCCTTATCTGTTGTGATTCAGAGAATGTGAGCGCAACTTCACAAAGATATATGTACCAATCTGGTGAAGTGGACTGGGTATTGTACTATCAAAGCTGCATATTGCTCACCTCATGACGCTCTTTCCCGCCCATTCTGTCACTGTCGTTTTGAGCTCGCGGAACGATTGCAACTCTTTTTCTGCTGACAGACCCTGTGCCCGAAGTTGCTCTGCCTCCTTCTAAACGGCTGAATACCTCCGAGGTCTCTCGCAAACCTGAAGGTCGTCGGAGTTGAGCCGACTGTCTTTGCGATTCCGCAACTCGGGGCCTTGCAACGCTGCAACACTTTGTTCGACCAGTATTTGAAAGCCGGCAGACAGGTGATGTAAGCTCAGCTGAATCTTTTGTGCTCGAAGGGAATCTCGAGCTGCTTCTGTGATGGACGAAGTTCCTGAAACTCTGAGCGGCGAGAACGGAGATGGAAGTCATCTTGTCGAGCTACAGTCTGGACTCTGCATCTCTCCCTCGACTGCTTGACGCCCTTGCTTCGACCTTTTGCTGAAGTCAGCCGTGGCTCATGCAGCCCTGCGCTAAAAGCGAACGCCCGCCGCCTGAAGCTTCGAATCAGAGGAAGCAATGCCGAGACGACTGCGGATTGCATGCGGAATGCTTTCGGCGCCCGGCCCGACCCTCCCTCAATTCATACAAGGGTTCCGATCCTTGCCAGAGGTCTTGGGAATTATCCAAAAAACAAGATTTGCACCTCAAGCGCTTTTCACGGCTGCCTCGGGAACGAAAAGTGCATGCATGCGATTGTCTGACTAGACTCTCAAAGAGTGGCCACATGCAACTGTTTGCGAATCCGCGGCCGCGTACCGCAGGCGTAAGCGGCCGCCCGCGACGGACGGTACCGGCGCAAGCGTAGGCGGCCGCGTGCGCCGCCCCGCGAGCGCGCGTCCTCGGAGTCGATCAGAATGGGCAACTGGAAACTAGAATGGTGCCCATGAAAGATGAAGTTTCTGGTTGGACTCTAGAAAGTCTGCTGGAAAGTTCATGTCTGTTACAAAGCAAATTGAATTCGAAACCTGACTGGCTTTGGTGGCGCATGAAGGCGCTGTTTGCCCCTCCTTTACAAATTCTTGGCCCCTACTATGGCTCAAGCAAAGGTGAGCGGCCAGGCTTGCTCCTCCTCTTGCTGCCTCTTCAGGCAGCCCCTCTCGAAACAACATGGTCTTCTAGAAAACACTTTTTGTGTGGGCGTGAATTATCTAAGAGCCCCACGTCTGCTGGGGCTTTGCAGAACTCTCGGCAAAGACTGCCGCATCTGTGTTGATTCTTGGGTTGCGCCAGTGTCTGTCAGGGCGTATTCTTCTAGTACAGTGTCTCAGGCCACAAGTGGCGGAGGGGTAGAAGTCAGCATTTTGAACAAGAAGGACAGGGGTTTAGGGGAATCACCCCTCGCTGTAGAAAGTTCTCCGAACGAGGCAGTCACTGGGTCAGCCGGAGCTGAGCACGAGCCTTCTGGAAAGACCGAAGTAGATTATGAGGCCGCTCTGAACGACGTTTTAGCTCGTCTATCAGACGACTCTGGCGCTCCCTTCAGTCCAGACTGGCAGGCCGGGGTTTGGTTAGCACCAAAAACCAGGGTCAAGGCTTGGTCAAAAAATGGTGTGGAAGGGACCAGGCGGTGGCGGAGGCCGGGGACTGCTGAACAGGAGCGAGGCGCTGACTCAGCGCAGCAGGAATTGCTGAGCAAGAATGGGGAACTAGAGGCGGTTTCAGACGGAGCGGAGGAACTAGGGGAGGGGAGGGTTGGGCAGACCATAAGCGGTGAGGTTGGGACGAGCGGGTCTGAGGAAGAGGGTGGCGAATCAGAGCCTGCAGGGAGAGTAGATAAGACACGGGACGTGTGGATAAGGCCGGGGTCTACTCTTGCGCACAGCCGGCTGCCGGAGCAGATGGCTGCAGCAAAAGCTATACCTAGAAAGGCACAGCTTAAGGGATCCTCAAGCGGTGAAATAGAGAACGGGAGTTCGGGCTCTTTGAATTCTGAGTTGCAGGATGGGGTTGCTAGTGTTGTTTTTGAGGCCAGTCGGACACCGGACAGTGGACGGAGGGCGGCGGTGCGAGGGCCACCAGTGGTAAAAAGTGGAGAAGGACGGTTTAAGGTGGAAAGTTCGAATGCGTTGCTTAGGATTGGTGGCACGAATCCATTGCGGGAAGTAGAAACAGCGCCCTTACGGAAAGAGAGTAGGATAAGTAATTTGGACAGTGGCGCCATCGATGCTGCAAAGTCTACCGAAGGGGAAGAGTTGGTGAAACTAGGCGCGGCAGATGGTGCGAAGGTGTCCGAAGAGGAGCAGGCCCTGCAACTAGGTATGGAGGCGCTGCAGGCGACCAATGAGTGGCTTCGCACGGGCGCAAAGGCGCCCGAAGCAGGCCTGGAACGCAGTGTGAACCAGCGGATAAAGCGAACCCCCCGGATGTTTAATGTCCAGGGGAGGGAGCAGCAGGGGGGGATCAGAGTAAGGCCCCGGATACCGGGCAGAAGACTGAGCGAGTCTAGGGAAGAATTGAGCAAAAGTGAGTCGGGAGTGGGGGAGTTGGAGGGGGCAAGGAAACTAGAGCGGACGGAAAGTTCGCCGTTGGAAGCTGCGAAGGAGGTGGTCGTGAAGGTCGCGTCAGCAGCCGCCATTGCGGCAGGGCAGGTCAGCATCTTTCCTGTGCCTTTTTAAATTTCTGAAAATCGCAATACTTGACAGCTGCACACCTATTAAGAACCATCTTGCAGGCTTGGTCTTTTGGTCCATCTTTGTTGAGCAGCTGGCAACAGTGTTGCTCTTTCAAACCTCTTTGATCCTTGAAAAGATGGTTGTTTGGGAAAACAGTGAGGTTGACTACAGACAATGGGGCTTGCAGAGCAGAGAGCAGAGAACAAGTCTCGTCGACGAGTGCTTCAGAGAGGGCTAGTAGCTACCTGGTACTGAGGTGTTGATGGTCAGAGTGGAAGGTTTTTCAGTCTGCATCATGTTGGTTTGGAATGATGCGTTCTTGTGACATTTGTGCCTTTGAAAGTAGTCCCCAAGTTAAGAGCATGCCCATGTCGACTGCCGTGATGGTCGATAAATAAAGCAAATGACTGAGGCATGCTGAAGGAAACTCTGATCTAAAGTTGCGACATGGGTAGCAACACCAGCCTTTGCAGAATTTACGCCCCCTCTCCCCCTTGTGCATCTATCTAGTGGGGGGAGTGACAAGCAGCAATCTCTTCATGTGCAGATCAAAACGCCTGCTTTCCCTATGGGAACGCCGCCGAAGAAGCTCAAGATCAACCTGGATCTAGACCTCTACCGAGCTCGGAATCTTGTGTTCAAGCGTCAATTTACGCAGGCTGAGAACATCTTTTACAAGGTAATCACTGATCCTTAGGATATGCCGTTTTCAAATCGGTGATGCTTACTGACGATCTGTTTGGTGATAGTGACACAAAAGAAGGTCTGGTGCAGCTTTTCAGACGGAAGGAAGGTTGCGCACACGAAATGAAGGCCAAGGCACAAGGTATTGGGGAATCAGACCCTGGACTTAGACCGAAAAGCTCAGAGTCTTGGGCATGGTTGTCATTGCTTGCGGAGTCGAGACTCTTTGCGTACTGGAAAGCAAAAGAAGCTTTGCATTGTTCTCGTCGGGGGAGCAAGGGGCACGCTGAGGGCTAATTGTAGTTGGAGACCTGAAAGAGGTGGAGACCTGAAAGAGGTGGAGACCTTCAGGAATGGAGACCTTCATGCATCTCGGTACTGTAAAATTATCACCTCACATTCTGTTGGCTCCTGTTGACTCTCTAGCATCGAGTTGTGGACCCCATTTATCGTTCAATCTGGTGTGTCACTCGCTTTCTCCACAGCATGGGCGTCGTTGTCGCATCAGCGTTGCCATAAACATGCATCGGTTTTCTAGATGTGCTTTTTGAAGCAGCTCCAGTCAACGCAAGTAACCCAACCTGGTTGAGGTTCTGCCCACTAACACTTTCCTGTCTTACGTCTGCACAGTGCATCAAGGACTTCCCAGAAGACGGCCGGGCGTACTGCCAGCTGGCAAAGCTTCTGGAGCGGCGTGGCGAACTAGACACGGCGCGCGAGATGTACGAGAGCGCCGAGGCGGCGGCCAAGGGGGAGAACGCCTATGTGTGGCAGGTGCGACTATCTCGGAACTCGTGGTAGAGGTCTAGCAAAACTGGCTCGCACAATTTCATGCCCCTGGCATCCTTTACAGTGTCTTGCTGAGAACATTCTGGGGTTAGCTTGACGAGCCTTCTGATTCGGCCAGTGCTTCTGACGTGTCCTCTGGATGCCATTCCTCTGGCCCGCTATGCTCCTTGCATGTGCCTTTCTGTGCCAAGGCCGCTCTTTTAAACTGAGCTCCGTTTTGACAAGACGCTTTTCCACAAGGGATTGCTTTCTTTGAACGCTGTGAGGCTCAACCCGTTGCCGCTTGGGCCGCTTTTGTGTTGCGCCTTTTGTGTAGTTCCCTTTCTAGGCGCTTGCTGACCGTGCTATTCGTATGTTTGGGATATTTCCGGACCGGAAATACCCTCAAAGTTTCTGGAGGCGGCTTACAGCTGCAAATTGTAGGACGTGGACGTCTTTCTAAGTTGGTAACGAGTTGAGATCCCTTTCTAGTGCGGTTGAGCATTTGAAGGTCAAAGTTGTAGACTAATTCTTTTGTGCGGTTTATTCTCATCCCGTATACATCCAATTTACGTTGCGCTAATCATGAACGTTTTAGCTCATCATGAACGGAAAACCTCGTCGAGAACAGGATGTACGCCGGTCTGGGCAGCTTGGTGCAAAACACTTCAATTGAGCAGCTTGATTTGGAATCTTTGGGTACATCGGCGTCTATGATTGACGCCCGTTGTTTTGTAGATACGAAATTGAAACGCAACCCTCCAACGCTCACAGATGTACGCCGTTCTGGAGGAGCGCGCGGGGAACCTGAGCAAGGCGCGCAAGCTGTTTGACGCCGCTCTAGTTGTGGACAAGGAGCACGCGGCCGCGTGGCACGGGTGGGGGAAGCTGGAGAAGCGGGACGGGAACCTGGTCAAGGCCAAGAGCCTGTTCCTGCGGGGGCTCAAGAACTGCCCCACCAATGCGTGAGTGCTTTTTCGTTCTCCACTCCTATTTTTGAGCGACGAGTGTTGGGGATCTGAAGGCTGCAAATCGGAGACGGCAATCGTGATCAAGGCGAAGAGTGTTTTCCTGCGGGGGCTGAAGAATTGCCCCACCAATGCGTGAGTTCCAACGGCACTTTTCTCCTCCTCTCTGAGCCAATGTCGATCCTTTGGAAACGCACTACCGAGAGATGGCAACCTGTCAAGGCCAAGACCCATTTTCTGTGAGGGCTCAAGAACTGTCCCATCAGTGATTTGTCGTCGCTTTTCTCTGCTTCTTCGAGTCACAGTAATGGGTGTTCAGAAAGGCCTGAATGGAGGGCCGCAATGGTACGGGAAGAAGGATCGGCTATTGAGCCACTCGATCAAGCATCACTTGAAAGGTTGGATTATTTTGGGGATAACTCCAGTACGAGCTTGCACTCATAATTGAAAAGTCCGGAGTACCGCTCCAGGGGCGCGAGACTTCGAAACCGACACGACGGTAACGTGAAGGCCTTGCTCCGCTCTGATACGTTCCCAGTACCTTTTGCAATCACCTTTGTCAGGAGCTTGCGGTGACTGTGAAAGGAGCGGGGAATCCGCCCAGTCGCACGAATACTTCGATAAGAGCGAGTCACGAATTACTTTTGCGGTATCATCTCCGCTCTCTTACGTTCCCTTTCCTCCTTGTCATACGTTTCCCTTTATTGTCTGCAGGTACCTCCATCAAGAGCTCGCGCTGATCGAGAAAGAGGCTGGAAACGCCGCCCAGGCGCGTGAGTACTTCGAGAAGGGCACGGGGTACGCGCCGCGGTCGGCGGCACTCTGGCAGGCGTGGGCGCTGCTCGAGGCCGAGTGCGGGAACGCAGCGAAAGCAAGGGAGTTGTTTCAAAAGGCCAAGTAAGTTTCATAGCGTCTTATTGCTGTGTTTTGGAGGCCACTAGTCTTTCTTTCATCTCTTTTTCAGTCCTTGTGAGAAGCGGAGAGGTGGTTAAAGTCCTGACAGAGTCGAGATGGCGGGTCACTTTTCTTCGTCCTGCGAGCACTATCATTCACAGTCGTCCTTTTTCTTGCTCTTGTCCAGCTGACAACAAGCTGGACCAAGTAAGGTAAGCGGTTAGTTCTGCAGTTGACGTGAAATGCTGACTCGTGAATTCATCCTGATGCTGACTTTCGATGCTAAATCTTGACCCTGACTTTCTATATTCTGATTCTGCAGGGAGGTAAGCCCGCGCAGCGGTCCCGTCTACCTGGCCTGGGCGCTGTTTGAGGCGGAGTGCGGCGAAACGAAGGCGGCCCTCGAGCTGTTCGAAACGGGCCTGGCGTATCGTCCACGAGACGTAGTTCTCATGCAGGTAAGATTACGTAGCTCGCTTAGAGTCGCCGACAATGCCCTGTAGTTCAGAGCTTTGTTATCTGTACTTTCAGTGGGTATTTCGACGACATCGATCGAGAGAGTCCTTTCGACTTGCAAGACGACTGGCTTTGTCCGCGGATACCTTCAGACCTTTCCGTATCCAAGCTCTTTACAGAATAAGTCGCAGGTCTTCGCAAGCTCCTTCTTGAGACGAGCGACCAGGGCGACCAGCCTAGCTGGCCGAATCAATTACCAAATTTCAGAGATCAGACATTGAAACGCACTACTGAGTTGCAGGTTCTGCGCTGGCTTCTGGTACGACGAGGGTGCTCACACCCGGCTGTTGTTTTGGCGAGCGGCGGCTCCTCTGAACCAGTAAACTGGGCTGGCTTTAAGGGAACGCCAATTTTCTTTCGAATCTACTATGATCTCAAGTTCTGTTAGGACTTTGTTGCAGGCCTTTGCGCTGTTACTATACGACGAGGGCGACCCTGCCCGGGTATAGCTGTTGCGGCGAGCCACATTTGGTTCCACGTCACCAGCTCAGCTGGCCACCTTTTGTTTCTCAGAGTTCATTGATTCCATGAACCTTTTTTGATGGTTTTACTCTTGAATTCGTTGCGCAGGCCTTTGCGCGCTTTCTTGTACGAAGAGGGCAACCTAGCGCGTGCGCGCCTCCTGTTCCGGCGCGCCACTCTCCCGGATCACGTCACCAGCCCAGTTGGCAGGTTTCACTCTTGGGCTTTTATTCAACTCCCGGGTTCTTCTCGACCTTCTGACGGGCGGATCGAAAATGGTTTGTGCAGGCCTTTGCGCGCTTTTTGTACGACGAGGGCGACCTTGCGCGCGCGCGCCTCCTGTTCCGGCGGGCCACTCTCCTGGATCCACGTCACCAGCCCAGCTGGCAGGCGTGGGCGATTATCGAGTGGAAGGAAGGGAACGTGCCCAAGGCGCGGGAGCTCTTCCAAAAGGGCGTCTGGGCGGCGCCCGGGAACAACGCTGATGTCGTCAAAGTGTTCCAGGTGGGTGGATCGTTGGACGTGGCTGACGTTGCTGGCCGGAGGGTCCGACGTTGCTGGGGGGCTTCTGTTTAGGGCTCTGCAGGGCCCCAGAATCTCACTGACTTCTTCCAGCTAAACGGACAGCTTGACGCCTCCTTCCCTGTGACCATCTTATCATCTTATGAGGCAGCCGGTATGATGTTTGGACGTCGATTTCCAGTTAACGAGGCAAAGGCCATGCATAGACCACCAAGCTTGTACTTTGTCACCGCCCTCACTAAGTGCCGTCCGAAGTTGTGAGCGTCAGGGACAGCAGCGGATGTCAGGCACATTGACGCCCATCTCAAGCGAAAGCGAAGGTTGGGCCAGAAACAAATACGAGCGTCCTTGCTTGCAGGCGTGGGGCGTGTTGGAGGAGCGGCAGGGCAATCTGACTGTTGCACGCGAGTTGTATAAGTGCGCGCTCAAGGCCGACCCAACGAGCGTCCTCACTTGGGAGGTGAGTTCTGGGCGCACGCGCGCATCGGTGTCTCGCGAGTGGCTTTCAAAACGGCTTGAGGAGTTCTTATAAGATCCAGCTTTGATTTGGAAGAGTGAAATTCCTTGTCGTGCATCTTTTCTTGGGAGGTGGATCCCGGCGCATGCGCACAATGCGACAATACGATAGTCTCGGCTCGCATCCATAAACATCTTGCAAGCAGACTTCAGGATACATAAGTCACCGGGTAGAAAATGATCGAGCGTGACGTCACGTGGATAGACGTGGGTGCAAACTGCGCAGCTGATTGGTTGCCAAGGATTCCAAAGCTTCCGAGTGATGCGAGTGGAATTACAAACGTCTTAGCCGGAGTCGTATGCGGACATAGCGTTGTTTGGAAGAGCTAAGCTCCTTGGTCGTGCAAATGGCAACTTATTGCAGGTTCCGCACCTTCTGAGAACGCACTTACTGACAAGGTCATCAGATGCGTGCCCATTTTCACGTTGGTTGAGAAATGACGTTCACAGTGTCGGCAGCAGTCATTTTGCCATCGTTCTCTTTTGTGATAGCTTTTGTGAATGTGTCGGAAGCCCAGCGCTCGTAGGCCAGATGTTCATTCAGTAGGAGCCTACTTCACCAAGATGCAGGAACGATTATTTTCATTTCACTCCGCCACCAGGTGGAAGATCGCAAACTACTTGGGTTTACTGAGTTAACCCTTCCCTTCTTCGCGCAGTCGTGGGCGCTGTTGGAGGAACATGTGGGGAACATTTTCCGTGCGGACGAGCTCCGGCGGCTGTGCATGCAGCAGCAAACGGAAGTCGTTTCCGTCGACCTGAGCCTCACGGAGGTGCTCGCGCCGGCGTTTAGCAAGATCAAAGAGTGGTTCAATTTCAAGGACAAGATACCGCTTGACAAGCAGATTCGCGCGTCGAGGGTTAGGGTTGAGGACGATTGAAACCAGGTTTGAGTCGGAAATACTGTTGCCTCGCTTGGCTGCGGGGGCAGCACCGTCCGCTCCTCGAAAGTGGACGGCAGTCTTGCTAGTGACTCTTATACAAGTACAATCTGATGGTTGCTTCACACGTGTGTGACTCGAAGGCTTTATGGGCATGTTTCAGCTCATGGTGGTCTTTCTTTGTTTTGCAACGTGCGCTTTCTGTCCACAAAGTTGCACAAGCTCTGAACACTGTTCTCAAAATGCTCGACAACCATGCTCGTGTCGGAGTCTACTCTATAGTGATGGGTGTACTCACCTATGTACGATCGGTGTCACGGGTCAATTATTGCCTGTGCCTAGCTCAAAGTCTGAACGCTTCTTGCACAATGCTCGTTTTGATGTTGGTTTGCGCAGAGCATGCGTGCTCTTCAAACTTCCGATGCATGGTGTCCCAGGCCCGATCCCAATGCACGCTCAACTTGGCAACTTGGCCGTAGTCCCAGCTCCATGCTCATCATATATTACTCTCAAGTTTTATGAGCGATTCGCCTAGCGCCACCTGGCGCTTTGAAATCCTGATGCTATTTGTGACGCGCGGGTGACATGTCGTTTGAGTCTGTGACGACCCATGCAGGAATCTAGTTATGACGCGCGTACGTTGCTACGACCGTCGAAGCCGGCGCCCGTATCGGATGCATATGACGTCCAAGCTGGGAAATCGTGGGGATCCCTCCGAGGTCCACGTCGTAGTCAATCATGACATATGCAACCTTTCAATGATGGTTCTGCCCAGCAGTATGCCTGGCAACGGCGCCTTGCAGTCACTGCAATAGGCTATACCTACTTCGCGGTGTGTTCCATCATGGACCAATGATGGGAATGGAGAGCGCTTTGCGTACAGATAGGGGGAGGCAATTGGCACAACGTCGGATCGAGGACTGCAGACTTCAGCATTTCGAATGGCGCCTGAGAATGTCAACTCTCTGAGCAGCTCAGCGCTCCTTTCTTGAACTCTTTGATGGAAAAAACTGCTGTCTCCTCACTCATTCTCAAAGACGCAGTACGTCCTTGCAGCTCACGTTGCCCCTTCATTGCGTCTCCAAAATCTCTGTCACTTTGCAGTTTACCATCTTGCGCCAGCTCATCCACTGAGAGTTGAAGCAGAATGCAGACAAACTTGCAGCTTTTTTTGGCGAAGCTTTTGAGCTAAAATCTGCTAAGTCCAGATGGAAACTGCTTCAATTGGATACAATTTAGTTCGTGAAGGGCTGATCCAGGTACTAGCTGGCTAGGGGGCTATTGGGAAAGGGGCCTAGGGGGCTCACTTCTGTGCCTAAGCCTTTCGGAGTTGGGTACAACAAACCCCGAGTACGAATTATGTTGGCGCCGGCATCAGTGATGTGACTCGTTTTCAGCATCATACCCGTGCTGTTCCTCTCGCTGTTTGAGTCAACCTGAAGGGAGAGTTTGCACAGTTGCCTCAAATCAACAGAGAGTTGGATAAGGGCTTGGGAGAGCCCACAGCAATTGTTGCCAGCTGAAAGCGATGCGCGCAAGCATGGATGACTTATCGGGAAAACAGCCATCAGCGCGCAAGATCCTGATACCCATCAGCGACTCTCCTGAAAGCAAAGCGGCCCTGGTATGGGCAGTCGAGAATCTCATCCGGAAGGAAGACCAGGTGTTGCTCTATCACATGGTCAAGACGCCAACACTAATTCCCACTGCAAGTAAGTTACTCATTCCCAGACATGGTTTGTCAAAGAAGGAGTTGACTTTGGAGGGCAGCTGAGGAACTCAGGTTTGGAACAAACAGCTGTGCATTGATTGAAATATAGGTGAAGATGAATTAAATTCTTTTCAGCTCATGCCTTTCAAGGGTTTCTACGGGATGAGTAGCATGACTTCAGTCCACCACCACGTCAGGTGGCATTGCAATCATGCCTCTTCTTTTCTCCAGATTGATTCAGTACCTGCCTGGATTGCTGGTTGCCAGATCCAACTCAAAGCTCTAGAGTTCCTCCCTTCTAGAGTTAGCATCAAAACTCCCGCCAATAGTTGCAGTATTTCACTCTTACAATGAAGTGCGCCATTGCCAGGGCTTGGGCACACATGCAATCACGGATAGCAAGAGAAAGCTTTCTAGACAAAGCAATCGAATAAAGCATCAAAGACAAGTATATAAGCAAGTCAAACCTGCCTTGCAGTGGGAATGGTACCCTACTCGGGGGCCTCGCCTGCGATGCAAAAGGCGCACGTTCTAGTTGCGACAGCGGACGGGACCAAGTTGCTGCGCAGCTTGCAAGCCTACGGCACAAACAAAAAGGTGGGCATGAGGAAAACATATTGATTACATCATGCTAGCGTGATGACGGCAATAAAGTACGCTGGATTGCTGTGCCCAGCTGTAGTTTGATTAACTGAATCCGCATCCCTACTCTTACATTCTTCATCGTCTGTAACACCGTTTCAACAAAATTTCATGGTTGTGTTGGTGTCTATGCTTTTGATAGTAATGCCGTCAGGGCCAGCAGCATTCGCCCAACTGTATTTATCCAACTTCGACCACACTGTCAAGTACATCCACTTTAGTGTACTGTTTTATAGGCCAATATGTAACCCATCTCATCTTTCACACCTTTCAAATACTTGCAGCATGGGATCCCCGTTCTCCGATCTGTCAGTGCCTTCCAAGCTAGGCAAGAAACATGCAAACCACACAAATCATCACTCCAGTCTTGAAAGTCCAGTCTTGTGTCCTTCCTCACATCCTTGGGGTCTTGTTCTGTGCACCAGATCGATGTGACAATAGAGGTTGGACGGTGCGACAATCGACATGCAGAGCTACTGCGGAAGGCCAAAAAGGAGGCGGCGACGCTCCTGATCATGGGAGCTGGGGGATCCCCCAGATTCGGTCTGCGGTGGGTCGCTTTGTGCTTTTCTGGTTTTCAGGTCGTTCTCGATTCCCATTGCTCCTGAGACTTCTGGAACTGAGAAAGTTTTGGATTGCCCAATGCTTCCGAAATTGTGGGTGTCCTTATAAGCGGCTGCTTTCCGCTATGCTCAGGAGCTCTGTGCCCATTGGAGTTCTGGCGTTGGTAAAGTGAATGTTCGACGCTTGCGGGGGTTTTTCCATTTGACTTTGAAGAACGGCTTGAGTGGGGTGTGTCAGATAGCCTCAGCTCACCAGTTTGCATGCAGCTGGGTAAATGTACTTTGCCGTTGAGCAAAGGAAGCAAAGCCAATTCCTCCGTTTGTGACCGCTTTCTCTCTGATTGTACTTCTGGAACATCTGGGCTCGGACCAAACGATCGAAGCCCGTCTGTTGACTAAGGTCCCCTCCGTTCGAATACGCTTGTATCAAGGAAAGGAGGGCACAAGCAAAGCCTGACTTGAAACTGTCGTTCTTGCAAAGTTGTTCTCAAGGCAACCAGACTGACAAGCATCTCCACGATCAGACCCGCGTAATTTGACTTCAAAAGCGTTGGCTTCGTCCGAGAATGCAGCACAAAACAGCCCCGGCCTGTAGCCCTTCATTGCTAGCACGCGGCCCGGAGCGGACTTTCCACAGAGCACACGTTGGAATGGCAAGCAAGATCACTTTGAGTTCCATGCTACGACACAAAACGGCGACACCAAACGACACCAACGCGTCTAACAAGATGTCCAAAGCTCTAATCCTCGGTACTCCTCTTCTGCAGGTTGGGAAAAAAGCAAACCTTGTCGGCCCGCATCTGCCGGGACGCGGAGTGCCACGTCATCCTGGTTGACAAGAAAAAGCGCCCCACGATCCACGCCAAATCTCCGGCGATCGAAAGCGTTGGCACCTCTCCTTCGGAACCCCGTGGGGAAGAGTCCGACAGCCGGGGACTATCCCCGGGGGGCGGTTTGGCGGGGATCCGGGCGAAGCTGGCCCTGGAAGTTCCGTCGGAGATAGTGCTCGGCGAGTTGGCGACTCCAAAGTTTGACGCCAGCCCAGCAAAGGCACAGTGAGCCGCGTCTTAAACCTGGCTCTTGTGATCACCTAATCATTTGAGGTTTGGGAACCGTATGTTGTCCTGTTGGCAGTATCCGAAAATCTCGATAGACAATCAAAGACCTCGGACAGTGAGCTGCGTGTTAGCCTTTGATCACGTGACTGAACTTTCCTAAGCCATCCGAGGTTTTGGAACTGTATGTTGTCCTGCTGGCAGAATCCGAAAACCTCGGTAGACCGTGTTAGCTCTGGGTCTCGTGATTGAGCTTTCCTAACCCATTCAAGGTACGCTATCCTGCTGCCAGATTTCGAGAATCTCAGTAGACAAGCAGATCTAACTGAAGCCCGTTGAAAGCTGTCATATGCTGTTGTAGGCATCCTTCGCGTTCGCTTCATTGGGGAGAAACGGTACTGATTTGCGCTCAAAGGGCTCTCCCTGCGGATTTCGTTGAGCTTGTGATGCACAAGGCGTGGAATCAAAAGTAGGCGCTTCTCTTTGAAAGCGTTGCAAAAGCGATGCACGGAAACCGTGTAGCTCAAACGTGCCCTCGACGACAATCTATAAGGCCCTGCTCTTTACTGGAAAAGAGTCCTTATACCATCCATATCATTTTTCGTTTGTTTGTTCAGGACATTGGCCTTCTAAGTACAAGGGTTTGATTACGGCCCGATCCCTTTTCAGATCGTCCGCATCAATCTTTGCTAAGTGCTGATTCCCTTTTCTTCCTTCTTGCTGAATCAAAGCCGTTCGTCTTCTACAGGAATGCAAGTAGCGCAACCCTCCCGCCAACACCCATAAGTGACGCTGCGCTGAACACTGCGCCCTTCAACCCCTCTTCCCCGGTCGCAACTCCCAGCGACTGCGTTTCTCTCCCACCTCAAACATCTTCGGACGGTGCGCGCTCACACACGGGCGGCGCGCGCCACGGAATCGGACGGCGCGCGCGCACCAGCGGATGGCGAGCGCAAAGAATCGGACACCCCGCGCGCCCAATCGGACGGTTCTCGGACGTGCTCTCAATCCCGAGAGCTCTTCCCGCTGCCCGAATGGGACGCTGAGGGAAGGGCGGGCAGAGACGCGGACGCAAAGTCGGAGGGGAAGGTGACCGGAAAGGAGAAGATGAGCGGAACGGGAAAGGTGGGCGGAATGAAAACTGAAGATGCGGTCGGAAAGGAGCACGGAACAGGGGGCGGAAGGGGCGAGGTGGACGGTGAGCCCGAGCGAGGTTCGGACGCAAATGAGGAGGCTAAAGAAAATGCGGACGTAGTTGCTGACATCACTGCCGAAGCTCAAACGCCTCCGCTGGGGCGCGCGCGCGCGGGTGGTTCCGACTGTTCTTCGCTGACAGGAGTTCCTCAATCGGATGGAGCTTCACCGAGAGAAAAGGAGGGGCGCGCATTTTTGGCGACGCCCCGGCCCTTTGGTAATAGACTGGACGCGATCGGGGTGCAACTACCCAGCCCGAAGACCGGCACTGTTCGAAATGCGAAGCCGCCGCCGGGACCGTTGGAGTCCCCGTTCTGCAGTCCCCGCCGTGAAAAGCGGCCGATTCCGTCAGCGAAGGCGCTGATCAACCGGGTGTTTTTGGCTCTTAACGAGGCCACCTCTGCGGGGTCCATTAAACCAGACCCGTTTTCAAAACCGTTTCTAAGTCCGCCGTCAAACCCGGTGTCAAACCGTCGCAGAAGCCCCGCTCGGTCACTCAGATCCCGGGGGATCCCTCCGCGGAAGCGCGCACCGGCGGACGGTTCCAGAGAGTCCCCGGTCGTCGGTTATCCGTCGATCTGGACGTTCGTGAAACCGCAGGTTACTGCGGGCCCCGTGTTCGGAGCATTGTCCGAAAATCTGTCCAACGATCATCCAGACGAAACGTTGCTGGACGATCGTTGGACGTGTGTCAGAAAGTCGCAAGACAGTCGACGGGCGTCCGCAAGACACTCGCTGGACGGCCAGTTGCCAGACTTCGGGCGGATGTCCGCCGGAAAGGCGCTGAGCGCTCGCCAGCTGTCCGCCGGACACTTCTCGGACGTTCGCTGGCTGTCACCCGGACAGCCTCCGAACGGTCGCCGAACTTCTCTCGGAATTTCGCCGGACGCCCGCCGAACCTTCCGTGAAACGGCACCGGACAGCCGGCGGAATTCCGCCAGACGCTCGCCGGACGCTTGCCGGACGTCCGAGGGGCGTCTGGGACGCTCGCCGACACCGTCCGAAAATCAGACGGGTGCCGAACCGGAGGCCTTGATAGCGCGGCTGAGGGAGCAAGTCGATCTACTGACGGAGATCGGCAGTCTGAGAGATAGAGAATTCGAAAACGTCGCGAGCCGCGCGAAGCAGGCGGAGAAGGCGGCGGAGGAACGAGAGAGGTGAGCTAACTTTGTGGGTTGCGAGGTTTCGACGGATGAATTTCGACATTTTCGAAGTTTGAGGAAAAACAGCCACGAAATTCTCCTCTCTTTGACCCTGTTTGGCTGTCCTGGTCCGACGAATGTCCTGCTGCGTACTCTCGTTAATCCTAGAGGGCGCTTTGAAAAGTTGAGTGTTTGGGTAGTGTTCTTTGGGCTCATCAAGTCTTCCGCTTTCTTCTTCCTTTTCTTTTCCTGTCCTTGATGGGAAGGTCTGATTAGCTCTTGTTCTCTCCATAAGTTTTCAGGTTCGGCCATTTCCTTTCCCGGAATTCGACATTGGAAAGCTCCGCTGATTTATAGCAGCTCGGATCAACACTAGTACGGGTTCATTTGCGCCCAAGCCAACCCGTTCCGCTGACCGCTGTCCGCTTCCGTTGTCGCAGGGCGCTCCTGACGGAAAAACTGATGCGGGAGGAGGCGGAACTCAAGGCGAGGCGGCTCGCCAACCAGATGGCGGCGTTGAGAGTGCATGCATCGCGCGCAAATGCGGGCGCTGGTAAGAGAAAGTTGACTAAAATAGGAATTGATTCTATCTGCGTGGTGAGCGTTCAAGGCCTTTACGCAAGATCGTCTATCGCACTTTGATAGGCGAAATCGTCGAAGACTTCAATGCAACAGATCTAGACGAGCGCTCATAGCGCTACTGAAACGTGCCAAGTTGCGCGCGAGTACGAGAGGCGTTTCCGAAGTTGATGGTAAGTATCACTCGGAAGTGTTCGGACAAGTCGTAACAAGATTCCGGCGCTGGTAACTTATGAAAAGAGCTGGTGGCCACAGACGGTCCAATAGGCTTTGCCAAGGACGAGCTTTCCGAGAGCTCGCGAAACGAGAGGTTCCTGAGCGTGCTCCCACGTTTTCCAATGACGTTCGTTCTTCCGTGGAATTGGGGAAGAACAACAGGAGAAAACTGGTGCACGGGAAAGGCGAAGTCAGGGAGGGGGTGAAAAGGGGCGACTGCAGTATTCAAGGGTTTGTTTACTTGGCAGGGATGCCAGGTTGCACGCTTTTGTGAGCTTAGGTATCTCAATATAGAGGGCGGAAGATCGCGTTTTTCTAAAATTCTACTAACCCGTATGTTATTCAGGTATCTCCGAATGCATTTGGGTGCTCCAACTTGGATAGAATCTATTGTTCTCAGATTTTGATGAGTATGTTTGGTAATCAACTCTGGGTGCTTATATATAATGTTTTTAACTCGTCTGCGTAGATTAGATGACGAGGCGCTCATCACGTCGGTCTGGTTGCAGCGTACTCTTCCCAAACCTTTCGCAAATCGTTTGGAGTTTGTCGTTGACCAAAGCTGCCAACAAGCATGGCTAACCACAAAAAGTCCCCCCCGCTTAGAAGGCAAGGACATCTTTCACGACTTGGTGTACTGTAGGCACTAGAATCGAAGCTTGCGTCAATCTGGGGTTTAGTGTTCCAGCTTATTTTTGGGTTTAGTGTTCAGCCCATCCTTTACCTTTGCAGATCGAACGCATCCCCCACCGCGCCGGTAGTTGCCATCCAGGAGGGTTTTTCCGTTCCGCACCTCAGCATTTCCTGGAGGGAATCCGCCGGACCGGGACACTAAAAGCCGACCTTCATTTGAACCTGATGAATTGAGTCTTTACATAGGAGTCCCGCCGTCGCGTCCTAAGTTATCCACATTGCGCGCGCATCGTCTTTGCAGCTTAGAGCTGATGTCCAAGCCATCCGATATCGCGCGCGCGCGCGCCCCAATCACGTGCTTTGATTCTCGCACATGTACTGACGAAGAATCTGTCCAACATCAACCTCTGTAGATTAACTTCCCGAGATCTTGGTTCATCAGCTTTGCAGGAGTCCACATTAGGATTCAACGCGAAACTTTGTGGGATTTACAGACTGTATTCTAGCATCAACGGACTGTTTTAATTTGGAGCGTCTTGTCGGATCAGTAATTCTCGATCTGTGCATGCCACCTCATGCCTGAGACAAACAACAACATGATAGCCTGTATGAGGCGCTTAACGCACTGGCATGCTTCAATGACAGTTTCCATCTGCTGATATGAATCTGACGGGCTCGATGCCCGGCCGCACATGTCTTGTATAGTGTGAGTCAATTGGTTTGATTCACGATTCCACGCAACAGCCGCCATGTTCAGGCTGACCGTGAACTGCGCAGGCGGAATCAGTAGGAGCCGCGCGCCAAGCTTCAAGGCTTCGCGTGCACATGTGTATCATGGCACACGTATACCTAGCTCAGTGTTCATTGAAGATCGTTGGATCGCACATACGCATGCATTTCCTAATTGCGGCTAGCATCATTGACGGTGTGATTTTAGTGCAACAGAGGTCGGAGCTTGAGGCATCATCCCCGCTTCTGCGGTCCGCAGGCTCTGTATCAACCGTCTGAGTATGACCCCAACAATCAATTATGTCACGCAAGCTAAGCAATCGTTGAATGAACATGCTGCTCGATTAATTGACTATGTCCGGGAAACATAGAACCGGTCCACACGTTGTTACCCCCGGGGCCCAGCGCTGCTTGAGTCAACATATGCACCCTAAGGGATCTTTTCTGAAACGACACACTCAGTACGTACATACGAATTAATGATCAACTCGGGTGCGCCCAAGAAAATCATGGGTACGTACAAACGAAAACAATGATCAACTCGGACGCGCCAAGAGAATCATGGGCATATGTTTAGGTCATTTTGGATGTCGTGTCTTGCGGGGCGCGGCGGGTGTCGAGTGTGCTAGTTGCTCAAAAGACGAGCAATAGAATGGCCAGTCACTGGCTGGTGTGCACAGGCAGCCAGTTTTCACATACACATAACATTTTAGGACGTTACGAAAGCGCCGCATGGTTGGCCATCGCTCAACAAATTACTGCTCGTTGTTTTAAATTTGGCAATGATAAAGTGTCCCTTTGGATGACGTGCCGCTTGCACAGCAATCCAACCAGTTTCGCTCGTTTCCAAGATAGAACCCGCGAATGTAGCAACCTCGTTTGTCAATCATGATTGCGACCACTTCAACACATAGAAAACTGTCAACGTCCCACTGGTACTCCCTCTGTCAATTAAAGCCGGCTGCACCATGCGGCCTGCAAGAGCAGCATACTATCTCAATTCATCTGCCTATGTGCTTCTCAAATGGAGAAATTAGAAGCAGTGCGTCAACAGTGTACCTCAACAGTGTACCTTGTGTGCTCAGTCGTGACCACTGAAACCACATTCTGGGAGTCGCGTTACATATGAGCCCAAAGAAAATTACATACAGCAATGGTCGCCTGCCTTACCTTGCTTTTTGGAGTAACAAATCAACCCAGTGTCAGGACAGCAAAATTGCAAGGCAGTTGCCTTGCTTCACGGCCGCCGGAAGCGGATAGGCCCTCTGAATGCGGCGTCTGGATCCAGGGTGTTAGAGCCCTGTAAAGATTACATAAGTCAAGTTCAGACAGAAGAGCCTCCCCTTATTTGCTGGTGACGGCGTGCTCTAAGAGGTTTCATCAGACAAGTCCACCCTGCGCGAACAAAAGGCCATGAACAACTTCGGAGAATGGACGGAGGGGGATAGAAATTCATCTCTTGAGGAACGGTTGTGGGGGCTCATCCCGTGTATGTTTGTGACTGATCCTATTAGTCATGCGATGATCAAGAGATAGAGATGCCTTCATAGAGATGAAAAGCTACTTTCTAGTTGCTCTCCCCAAGCTTCCAAAAGTGTCAGGCAGCAGACTGCATGGCTGCCGCTGACGTACTAGGGAGAGACGCTGTTGCGGGCAAACAACACTACTCCGCCACAGTACGAATGGCAAACAGAGGAGTCTGTCCCTTTCACTTCCTCAATCTCTTTGAACGCTCCAACCACACTCAGATGTCAAGATCGCTTGCGCCTTTGGCCCATTTTCAACAGGATCATAACCCCCGGTGGTCTCATTCAGTGCACAAAGTACTGTTGAAGCTCAGGAAATACATTTGCCAAGCCTGCGAGCATTAGTCAGAAAGTAACAGAACTCCCTTGCTACAAGCATAAAAATCTTACTGCCAGCTATCAGGGAGGGGGCCCCCAAACCTGGTTATCAGAATTGATGTGCCTTTGCAAAATTACGTACCCCAAGGACGTTCCTGATTCATACTAGATTGATCATTTTCTGGCATTGCGGAGAAAAGAATACTGGGTTTTGATGCAGGTGGTGAAAACTGGAAACCGATATGGATCCAATGGCAGCCCTGAAAAGAACAAAACAAGGCAGAACACACTGAAGTGAGGGCTACAACAAGATTTTGATGCTCGTGTCGAAGTACAGAACTTGTAAAAGTTGAATTACTTGCACCACCATGGCGCTCATTGACAACATCTAAACCTCTTCTGATGGTCATGCCCACCTGCGTGATCCTGAGCTGGCCCGCCTTGGCCAGGCTCCGACCAACGTCTCTAACCTGCTCCATGATGTCCCTCCATCCGACCCCGCCGAGTGCCCGAGCTACCTCAGACGGACAGATTGACGATGTGGCTGCCCGCTCACTCAACATTTTTAGCGCACAATGCTCAATTGCTTCGGCGCCCGGGATGCAGTCGCTGACATGGACTAAATTGTCTGGTTCTTCTCCACATACTCCTGTTTCCGCATTCTGAGATGCAACTAGGCGCGGGCCCAAGTCAGGAGCCCTCGATGTGACGTCTGAACCAGCAACAGGACTGTCTTCTTGCCTGGACGCTTGTCCTGTCTTTCCATGCCCACGAGATGTTTCGTCGAGCACGTTCCCCTTCTTGCCCTTCTTCCTGTTGGATGAGCTTCTCCCCTTGCTGCCAGTCTCACCCGTTCTTTTCTCTTTCCCTGACCCACGTGTGCCACGGCTTCGAAGTGAGTGACTCACTTCTTCCTCTTTTCTCTTCTTTGGCTGTGGGGACATGCTTTGCTTGCAACCAAGCGCCGTTTGCTCCTCATGTCAACCACCTCAGGCCAAGTGGAGCTACGGTAGCTTGCTTTGAACGAGTCAGCTTGCATGAGAATGGAGCGACTGGAGGGTAAAAGCCCTCACGAAGCGGGTCATCTCAGCCGTCGGATATCGCTTGAGGTGTTTCCTTCAGCACATCGAGCCGTCAAATCTGGCGGGAACGAACTTTCGCTTCTTCATCCCTTCAACTGAAGTTTAACTTTAAGTTCTCCAGAGTTCGTAAAACCTGTGATGACAGTGATCAAATCCAGGAGCCAAGGCAGTGGCTCTTGGCCCTTCTTTTCTAGCGACAGGACAGACACTGAAAGTCTGATTGCTTCATGGTAAGAGTAGAGATTTGCTTGGCGCTGGTCACTAGTTCCGCAGAGCGCGAAGGGCAGTGCATGGCGAAGAGAATACGGGCAGGAAGAAGGAGCATAGACCAGCTTTCTCTTACTAGGCTTTGCTGACTGCATAGCCCCATTTTCTTACCGGCCTGCACAAGTTTACAATAATTTTTAGCTTTTGGGAACCAACTGATCATGGCGGAATCATCGGGAAGCGGCGTCCACCAGTTCAACAACATCTTTTTGTCCATGAGGAGCGGCCTGGTAAGCGCGTACTATCTACCTGTTCGTTTGTGCGACTTGGAAATCTGAAGTGGAGTTTCTACAAACCCTTCTGACAGCTCGAGGATGCTCACTGCAACATTTCGATCTGGAGTGGTGTGATGATTAAAGCTGGAGTGGCGTGATGACATTGCTGCACGCAGTTTGTCCAGTAAGGGCACAACATTGTATTGTACCTCAATCGTCTTGCAGTAAGGCGAATTGTCCGAAGTTGCCTGGCAAGACATCTGTGGACGCGAAGGGCATGCCACCTTTGATTGCGCCAGTACAATCATTTCCTGCCGCAATGTCTCTCTAAAGTGGCAGCTAACGCCCCAAAAATAGCTTCTGTACAACCGAGCCGTTATGGGCTGTATCAACCTCACACCATCCCCACTGCTGGTCTCAGAACCCGGGTCAGCTCAAACTGCACTCCGGCGGCCTCACTTGGAAGAAGAGCGGAGGTGGCAAGGAGGTCAATGTCTCCCGCAACGATATCTCCAGCCTCATGTGGCTTAGGGTTCCGAAGGGTTTCCAATTGGCCGTGAAGTCCCGGGCAGGGTCCAAGGTCAAATTCAATGGCTTCCGGGAGCAGGTGAGCTTCAATTTCTGTACTGGTCTTTTCCCCTTTGGCACTGATGATGAGTTTGTCTAAAGTACTTTGGAGGCTTGCGCAAGAGTTCCTGCCCAATTTCTCGTGGCAGGAGGGCAGGCTTTGCTGTTGCAGTCAGCTTCTGAAACTGTGCTGGTGTGCTTGCCACTATCGTCGGCATCCTTCCTTCTCGCAGCACTTTTGAGATATGTTAGGGTGCCTCTCCTACCCAGGTCTTGTTTAAACCCTCTCGCAAAATATTTGGACGGGTATGTGCGCAGTCAAAAGACTGTAGTTTTCTACTAATTTTTCTGCAGGATGTGAAAGCCCTGACTCCCTTCTTGACGAGCACGTACAAGATCACGCCCGAAGATAAGCAGCTGGCCATTAACGGACGGAATTGGGGGGAGGCAGAGATCGACGGTAGGAGGCTTTTCTTTTAACTGAACGCATCTTGCCTTGCGTCTCATTTAAACGAGCTTGCATGGGCTTCCTTACGCTCGGTCACGCCGACTCCCAAGGTTTTGAGGTTGTAATCCTTTTTGGGAAACCAGGCGTGTGTGGCTTGTCAGCTCGAACTGACTTTTGCCTGCTTTCTGGAAAGTTGCTTGTGCGGAGGTGCCTTGCATTTCCCCTTTTTGACAGGATGAAAGCAGCGGATCGCTGACATCCTTCATACAGCAGAACGATTTACTCTCCGCATTGTCGAAAGAACCCACCTCTCCAGCCAAAAAAGGTCCCGATATTCTCCTTTCACAAGCCAAGAGACGAGCAACTAATTCTGGGGTGCTCGATAAGTCCAGTCCTAGACCCCCCCGCCAGTCAAACTCGAAACAAGAGGGGGAGGAGCTCCACCGCCGAAGACGCATCTGTTTTGGCCTTGCTCTCTCTAGTCGTTGGTTCTGCTCGGGTTTCCACTGCACGGGCCTCAAGCAAAGTCAGGGCTACCCTCATCTTTGCGCTGACACCCACGAAACATCAGCGAGTCATCTTATGTCAGCACGCTCACGAAGTTTCTCGCCATCGCAGGCAACATGCTGTCCTTCAACGTGGGGTCGAAGCAAGCGTTCGAACTGGCGCTCTCAGACATTTCGCAGGCTACGATCCAGGGCAAGAACGAGGTCGTTCTGGAGATGCACGTCGACGACACGTCGGGAGAGCACGAGGTGCGTGCTTCACCCCTTTCGGAATGGTGGATGTTGCCTTTCTTTTCAGACTCTTTGCTAGAAGAGTCTTGTGCTGGAGAAATAAAACGCTTACTTCACAATAGCAAGTACATCGTGGCCCAAGCCGAGATCCTGTGCACCTATGGATTCTGGTTCCTGCTTGAAGGTGTTTTCGTCAACTTGCAGTCCTTAACTCGTTGACGAATCTGTACCTAGTCCCCAATGTACACCTCCGCATGCACCGGGGTTTTGAACAGCACGCAAGGGTTCCGCAATTTTCCTAAGAAGCAGACGGTCTGTTTGTTAAAAAGCATGAGGCACCTCTTCTAAGCTCTGAAGAAAGTTTTTAACATTGCGCAGAAGGACACGCTGATCGAGATGAGCTTCCACATCCCTCCAACTAACACGACATACATCGGCGACGAGGAGCGCACGTCCGCGCAGCGCTTTTACGAGCGGATCCTTGAGCGGGCGGACATCGGACCGTCGACTGGGGAGGCGGTGGTCACATTCGACGAGGTCGCGATCTTGACACCAAGGTGCGTGCGCAGGCTGATCCGCTTGATATTTGGGCTAATGGTGTAAATGAGACTTTCGAGATGCGAATCCTTCCGTCGACCGGGGAGGCGGTGGTCACGTTTGACGTGGTCGCAAAGTTGACACCAAGGTGCGTGCGCACTCTAAATCACATTGGGTTTTGTCTGGTGTTGAAAGAGTCTTTGACAAGCGGATCCTCGAGCGGACTGACATTGGGACGCAGTAGGGAAGGCCGTAGTCGCGTATAATGCGATCGCGATTTTGACACCGAGCTTTGTCAGCAATATATCTTCCAATCCATCTTCTGGGACTGGTTAGTTATAGGCCCTGCGTTTGTGGCTCAGTTCGCAATCCCACCCGGTCGACAGATACATGAGGTTGTCTTCCACGAACTAGGGGTCTCCACCTGAGAGCCCCTTCCTATGCTTCCGACATATTAACAGCAACATGAAGTTTTTGGACATGAAAATTTTGCGCGCAGCAATGAGAGAGCTTTCGTCACGGCTCACTATCCCCTCTCGGCAAGCTTGTCAATACCAACGAAGTTACTCAGGCAGCACTCTCTTATTGCAACGTACGTTCTGCCCGCTCGTTGACGATATTCAGATACTTCATGCTACTTTGCAGACAGAGAATCCAGACTTGGATTTTACCCCAAAACTGTGAAAGCCTATGAAACCCTAGTTATTTGAATCCTTAACGCCTAAAATCTGGAACCTTGCAGGGGACGGTACCAAGTGGAGCTGTGCTTGGGCTTCCTGCGGCTGTCGGGGCAAGCCAACGACTTCAAAATTCAGTACCCCAACATTGTCCGCATCTTTCAGCTTCCCAAGGTGGGTCTCAGAGTGTTTGCGGTACTCTCTTCGCACTATACCCACCCACAAAATATCTGTAAAGGATGGCGTGGTCTCTTCCCAGGGCCCCCCGTCCTCTCATCGGGGCCGTATTCTAGTTGGCTGACAGATGTCAGCGTTGCCCACGTTCTTAGGCGGATCCTCGGTATCTGTGAGGACTTGTTTCGTAACACTATTGCCTGGTCCCTTCTCCGGTCCCGAGCCTCTGAAAGTGAGGTTCAGCAAAGCTCGGCAGCCCTGTTGCGCGTTTCCGACCACGAGCAGGTTTTGATTCTCCTCGATACGCCCAACGATTGTTCTCGCGCACTTTTGGAGACTTTTTGTTCCACAAACCACGGCCCGCAGCAGTGAAGAAGTCGAATATGAGAGCGACTCACAATCGCTTCTCTTCCTCGCAGCCCAATCTCCCGCACACTATGATTGTGATCACGCTCGACCCCCCAATCCGAAAGGGCCAGACCTTCTACCCGCACATTGTCCTACAGGTAAGGTCGCCTCGCGCTGCTTCGACCCGTTGGCACCGGTTGTTCCGTCCTTTGAAATCCGTCTTTTTTGTTCGCTCGAAAGTCGAGGTGGCTTTATTAACTTTCCGGAGCGGGCTTGCGGCGGTTAAACATCGTGAATTTGTCTTACTAACCACCGTTCAACCGCGCTGATGGAAACAGGGCTCGTATCGAGTGACGTCTGACGATTCAGTTGGCAAGTTTAAATGTGCGGTCGTGCCACATACAAGTGCAGCATGAATCAAGCCTGTAAAATTCTCGAAATCAGACCAAAGTCAGTGTGTCGCTACGGCCGAAAAGCCGAAGGCACATTTGAGTGGTGTCTGACAGCATGTGAAGACTCCCGCACACCATCACCGTGAAAATTGAGTACCTAGCGACGAAAGGCGAATAGATTCCTGAGCCCTCAAAGCTCTCACTTTTGCCTGCTGGAAGTGCCAGCGGTACCAGCCTGTGCTGTGTTAGCCTCTGTCGGCTTATCGAACCGAGATTCCACGATCCTCCCTGGTTTTCTGAGACGTATCATGATGACCCTGTCGTCTGTGACGCCGACCGTGTGCACGACCTGTGACGTCACATCATCCTCCCTCGGTGCAGTTCCCAAGCGAAGAGGAGATCTCCGTTGCTCTCGACATCGAGGAGCAGCTCCTTGAGACCAAGTACAAGGACAAGCTAGAGCCCACCTACAAGGTATGCCTCCGCTTTTTTTCTTACTGATCTCTTTCTAGTTCTTGATTCCTCTGTTTGTTTGCTTGCACGTTACTGCACACTGCGGAAGCCCCGTAAATGCTAGTGCTGCATGTCTGATCTGATGTTCGTAATGCTTCCTTGAAACTGGGTTGCTTTGCAACAGGGCCTGACCAGGTTTACACCTCACTATGCCCCTTTTGCACTCTCTGTTCTTTGCATTTTGTGCCCCAGCTCTGTCTCATAACGTAGGCTTGAACTTCTAATCTTGACTGAAGCCGACGACGTCTCAAGTTGGGGTCAGAAGCCCATTCTAGGTGCGCTGTCTAATCTGGTAGATCTTGGGTGACGCCTGCATATTTCTAAAACCGTCTCATACCTGGTTTGCCTCCCACAGGGCCTGACATACGACGTCTTCTCGCGGATTCTGAAAAACCTGGCGGATTCCAAGGTCACCAAGCCTGGGCAGTTCAAGAGCCACGGCGACCAGTCAGCGGTAAGCTTCACTGTCAAAGTCGCCTGGATTTTAGTATCTTAGGGGATGCCCTGGAGTTTTCGTTCTGTGGCGATTGTCCAACGGTTGTTACTGACCGACCCGTCATGGTTATTGCAATCAGAGCTTGGATCTGTACAAGACGCGAAATACGGTAGCACAGCTCGGAATTGTCTGCAGGGTTGGAAAGGCTGTGTTGCTGAGTCGTTGACGATTTCAAGTAAAGAAAAAATCTGCAGAGCGTTTGTCGATGCTTGGCAAGCTTCTCGACTTCCATGTCTCCTGCGGCACTGCTCAGAGACATCTTCCTTATGACTGGCTTTCTCTGAGGACCGATTTTCTGATCACCTATCCGTCACCAACTAAGGAAGGAGCTTCAGTCGGGGTCATGTGCGAACCGTCTCGCTCGCAAGTCGGAGCCTTCTGCCTATCAGGAGAATTTGTTGAGCACTAAACATAGTCGTGTGGGTTGGTAATCTGCTCGCACAATCTGAGACCGGCTTTGTGTTTTCCCAGGTCAAGTGCTCGTACAAAGCGGAAGAGGGTTTCTTGTACCCGCTCGAGAAGAGCTTCTTCTACGTGCATAAGCCGCCCATCCTAGTTCTTCACGACGAGGTACGTACCGGCTTCGCGAGTTAAAATCGTCCACAGACATATGGGCCTTGACCTGGTTTCTTTGTTAACCGCCATCCTGTTAAAATTCGATCTGACAAGGAGTACACGGCAGTCAGCAATGAAGAATCGGTGGGTTTGATTTCCTCGAAAGTAGTGCACTGGACGAGCTTTCTGCTTACGTTGAAACCAGATGGCAAGCAGCAGGTGGTCACGGCTGCCGGTTTCAGAGGTCCGTTTATTATTCTCAGCAAGCATGTGAACGTCACTTACTTCATCCCAGTGCGCGAGCGAACATCGAGCCATTCAGATTCAAACATTTAACATTGTTAAGTTGCCTAAATTGCGGCCGCCAGTTTTGGAAAACAATCCCTACATGCTGACGACACCTTGGGCGACGCTTGCAGTGCGAGACAAGGAGTGGTCGCGCAAGTGGCAAGTTCTTGAGTAACAACCACAGGAAAAAGTTATGGGCAAGGGAGGCTAGTACAAGCCAAAATGTAAAACGCTTTGACAATGCTGTGTCCACTTGTGCAGATCGAATACATCCAGTTCGAGCGGCACTCTGCGTCGGCGTCAATGGGGACCCAGGCGAAGACGTTCGATCTACTGGTGCACTTGAAAACGGAGGTAAGTATCTTCCTTAATTGGACTGCTCTGCCTGAGCCTACTATGTCCAGTCGTGCCTTCCATTTCTTTTAGCCTTTTTGAGGCTTCTTGTTGTGTGCATTTTGAGCTTTGGTATCAAGACTAAAGCACGGGCCTCGAAAGTAGTGAAGGTGGTTCGAAGTGTCGTCTTGCGATTTCCGCCTGTCCATGCATTGGGACGGGGCAACAACGTTTTCAGCCGAGGCGTTCGTCCGGAACAAGATGCGGACAGAATTCGCGGCTGGTCAACCCTTTTGTTTTGTCACCTAGCACTACCATGACGGCCCACTGGACAATTGCGGTGTGAGGAATGGCGCACGCAACAAATTGGCAGTCTTGCGGCCGAAAGGTCCTGCTAGCGACTTGAATGTGCGCTATTCGCTCTGCCGCTACTCTTACCGGAGGAGCACTTGCATTTCCTTCGAGTTAACACGAGATCTGCATTTTGAACCCGTGTTGTCGCCAACCTCAGACTGAGCACCAGTCCTTGACATTCAGAGACTGGAAGTTCCCCCGCTCTTCATTTCCATCCCGGCCAAGCGGATAGAACCCAATCCTGCCGCTTGCTGACATCCGTGGTAAAGATATTCTAATCAGAGGACTTCCGAATCTCGCCTTTTTCCAGGCAGAGCACCAATTCCGGAACATCCAGAAGACGGAGTACTCGACGCTCTTCAACTTCATCCGGGCCAAACGTATTAAGATCCTCAACTTAGCGGAAAACCAGGACCGAGGGGGCGGCGCGGTTGGGGCGGCCGCGGCGCTCGATTTGGAGGAGGAAGAAATGGACCCGCATCTGGCGAGGATCAAAAACGCGCGGGAGGGGGGGCCGGCGATGGTCGGGGAGCAGGACGATGACGACAGCGATGACGAGGTATGACGTCATTGGATTTGCTTTGCTCCTGAGAGGTGTCGTACCTGGTAGCAGTAGTTCTCCTCTGTGACGGCTGCTGCTGGGGCGGCAGCGGTGAGGGAGGCAAAACGTGATGCTGCGCTCTTGCGGTTTCTTGGTGCTTCGACTTGAGAAACTAAGGTCTTGCAAGGTGTCAGGAAGCGTTCAAGTGATCCTGCGGTGTCATGGAAGTCGGACGTGTATTTGCAGACGAATTCAGGATCGTTTGCGGGACGCTGTGACTTTCGGGTCTTTTGCTATGCCCAGAAGTACACATTCCTTATTTTCCAGTTTAAAAGCTCGCTACTCTGCCATGGTGCTGACAAAATTGGACGGACGGGTTGGACATTTCTAATTATTGCCAGAAGCCAATTCGGTAAGGTGCAATCCTGAGTGTTCGAGTTTGTGTGTCTGCAGGACGAACATTTGATTACATTTGAATCTAATTTAATTTGGGGCGCGGACAACGACGGCGGCAGTCCGACGGATAGTTCAGACGAGGAGGGGTCGGACGCTTCGTATTAGCGCCAGGAGCTAAAACCCAATCCCGTTAGGCGCAAAAGTCTGATTATTCGAAACTGTGTGTTCGCAGGACGAGGACTTCAAGGGGGGCGCGGACAGCGACGGCGGCAGTCCGACGGATAGCTCGGACGAGGAGGGGTCGGACGCATCCGAAGACGCGGGGCCGAAGCGGAAAGCGGCGCCCAAAGAAAAGACGCCCGCCAAGAAAAAGAAGGCGGAGAAGCCGGAAAAAGGTGCGCGAAATTTACTTCGGTGACGAAACCAGTCTTATTCGACGGACGCCCAAAAAATACTAGGGCGCAGCATCGACCTTTGGTGAATTCCGGTGCACGCTTCGGAGCTTCAAAAGTTGCAGAGGTTTCGGATTCTGAGCAATGGTTGAAGCGGTTGGATAAGCGAGTGTGCTTTTTGCGCTGTCCCCGTTCTTCCTCTGTGCGATCGTTCTAGACTTTAGTGCACGAGGTTTGGGGTGTGCGGATTAGGATTTCCGATAAGGAGCATTTGTTGGATTGATGGATGAAGCAAAAGTGGTTAAGCAAGGGCGTCAGACGTCATTCTGAAAGCTTGGGCTCTTACTGGAAAGGAAGGATGATGTATGATGGAGAGTCTTCTCTGTGCAGAATTGCATTCCCGATCAATCTCCTCACTTGCTGGTCCCCTGGACTTACGTACGTTGAGGCGCAGGAAACAAGGAGGAATCGTGCTTTCCATATTGACCGGTCACAGACGATTTTCGTTTCCTTCGTCAGCAGGAAAAGACGAAAAGAAAAAGAGGAAGAAGAAGGACCCCAACGCGCCCAAGAAGTCGCTCAGCGGTTTCATGTTCTTCTCAAAGGCGGAACGCGAGGTGAGCTGCTCTTTTAGAGACGCGGATCAGATGTCCCCGCAGTGGTGTCAAAGCATGTGAGTTTTTCAAGTCTTGAGAACAGGGGTAGTTTTGCTTCCTTCCGGACGCGGATCAGGGTGCCCCGCTTTAGTCCGAAAGTATATGTGAGCTGTCACCTTTGACAACAGGAGTGGTTTTTCATTCTATTGGAAAGCGAGGGTGAGTGAGAGTATCACGGGCCAAGCCGACCACAATTATCTTCGTCGCATTACCATATAACCTGTGACAGCCTGTTAGGTGACGAGTGTTGGAATCGTGTCGCAGCGCCCTTCGCCCATTTACGAGCGCTCACTTCGCCGGCATTTTCTGACCGCAAACGTTTGCTCTCTTGCAGAGGCTGAAGAAGGAAAATCCGACCCTTCCCTTCACGGAGATTGGCAAAGTGTGCGGCGAGAAGTGGGGCAAAATGTCGAGTGAGTTGGCCCCGTCGTGCTTTGCCCTATACTCCTCACCTGGTTTACTCGGTCTCTTTGTGTACCCCGTCTGGCTTTTTGATTCACGGATGTTGGCTCCCATCTCGTGGCGTGTGATTCGGATCGAGTCAGATGATGCGACAGTCAATGTCCTTATCGAAAGTGCAGAAGTTGAAACGTTCTTAATTACGACGAGGGAGTGATGGTTTCTCGCAATCCTTGTTCCTTCTCTGAGCTTGGAACGGTGCTCCAGTCCAGAAGTGGAGAGGTTTGGTAAAGCGGAAGGCACACAAACGGAGGTGACCATTGGCAGGAATTCTTCCGGAATCCTGATCGGCTTCTTTGACTGGTCCGTTTGAAGTCGACTCAGACGTATCTAGCATCTTGCGCCCTGGATGTGGTCTCACCTGTATACAAAGTCACCTTTCAGTATAGCCCTTGTGACGTCACCTCTTGTCCGTCTGGCTTCCTCGCAGAGGACGATAAGGCCCCTTACGAGGAGCAGGCCGCGGCCGACAAGGGGCGCTACAAGGAGGCCCTTGCGCAGTACGAAAAGAACAAGAAGCAAGAGCCAGCGCCAGTGGAGGAATCCGAGGAGGAAGAGGAAGAAGAGGACAGCGATTAGGAAGGAATAATGCTGACAGTATGAGCATTATCAGCTTGTTGAATAGACGCCCTGCGGTTGTATGGTGGACAGCTGAAGTCACAAGTTCCTGTCGTCCCTCCAAAGTCGCGCCTGGAGGATTGAATCTTTTGCGCATGCGAATCGGTTCTCGTTGCATGAGGGTTTGTGCTGTGGTCAAATCTGGAGCAATAAGAGCATGAGGACTTCTTCTAGAGCCGAATTGAAGCACAAGTTGATTGGTTCGTCATGCCACAGACGATCACATCTCGTCTCAACACCGTTTAGAGGACCGTGGTCTGTTAATTGTATCATGTACCTAGGCAAGTTTGACCAATCAACTGAGACAACATGTCTACATGCATGCTTTTGTAGTCCGCACGTTCAATGCGGCCTAACCACTCCTTAGTATATCGGTATTGCATGCGACTACTCGTCAATCACAGAAAGCTTCGATAGAGACCGTACATTCACGCTGCCTTGCGCTCCATGGCTTGGGCAATGGACTATATATGTACTCGGCGGAATGAGTTCGCATTGCAACGACCGTATGAGCTCCGGTTGTTTTGACATGGAACATTCTAGATTCTAGTACTTCAATGCGTTTCAGACGGGCTCAGGTATGGGTTCCAATCGGCTGCGCATATCAACCATCAAAGTGTGCACATGCGGGCCAGTGAGTTTGACGGTCCTAGTTGGAGGGCTAGCTGGACCGCCTTGAAAGCTCCCAGGGCCACAGTGACCGATCTGGTTCCGACTCCCGAGTCGGCTTTTGCAGTGGGGGGCCCGCGAGTGCGCGCCTTCTTCGTGGCGGGCCACTGCATGATTTCAAGTTAGTTAGGCATGCCTGTTCCGCCCAACCCAATGACCGAAATCCGTTTGAGTATGTTGGGAAGGCACCGGACTTCCCTTCCCCTGTCATTTTGAAGTTTGAGGAATCCAAATAGTAAATACTAAATAGTGCTCAGTATTAGCACGGTGCACCAGTGGCTGAGCATTGAATGGCATAGGTAACGAGCTGCGCTGCTTGCTGGACAAATCAAGCGCCTCGTCTGCTAGGCCTGCTTAAAACAATGGCATCCACATTTGCATTGCACAGCAAAGCCGGAGCCTGCTGGTGGGCCAGAAAGTTGTCGAGTTTGGGTGGTGGTGGTGGTGCTTCGGGTGCAGCAGCCCAAAATGTGCGGCCCATGCTTGTTGTCAGATCAAGTAGCCACGTGCGGCAGAACGGGATTGGCTGTGTTGTGAATTGCAAAACCCCCATTGTGAGCGGTGGACGGGGAAGGGCTGTGATATCAGTAGATGAAGACCAGTTTTTCCCCGCTGCAGTAGCAGTATCTGGTGGGCAGTTGGTTCGGAGAAGGGCGCAAGCTGCTGCAAAGGGGGCCGCTGAAATGCCTGGTGTAGAATCTGCCGGTATTGAAAAGAGGACGTCGGTAAACCAAAGCAAATTGTGTCCAGAGTGTCAGCATTCCAAGCTGTTGATAGACTTTGAAAAGACAGTCACGAGCATGGATGGGCGCACTGACTTGTGCCGAGCGTGCATGGCTGTGTTCCGGGCGAAAAGCATGCAGAAAGAGCTGCATCACTTAGGGCTGAGTGTGGCAGAGGCGTGGGAGCGGGCCAAAGCTTGTGCAAAATGTGGGCTTTCAAAGGAACTAAGGGACTTCGCACGAAATTCTGGGCGCAAGGATCAGACGCAAGGTTACTGCAGGGCCTGCCAGTCTGCATCGCAAGCTGCTTTGTTGCGGTCAGCTCCAACGGTTCAGCCAATGCGGTGCCGCCGTTGTGAGGAGGTCAAAGATGCTGATGAGTTCAGTATACATCCAAGAAGTCCACTTGGGCGTCAAAGTGATTGCAAAAGTTGCGACAAGGCCAGGTTGGTGCAGATCAGGCAGAGAAGGAGGAGTGAAAAAGTTCACCTTCCAAGGAGGGCAAAGAAGTGTATTGCCTGCGGCAAGCAGAAACAAGCATGCGAGTTTTACGCCAATACTGTAGCATTGGATGGGCTGGCAAATGCATGTAGCTCATGTTCGCGCGCTGCTGAGAAGAAGCGTTACAAGGTGCACAAGCAGAGTGGGTTACAGAAGCAGGCGTCAACAGAGCGATGATGTTTGGGAGCTCTCGCTCTCTTAACTCAGATAATGCTTCCGGCTTGGAGCAAGTGATTCTCCAGGGCTCGGGCGGAATGCCCAGAAGTTTCTGGGCCTGGCCGGCGTGAATGATCAAAGTGCCTACTCCATAGGAGAGCCCACTTTCTTTGAGGTTTGCACTCTAGCTGCCGGGTGCGAGCGAGCTGTTGAACGAGGTGTCCCCTTGGGATATCACTGGGCGTCTCAGGTGAGCAACGTACTCGGGAAAGACTTCACGTTTCTTCCCCCTCTTTGTTTCTTCAGATTCAGCTCATACTGCTGATGTTTTCAAACTCTAAGGGCTTGCCAATTGACAACAACTGTAGTAACAGTCGTCTCGGTCAATGATGCAGTTTTATTGGTTGACCAAAGGTTCTAGGGGTTTGTGAGAAATAGCTCCAGTCCTTACACGACGTGACAGCCACTCCTTTGGAATCGTGAGCCATAGTTGGTTTCTTCCGAGTTCCAGTTCAGGTATGCCGTTGCGTGCGCAGCGCTTTGCGTGCCGCTGCCACAGCGGAACTGCGCAATGCCTCTGTCACTATCAGCCCCGGACTTTGGACGATGTAAATTTCGATGGTTTTCTTGAATAGAGGTCCGGCATACTCTGTTGCATGCACAGACCAGTGCACAGAGAGCATGCCGTAGAAGAAGTGAGGCACACAGAGACGCAAGCCTTTTCGGGTCACTGAGGAAACCGTCTGGAGCTTCCCTTGCAGTTGGGCTATCTTTCCTGCACTTAACAACGTTCCCTTTTGTTTTCCATTTCAGCTGCGGTTTACCCTGGTGCGAACCGCTTTGGCCTGAAGGAGTCAAGACAGCGTCGGCATCTGCGCTCTCCGTGACAGCAGTGGCTGTTGCAGCGGTGGCCAGCGCCGCGCCTAGTTCGTCCTAGGCAGACCTTGGCAGCAGCCCCGACCGAATCAAGTTCTCTCCGCAGGTCAGAGGAAGCCACAAATCAAGCTTGTTGCTTTGCGGCTGACCTTTCTGTGCTATGATCGGGTTAAGGCCGCACAGCGAAGTGACGCCGGAATCCACTAAAATCTGAACTGAGTTGAAATTCTAGTCAGGCAGCTATGTGCATAGACTCACGACCCTATTCCTCTCGAGAAGTGCGCCTTGAAAGGCAACCCCATCTATGTCGAATGGCGAGCTTCGCAGCGGCCAGCTTCAGCACCCTCTCGAGCTTCTGTTTCATTTTCAAGGCACATTTGCTTCTGGCATTTTGTCGCTGCTCTCGGTTTTTTGATCTCACTTCCTCTTGTACAGGAGCATGCTGTTGCGGGCGACTCTGTGTTGAACCTGTACGACCCGATCCGCCAGCCGCTTCCAGGCGCTCCTTCCGCAGTTTGTTCGGAGGCACAACAGAACACCTTTTCTCACACACCATCGCCGCAGTCCCGGGCCTGCGGGAGCTTCCTCTTCAAGACGATAGCGCGGCTGCTCTTTTCCACCCAAGCGTAAGCACAGCCGCCGCTTTGGCGGTCACTCCTTGTTTTATGTACGTTGCCGTCTGGCTTTATGTTCTATCATGCTGAGACCACCTTCAACTTGTCTTGCGTCTTGGGCTGCATGTCGGTGTTTTTAAACTTTTAATCAAGTCCAGACACTGTGGTTTGGAGAGTATGGGGGAGAGTATGGGGGTTACAAGATTGATGCACCACTTGTCATGTCCAACGATGCACTTCTTCGTCGGATAAAAGGTCTTGGAAATCTTTCTAAAAAGCCTGCGGTCTAGACCTTTCTTCCTGGGCACACGTTCAACGTAGTCCAACAGAGCGCTTAGTAATTGCTTGCCTTTTTCCGCTAATTTTTACTGTGCCTGGTCAGCCAATTTGTGTCGCATCCGGCAGTGATTAAGCCTAACGACACTCTTAGTTTCGCATCATTTAGTCGTAAGCCTAGCAATACTCTTGAGAAATCAACGCGGCATAAGGTGCCCTCCTTCAAAACAGCCTTCTCTTTTGAAAGACCCAATCTTGCTTTCGGTTCAACTAGGCGTTTTCGACACTGTCGTTTGACCTTGTCCGTCACAGAAGTGCGTTTGGCTCCGATGTTTCTGTTCCATGTGCATCAGATCTTACAGCTTCTTCATAGCAAACCAACGGCTTAACAACGGTTGTGAATTCATATTTTTTCGCAGTCTATGAGCACAGAAACGTTGATCAGACCAAGCCTTCCGAGAGAATAAATTTGGCTTGACGAAAGCTCCCATACAGATGCAGGAGTTTTTGTTTCAGCAGGTTGGGAGAAGAAGCCTTCTGGGTGAAAGCTTTCGCTGCGCATTGAATATTCGGATGGTCGCCTATTTCCAGTTCGCAGGACACGAGATTGGGCGACCAGCTGTCGACCCCTGGCGGCGGGCATCTTCACGGTTGAAGACCAACAGTCTTGTGCCGAAGGGAATCGTAAGCGCATACGTCTCCTCTCACCTTCGTTTTGCGCCTCTACTTCTTTCTCGGTCGTCATGAACCTGGCTGGTCGTTCGTATAATTCTTATGGCGTCTCCAAAACCTAGCAGGTGTTAAGAGTTTCTTAAAGAAAAAGACAGAAGGAGAAATGTCCACTGCCAACCAGGTTGGAGTATCTCGAGCAACCGTGTATGTTGACCTGCGTGTGCGATCTGGACTAAGTGTTTGGATTTAACAGCGATGCAATGGTTGCTTTCTTTGTACATGACCTCGTGGGAAGCACCACTTGTGAAGACAGCATCTTTTAGACCTCAGGATCGATCAGAGTGTCCTCTTCGTGGTCTCCGTGTGTTTGCAGCAAATTGCTGATCTCTCTTCCCGTGTTGATACGCTTTCAGAGGTCTTCTTCAGGATTGTTGGTGTCCTACCTTCCCTTCCTGCCAGATTGGCAGTCTCTTTTACTGTGGCCGCTTCTTAAAAGCTTCGATTACTGGGTGTTGTTTTTTATCACTTCAAACCGTGTGGGCTGTTATTTAAGTGTTAAAGGACTGTTCGTCTCCTGTTTGCAGTGTATCATTGTTTTGGCCATCCACTCGTTCTCAGCAGTGGGCTCTGACTATCGACCCAAATACTGTCTGCTCAATGTACTCCGACAGAACTGTGCTTCTCAGTGATTCGCTTACTCGCTACTTGCCCTCTGTGTCTCCGCAGGTTCTCCGTGGCCCCTATCATAAATGCGTCACATGCTCGACCACGTCACGACCGCCGATCTGTCCTTGAGTTCTGCTCAATCCTCAGGTCAGTTCGCTTTGCCACGTGGCATCCTTTGCGCGAGTCATCTCGGCCTACATCCTAGCTTGTTCCTTTCTTGTAACCTCGACTTCGCCGCTTTCTTGTGGACGGAAACGGACAGGACTTTAAGGGTCAAGGTGTATGGAGTAACTTAACAGGTTCCTAGCAATTCGAGACGAGCTCGAAGGAAAGATATGGCAGTAGCTTTTCGGCTCTCGACAATAGCCGAGTTGGAGATATCTGACGCCGAAGCATTTTCAGTTTAAACTTGGATTCAACAGGTCCGAACGAAGCTGCTTTTCAACGTACGTCCCTCGCATTTTGCGTCATAGATATGATTTCGGACTTAGCTTTCACTCTATCTACTTGTGAAGTCACCTCTGCCCGTCTATCTGCATGCAGAATCCTACTGCCGGACCAACAAGAGTTCTGGAATCCGCTTCTAGCCTCTTCCTTGTGACGTCACCTCGGCCCGTCTGATTCCTTTGCAGAGTCCTGGATCGGGTCACTACATACGCCCGAAGTCCAGCTTCTCTGCGTGACGTCACCTCTGTCCGTTTCTTCTCTTCGCAGAGGACGATAAGGCCCCTGTCGAGGAGCAGGCTGCGGCCGACAAGGGGCGCTACACGGAAGCCCTGCGCAATACGAAAAGAACAAGAAGCAAGAGCCCGCGCCGGTGGAGGGATCCGATGAAGAAGAGGAAGAAGACCACTGCGATCAGGAAGAAATATTGCTGACAGTATGAGCACTATCAGCTTGTGGATCTGACGCCCTGCGGTTGTACGTTTGGACAGCTAATATCTCGAGTACTTGCCCTTCAATCAAGTCGCGCCCGGAGGATTGATACTTTTTGCATGCGATTCGGATTCTTACTGCATGGGGTTCTTGTGTGTTCTACGTCCTGGGCGACGAGAGCCTTGGGAGTTCTATCAGAGCTAAACTGAAGCACAATCTGTTTGGTACGTCATGCTGCAGAGGGTGCACGTCTCGCCTTGACACTGTTTGTCAAGTCGCCGATTGAAAGACCGTGGTCGTCCATGCTAAGTAGCTTGGGCAGTCGCTTTTGCCAGTTTCTAAGCAACATTTCTGGGTGCACGCTATTGTGGTATGCATGTTCAATTGAGCATACGCACTTCCGAGCTTTCCAATCAGAACTTTGTCGCGTGCAACTATACCCCTCAAGTATAAAGAAGTTTCCATAAAGCCAGATGCGCTGCATGGCCAGGGCGATGGACTATCTGAGGACAGAATGAATATGCATCATTGACCACATAAGCTCGGACGGTCATATTGGCCCATAGATCCTACATTCTGAGCTCTGCTTGCCATCAGATCGATGGGCTCATGCTGCAACTATATATGAGGGCGGCTCCAATGGGCTGCGCATATCTAACCAGATCGATTGAGGTGTTTAAGTTATAGAAAGGAGCTGCACAATGCAACCGAAATCAATATATACTAGCTACTTTCTCGGAAACACTGCATATGGTCACCGGACATGGACGATCCAACCGGGTGGATTGCAAGGCTGTAATAGGTACGTATTGCCTTGATGCAATATATTCCGACCTGCATGGCAAAAGAACAACGGATCAGAACCGCACACTTTTGGTCAACTGCCGTGTGGGCAGTTGACAATGGTTGTGCCAGCCGAGAGACGGACTGCAGTTAAAATGGCGATCGATAGAGCTAGCGACGAGCTAGCCCTCGTGCATGCAGATTAGGGAGCCCCTTGAGAATCTCTTAGGAATCTGCCACAGCTGAGACGTCCATGGTTGCCGGCATTGATTTTGGGTCGGCATATGTGGTTGACAACGTTGCACATTTCCGAAACCCATCGTACGACTTGAAGGGCTGGATTTGAAAACCTTCCCACACCGATCAACGGTTCCGATCTTTCGTAGTCGGACCCACGAGTGCTCCTACTTCGTAGGTCTGGACTCTGGAGTGGTGTATGCATTCCGCCGCAACACACTGACCGGAATCCGTCAGTATTTTTGGAATGCACCAGACCTCTCGTCTTTGAAGTCCGAAGCTTCTCTAGAGTCTAGGCTGTACATTGTCACATCAGCAGCACGAGCTAGGCTGCTTGCCAAGCAAGTCAAGCGCCACGTCTGCGGGTCTGGTGAAAACAACGGCATTTGCAAGTGGGGTGCACAGCAAAGCTGCAGCCTGCGGGTGGGCAAACAAGCTGTCGAGTTTGGATGGTGGTATTTCGGGCGCAGCAGCCCAGAATGTGCGGCCCATGCTTCTTGTCTCATCAAGTAGCCACAATGCAGTCGGCTGCATTTTGAACCGTAAGACACCCGTTTTGGGCGGTGGAAGGGGTGCGATACGAAGGGCTGTGATATCAGTAGATAAGGACCAGTTTTTCTCCGCTGCAGTAGCTATATCTGGTGGGCAGTTGATTCGGAAAAGGGCGCAAGCCGCTGCAAAGGGGGCCGGTGAAGTGCCTGGTGTACAATTAGCTGCCGGTATTGAAAAGAGTACGTCGGAAAATCAATGCAAAATATGCCCAGAGTGTGAGCATTCCAAGCTGTTGATAGATTTTGAAAAGACAGTCACGAGCGTGGACGGGCGGACTGACCTGTGCCGCGCGTGCATGGCTGTCTTTCGGGCGAAAAGCATGCAGAAAGAGCTGCATCACTTGGGGATGAGTGTGACAGAGGCATGGGAGAGGGCCAAGGCTTGTAAGAAGTGTGGGCTCATAAAGGAGCTGAGGGATTTTGCCAGGTCTTCTACGCGTAAGGATCAGACGCACTCTTACTGCCGGGCCTGCCTCTCGGCGTGGCATGCTACTCGGCCGCGGTCAGCCCCAACAGACCAACCGTTGCAGTGCAACCATTGTGGGGAAGTCAGAGCTGCTGATTGGTTCGATCTGAATCCAAGGAATTCAACTGGGCGTCATGAAATCTGCAAAGTTTGCAAGTATGAGAAAAAAACCCTCGGGAGACAGAAAAGGAGGAAGACAGGGGTCTATCTTCCAAGGATACGAAAGAGATGCAATGCCTGCGGCGAGCAAAAACGGGCGTGCGAATTCTACCTTGACAGTGCAGCCGTGGATGGGCTATTGAATCAATGCAGCTCATGTGTGCAAGTTGCAGAGCGGAAGCGTTACGAGTTGCGCAAGCAACGGGGGGTGCAGAAAGGCAGGCTTCAGCAGAGTGATGGTGTTTGAGAGCTTGGGCTCTTTTGCCTCATCCTAGTTGGAGCAAGTGGATCCCCAGGGCCTTTCACTCATGCTGCAATCAAATACAGCGCCCGCTCTGTCTACGGGCTACTGCAGGTTTGCAAACTGGTCTAGCTGGCAGGTGGAAGCGGTTGTGAGAAGTGTATATGGGGGTGGAGGGAACATCAGGAGGCGCGTCAATGATGGCTGCACAACTAGAGTGGGATAAGATGTTTACGTTACAGGGCGGCGAAGAATATGTCGGAGGGGGGGGGTCCAGGAGGGGACTCGGGGGGTGGCGGAACGCTCACTAATAGGGGCTGATCGGGCGGGAGAGTTGAGGGGGGGGGGTGTCTGAGCAAGGTGTCCTTCGCCGAGGTAGGAGTTTGCAGCACTCTTGCTCAAGTATCGTTTATGGCCTGGCGCTGCAAATATGGAACATATGTCTTAACCACACCACTAGTCTGAGTACTCTTTAAGTAACCCACTTAGTAACCGACTGCTCTTGCGGAACCTGGTTTGGCAGGCACTGGGCAGCAGCTTGGGTGCTTGGCATAGGGCAGGGGTCGCTGTTCATGACACTACATTGCAGCTGGTTGAGCCGTTGAAGATGGCCGCCTGGCCGAATGTCAATGCGGTGTTCTGCTGAAACATCGTCAGCGCCTTGTACAGGTTGGTCATCGCGTCGTTGGCCTCAGACGTGCCGAAGTCTCGCGAGCTTTACTAACAGGGCGATGCCCTGAAACATTATCGAGGTGTTTCGGGTGAGCAGGGAATTTGGAAAAGGACTGAGAAGGTGATTGCTTCTCCCTTTTCTTGTCTCTTCATAACTTCAATCGTCTCCTGACACTGTAGCTTGGAAAGTATAGGGGTTACAGAATGATGCACCAGTTGTCATGTCCAACTTTTTCATCGTATGAAAGGTCTTTACTAGTTATCTTTAAAAAGTGGCTGCGGTTTGAATATTTCTTCCTGGGCACACGTTCAATGTAGTCCAATAGAACGATGATCGATTGCTTGCTTTTCTCCGCTATGTTCTTCTGTTTCTTTTCAGCCACTGTTCTGTTGCATCCGTCGTTCTCTGAGCCCAACAACGCTCCAGAGGGGCCAATGCGACAGAAGACGCCTTCTTTTCAGAATTGGCATTCTATCGATAATGTTCAATTTTGCCCTTGATTCAATCCGACCCAAATTTCGACACTGTCGTTTGCCCTTGTCCTTCCCGGAAGTGCGTTTGTCTCGTGCGAAGTTTCAGTTCCACGTGCATCAGGTGTTTGGAGTTTCTTAAAGCAAACGGCTTTACGGCTGTCATTTTTTATGATCTTTGCTGCCTTTAAGCACAGAAACATATGCCACACCAAGCAGTCCGAGAGAATGTTTCTGACTGGATGGGAGCTCTAATTTAGATGCAGGAGCTTGAGTTTCAGCAGGTTGAAGAAAGAAGCTTCTGGTCGACAGGTTTCGCTGTGCACTCAGCGTTCTGAAGGTTAAGAAGGTCGCCTTTTTCTCGACTTGCAGGACACGGGATTGGGGCGACCAGCTGTCGGCCCCTGGCGGGGGGCGTCTTTACGTTAGATAACAGCGAAGACCGACAGCCTCGTGCCAAAGGGGGAACGTAAGCGCGGACGTCTTCTTTGACCCTCGTTTCGCACCTTTATTCGATTCCCGGACGTCTGCAATTCTTGCCCCGGTGTCCGAATCATTCTTATAGCGTCTTCGAAAATTCATCAGGCGGTCAAGACCTTGTTGAATACAAAGACAAAAAATACGAGTCCGCTGCCAACTTTGGAAGGTTTCAAGCAAGCGTGTATGTTGACCTGCGATTGCGATCTGGGCCATGTTATTGGATTCATAGAACTGATGTAAACGGTTAATTTCGTTGTACATGATCTCGTGGGAAGCGCAGAGGGCACCACTTGTGGGCAAAGCACCATTTCGCCGACCTCAGAATCGCCCGGAGTTTCCTGTTCGTGGCCTCTTTTTGTTGTTGTTTTGTCTTCCCGTGTTGGCGACGTTCAGAGGTCTTCTTTGGGCCTTGCCACTGTCCCACCTTTACTTCCTGTTTGTTTTACTGTGGCTGCTTCCCAGAGCTCCAATCACTGGGTGTTCTCTTTGACCACTTCAAACCGTGCGGGCTGCTACTCAACTGTTGGAGGGAACTTTTGCCTCCTTGTTGCAGTCTGTCATTGTTTTGAACACCCACTCGTTTTGCAGTCGGCTCTGACTATCAACCCACAGACTGTCTGTTCAAGTTGCTGCAACGAGACTTTGCTTTTAGTGCTTCGCTCACTTGGTGCCGGCCCCTGTTTCTCCGCAGGTTATCCGTGGCCCCTTCCATGAATGCGTCCTCATGCTCGACCACGTCATAACCGCCGATCTGCCCGCGACTGCTGATCAATACTCAGGTCAGGCCGCTAAGTTGCCACGTGGCACTGCCCTTCGTGGTTAATTCGGTCTCTTAGCTGGCTTGTTGCTTTGCTCGCAAGTTTTAGTTGCCACTTTCTTGAGGACGATCTGTCAAGCACAGTTTAGAAAGCGATCATGATTTTCCAAGACTCAAAAATCGCATGGAGTAGATTGATAGGGCGGATGGCAACTTGACACGAGCTCAAAGGAAGAGATCAGGGCAGTAGCTTCTCGTCCCTTGGCAATACCCTAGTCGGAGATGTTTGACGCCAAAGCGCGTACAGTTCATATTTGAGACCGACGGGATCCCGATCAAGCTGAAATTTACCTTCAAATCCCTCGCATTCTACGCGGTAGGTGTGATCCCACATGTAGGCGAAGGTAGCTCTAACTCTTGTGACATTACCGCTGCCCGTCTATGCCCTCGCAGAGACCTGGATTCGGTGCACATGAGTGAAAGGTCCGCTTCTTGCTTATGACCCGTAACGTCACCTTTGCCCGGCTGATTCCTTCACATTGTCCTGCATCTCATCCTACATACGCCCGAAATCCACTGTCAGCTTATCTATATGACGTCAGCTCTGACCGTCTGTTTTTCTCGCAGAGAACGATAAGGCCCTTACTACGAAGAGCAGGCCGCGGCTGAGGATGGCCGCTTCAAGGAGGCCGTGCCAGTACGTCAATGACAAGAAGCAAGGGCCGGCGCCGATTGAGGAATTAGAGGGAGGAAAGAAAGATTTGGACAGCGACTTAACAGACACGTGACTGACCGTACGAACGCTAAATCAGCCTGTTGATTGCCACCCTGCTGATCGCATGAGACACTAGTCTCGACCATTGAGTCGTCTTTCGGACGTTGGGTCCGGCAATCTGAACTGGGTTGCATGCGAATCGGGTCCTCGAATGTATGAGGTTCTTGTATTGATATTACGAGCATCGTTCGTGCAACCTCGATTCAGGCGTGCTAAGTTCCCCGCTGAGGTTGATCGTGCAGCTAGGCTTCTTTCAGCTCTCAAAGGGCTCATGATGCTCTCATGGTTCCAGGCAAACAAGCGATTGCAATCTGATGGGACTGAATGAACGTAGTTCAGTTGGATCAATTCAAATATAGCTCATCTCGATGAGTTCACCGATTAATGGTGTCGATTATTGAAACCGGACACTGAGAGGCGAGAGCTGGACGGCGGCTCATACGTGGCAGTAAATTGATCGGTGGCACATGATCCGCAGACCGGGATTTGGGCTGTTCAAAGATCGAACACCTAACGTGTGCATGCAAGGATGAGATACCGGCCCTGACTCGAGCAGTTTCTTATTCAATGTGGCCGTGATTGGATAACACTCATGCAAACTAGCCTCAGTAAGGCTGCATTTGTAAAGCTGCCCGCCCGCGTCGACACTTTGCGACCGGTCGAAGACTCGGAGCCTAAACAGATTTCCAGATCGTGAATAGCTAGGGCAGCCGCACCGCGGGCCGGCTCCGTCCTGTCAATCACTAGATTGCCCTTGCACGTACTGCCATATACATAGCATCTTCGTTTTCTCAATGGGCAGATTGGATGGAGTATATTTGAAAACGGTCGGATGGAACAACTCAGGGCGACCCCTTTCCAGCTGACCACCAGATGCATGGCCGGGCCTACTCATTATAACTTCGAAATCGATCTAGTAAACTCAAATCCAATCAACTTCGAGTGACGTGATTAGGGCGGTACAGTATCTGAGCCGTCGTAGGTCTCGCATTAGCCCGTCAACACCAATCAGATCTGAAGATCCGCGTCAGAATGTTCAACGCGTCAATGCATCTGCTTTCTCTGGCCTATTCCTTCTGCAAACTATCGTTTGAGTAGCGCAAATTTTCCGCTACCTCTCGTTTAATGTCAAACGACGGAAGCTACCCAACTTTACCGATTTTTCCGTCTTCTTTGAGCGTGCCAGGCTTGAAAAAAGCGTAACACTGGCCCGGGCTCATAAGTTATGCTATCAAATCACCACCCGTACAGTCTCGCAATCATCGCCCGTGCAGTCTGTACAACCCATCACGACAAGTCCTAGGTACACCAAAATCGCGGGCCCCTGGCAATATGCCTTCGCGCCCGACCAGAGACAATTATGCACACGTGAACAACCTACCCAAGCTAACGCGAACAACCTACCCAAGCTTACACTTCCACTTGATAGTGCATCTACGTCCTCCGCCCAGAATTCTTTCCAACTCCGCAACACGTGCTTACATACAATGCAGCGATTTCCCACCAACGAAACACGTTTTCAGCGCGCCCCGCTCTTATTGCATCTGCGGCCCACCGCCCACCAATTTATTCACACCGCTCTGACGTCACGCTGACTGCAGCGTGAACGCGCGCACGTAATCGACGACGAACGCGTTCTTGTCGGGGTCCTTGAGATCCGCGACGGCGGGGAGTCCCTCCGAGCTGGACACACGCAGATCGCCACATTTTCAATAAATTCAAAGGAAGATATCAGTAAGCCAGGATAATAATAAGCTCCGACCAACATTGAAAATCCTAACCCAAAAATGTACCTGCTCCGCACCCATACCCACCCTGACCACCAAACTAACCCTACCCGTCCCAGTGCGGTTACCTTATCTCGGCTTGTTATCTTTCTTGAGTTCAATACATTTTCAGAATGGCAAAACACGCGCGAAGTGAACTTCAGATCGATTGGTCTGTCACTCAGGGAGGCAGTCTGCAGTGTTTACGCTCGGCTGGATCGGAGCAACCAAAACCCGGTGTCCAAGGCCACCGAAGAGCGATCGGACGGCTCAGAAGCTCTGAAAGGGGTGTTACCACCCCTTTCGACGGTGCCGGACTTCGAAGGGCCTGTCTCGAATGCGGCGGTCTACCTGAAAACCTCGGTGTCGAGGAAAAGGTACGACTGCTCGGAGAAGGGCCCCGGGGGAGTGGTTTGCCACGCCAGCTGTCCGTCGAAGTAGAAGAGCAGCGTGTTGGCGTCCTTCCACCAGACGCCGTACGTGTGGAAGTCGCCGGACGTGAGCGTTCCGGCCGGAAGGCGGTAGTTGTATGGGAGGGCGAAGTCCGGCGTGCTCGGGGAGATGTTGTCCGGGTACTGTGAGGTAAAAGAGAACGGAAAGAGTCGGTGACTTTCTTTTCTTTTGCTGGCGACAAAAGATTTGCGAATCAGAGCACGTTGAGTGGAGCTTACAAGGACCCAGAATTCGTTTCAATCGAAAAGGCTGCGGATCCGATCATGCCAGCGTGGCAGGTCAACCCTGAGTACCGTCGTTTCAGACTTTGATACGATTTTCAAACGGGGTAACCGGTGCTAAGCTCGCAGAGTTGAGTCTTAAGACTTTTCCGGTCAACGGAAGTCCTTTAGCGGAAGGAAAATCTGAAGCATACGACATCGGATCAGAATACATGACGTGTCTTTCGGAGACAAAGTCGTATTTTCGAGAGACAAACGAAGGGTGCCAGAATGGAAATGATAGCAAAGGGACGAGTGCCTTGAAGACAAACGGCGGGTCGATTGGCGCGGCATATCCAACTCAACTTGCCCCAATCAAGCATCTGGCCGTCTCTTTCGTTTCCGGACACAAGCAATGGAAAGGATGTGCGCTCGGAATGCGACGAAAGAAAACGAAGCGCTGAGGGGAAGATTTGTTGCGCTACTCAGACGTAGCACGTTTCGAACTCAGTTTTCAGAAACAGTTCTACAAGAACTTCCAGGTCTTCCAATGAGGTGTTCCGATTGTCAAGGCCGTCAGCTCAGAACCTCATAGAAGGAAATCAATCCGATATTCAACGGCTTAAAGCACTCAAAAACGAGGGAGAGCCCGGCGCGCTCACGTAGTGTGTGTTGATGTTCATGTAGCGGCTGCGGTAGTTGCTCGCGACGCCCACCGTTTCGATGACGTCAATCTCCGTCCGCTGCGACTGGAACCAGAACGATGACGTCATCTGCATGTTGGACGCCTTGAAGCGGCACTCGTAGTACCCATACCCCGCGATCGCCGCGTTGGACGAGATAACCGCGGAGCTAACCCAGGGGTCGTTGTACGGGTCGTTAACCTGGTCAACGCTGCTAACCGTGGTGGTTGACGTCAACCTGGCGACACCCCCCCCCACGGCGACGTTCGCCGGGTCGAACTGACTGGGCAGGCGGCCCGACCAGTACGGGTGGGTCGCCCGCCACTTGCTGGTGTCAAGTTCGTCGCCGTTAAACTCGTCGGTTAGCGCCGGGTTAACGACCCAGCGATAACCCGACGGCGCGGCGGGGAGGTTGGTACCGGAGGGGATAGCCGATGCAGTTAGTGGAGGAGGAGTGGCCGGGGCAGTGGTCGGGGAAGGGGTGGCCGGCGGTTTTGTTGGAGAAGGAGTGGTTGGGGGGTCCGTCGGGGAAGAGGGTGACCGGCGGACTGGTCGGGCTAAGGGGTGGCTGGGGGGGGGGGGGTCGGGGCAGGAGTGGTCGGGAAATTGGTTGGGGAAGGAGTGGCCGGGGCATCCGTCGGGGAGGGAGCGGCCGGAGGATTGGTCGGAGAAGGTGTGGCCGGGGCAGAAGTCGGAGAAGGCGTGGCCGGGGAATCCGTTGGGGAGGGAGTGACCGGCGGGTCGGTCGAGGGAATGGTCGGAGAAGGAGTGTCTGGAGGGTTTGTTGGGGCAGGCGTGGCGGGGGCAGTAGTCGGAGAAGGAGTGACCGGGGCATCGGTCGGCGAAGGAGTGACCGGGCGAAGGGTTGGGGATGATGTGATAGAAGCGGGCGCCGCGAGCGCGGCCGCGGGGCCGCCCGCGCAGCTCGCGAACGGCGCCGCGTTGGGCCCGCACGTCCCGGGGCAACACGCCATGTTCTGGCCGTCGAGGTTGTAGCACGGGTTTGGCGCCTGGGGGGGACACGTGCCGGTCGAAGAAGAAGAACCGGTAGGAGGAGGAGGAGACCCGCTAGCAGGAGAAGGAGACCCGGTCGGCGAAGAAACGGTCGGTGCAGGGGTGACGTCAGTGTCGCCCGCACACGTGGCGAGCGCGCCCCCGTTCGGGCCGCACCCCCCCGCGCAACACGCCATGCTCTGGCCGTTGAAGTTGTAGCACGGGTTGGGCGCGCCGGGGGGACACGTGGCGCCCGCCGGCACGGCGACCTTCCCGGCGGCCAGCTTGGGGACGGTGGCGTTGGCCACGTGGCAGGTGGCGATTGGGTCGTTGTCGGCGCCGCACGCGCTGGAGCAGCAGGTCATTTGGTCGCCGATGGCGTTGTAGCAGGTGCGGGTGTTGAGGGGGCAACGTTGGGGAGCCACGTGGGTGACGTTGTTGAAGGGGGGAACTGCATGAGGGACGTATTGCGAGGTTGACTTGTTGAGAGTTTTGAAAGAAGTGGAAGCTACGGAAGTGTCGAGATAAAAGCGGGCTGAAAACTTCAACGGATGCGTGCCGAAAGGCAAATGAATCTGGAGGAAGCTTTGAATGCATATCACGATCCACGCGCGCACTTTTAATTCGGCCGGGATCCTCGTGGCAGAAAGAATGAGCACTCTCGCGATCCTTCCATGAAAGCAGAAAATAAAGTCGGCTATTTCCAAAACAGTGAGAGAATGCTCATGCTCAAAAGATGGGCTCATTTCCGCTTGCAACGCTGCCGCCCAGATGGGAATCCGAACACTGCGGAGTTCGAATCGAGTACGAGTTCTATTAGCGTACCTGGAAACACATCATAACTCGACAACGTTCACCAGACATGCATTCTTGGGCCAGTTGCGGATCAAAAGCGCTCCTTTCCATGCATTCTTGGACTTTGAAAAGCGAACAGATGCTAAGACTGATTGCTTACCAACGTAGTCAACGTGACCGATGTGCCTGGCATCGATCGTCTGGTTGTCGTTCGCTGCACACGAAAGAGCGTGTCAGATAATGCTACGGCGATGAGGAGACCAAATCGGAAATCAAGCTGGTTGATTTCGAGACAAAGGATGCCGTACATTTTTACCTACTGATGAGAGAGATGAGCAGGGAAACTCCTTGGCGTGAGGAAGGCAGCGCGGAAGAAGCACGGTGAGGTCTTAGAAGACCTTGCAATGGAGACAGAGGCCTCGAACAAACAGCTTATGAACCTCGAGTCTGGATCCCCAAACACTATTCTCCTCGGGCATGATCACTGGATGAGTACTAAGTGCATGCGTTATGAAGACGCAAAGCGACACTTGGCGGAGGGAACATATTGCGAGGAATGAAGGTAAGCTAGGGGGCATGAAGGGCGCCAGAAAGGGAGGAGGACAGAAGGAATCCGCATGGGGGATTCCTTAAGGCAGGTTTGGCAGTTACTGAATGGTGGAATACCAGGAGCTGAGTAGGAAGTAAGGAGAGGCGTCGGAAGAAGGCAGTGGTGATGAGGCAATGGACAAGTGAAAGTAGGAGACGAACGAACGGAAACCAAAGGCGGGTTGGAAGCCAGAAGAATGAAATGGAAAAGAAAGGCAATAGACTAAGGACTGTGATAAGGCTAACACAAGGCCCTTTGCCCGATCGCCCATTGAACTTTGAGATGCAGGGGTGAAAGTTAGGGAGTAGTGGTGACTTTAGATTGTGTTCTCCCGACCCTCTCCGAAGGCCTCACCCCCCCTCTCAGCTTGTGGAAAAGCGCTCAAAGCCTGTCGACTCAAAAAGTACGAGACTAACTCAGAAGAGGGTGGGATCTGCCTTGTCCCGCACTAGAATTGAAGCCGGGGCTTGCACATGGGTCAAACATCTGAAGGCCCCCTCCCTTCCCCAGTTTAGGGCAACGCAGCCAGTCCCATGCAGCCCCCCGACTCGCTATCAAAACCCAATCCTCTGCTACGTCAAAGTGACCGTTTTATGAAAGGTTTGAAAATGGAACTTACTTTCTCCTCAGCATAGTTCCAGACAGTCACTCCATGAGACTGGCAATCAGCGCAAGCTGACTCTAAGGGGACTGCCACAAAAAGGACCCAGAATCCAGCAGACATAAAGTACCGTCTGAAGTTCTAAGCAATCCTTTGAAGCTTTTGAGTGACACATGCAGACCAGGATGATTTAGACCCTACGGATCCAATCTAAGAACTTAGGAACCAAAAGTGTTGACAAAAGGTTGGCTGCCAGCAACCGAGTCAGTGAGCGGTTTGTCTGGGACAGACATGGTTCAACAAATCACTGAAAACTGCAAGGTTTGCCTCCAAGTGTATGAAAAGGCTGAGAGGTCCTCAACCCACCAGGAGAGATGGTGACATTGTCAAGGTACACTCTACTCGTTTTTCCAGCAGTGAAGAAGGCAACGGCCAGCGTTTCGTTATCCGCAGTCGCCACAAAGGGTCCGGTGCGCATGCGTGAGCCAGGCACCACTGCCGTGATGACAGCTGTCGCGTCTACAGCGATCGCCAAGTTGGCGGAGGCGCCTGCGCTGGCAGTCATCCGCAGCGAAAGGATGTACGTGCTGCCTGTAGCATGGATGACTTGATCTGATTTCCCGCCCAATCTAGATGTTGTTGTAATCAATCAGCAACTGGATAGATATTGAGGTGATTTGTACAGTCTCAACTGGTTTTATCCAGATCCTGCCTTGGTGGTACTATACTGCATCCTGTCAACTCTGCTAGGAATCTGAAAAAGGGGTTTGGCTTTTAATGTAACTGGATGTACAAGCCACAGAAGATTGATGTAAGCTAAAAGCTTCCAAGTGCAGCTAGGCATTTGTCTGCTAGGAATTACTGGTGATTCATTCTAAGAGCTGATGTTGTGCCAGATCCAATGTGGTACAATGCTGATCATGAGATTAACTTTGCATGAGAACAAGGACCTTACTACAGCGCGCTTTCACCCGGCTTTCTGAAGAAGCCCATACTCCTCTAGCTAAGAATCTGAAGGAATGCAATCCGCCCCGTGCATTGATCAGCTCAATCCAGATCAGATCTGCGCCCATTGGGTGCCACGCACAATGTCCCAGACTCTACAATGCAGCATCTGCCGCGCACCCCAACCTTCCAAGGTTCAGACTTTGATGATCTGTCTAAGCTGAACATCCTTACATTCAACCCCGTGAACTCACCTGGAATCAGCCCAGTGACATTCTGCCTCAGGATGACGCCATCCTTGTGCACAGTCACTTGCACGCCATCTGGGGCGAGGCGCGCGGAACCTGGGGCGGGGCTTAGGCTCTTCCCGGGAAATGCTGTCCAGTTACCGGTGAGAAGAGCCACCGGGGAGCTTGTTGTAGAGCTGCCAATGACGAACTGCATTTGGATCAGCGCTAGGGTGGTGGCGAGCAAAGGCAGCAGGGGGGCTGAGCTGGGCGCCAAAGCCATATTGGGATTTGCTCCAATTCGGTTTCTGAGAAGTGGAAGGTGTCGTAAGATCACGACCTGAGGGAAGGGTGGAGCTAGAGAAGGGTGATCTGCAGATATTTGGATCCAGAAACGCGAAAACTTAGAAGCCCACAAGTCCTCAAATCCACTAATCACATCAATCAAATCAAATTCTGCAGTTGCAGGCCCTAGCGATGCTTGGCTTAAACTGATGCCAAGGCCGGCCGATCGCTAGGGCCTCATTGGCACAGTCTTACAGCCACAGTTGCAGCCGCGTTGAGCCTGACGTCCGCATGTCCGCAGGTGACACAGAGCGACCCCCATCGGCGCAGCGCAATGCATCAGAAGGCTGTCTCCTTCTCTCCACATAGATGATCGCCCAATGACTTCTGCGCATATGATGGAATGAGGTTCGATCGAAGCGCGCGGGTATGAAGAAAGACCGAGGAGCTGCCTTTTTCGAGGAGTCCCTCTGCCTTCCTTCCTGCTGGCAACGACGCTCGATCATCCTTCTGTAGGTCCTAGCACTGGCAGCGGCTGCAGTGCGAAGGGAGGCCATGAATCTTCATGAAAGGCTTGAAGCTTAGCTACCAGCCTACCAGTACGGCTCCGCTGTACTTATACGGTAGCTCGCGACGATCGGACCGGCCGTATGCTCGATGGAAAATCCCAGTGCCCGGTACAAGCCGGGGCGAGCTGCTGAAGGCTGCGTTCCTACGCCGCTGAAAGGATCAGTTGGCTTATTGCAGTTAATGCGATGTGGTATGGACCATTGTACCGGTAATATGTACTTTGGAGTCTGGACTTTCAGCTAGGTGGCAATATTCAAGGCATGGGCATTTGAGCACGCTGCTGGAAATTCGGTATACAGCTGGCGCGACGTTTTGCGATGTGACCGTCGGAATTTCCGAGCTTCCAGTTGAGCGACGGCCCGGTTCGCTTCCGAGAAAAACAAGGCTGAAATAATGGCGCTGATACGGGGATCATCCAAAGTTAGTGTCATATGATTTTGTCGTCAACAATTATTTGCAACGACAACTGGTATTTGGCATCAATTGTCCGCTTTCTCAGGCTGAGACCAAGTGCTCGAGCCTCGAGCATCGATGATCGCAGCCAAATCGGCGAGCATGGCCCCAGTCCGGCCGGTCGGTCAAACCGAACGGTGTTCCGCCCACGAAACCGTACAATCATAGCTGGTCAAAAGTGTCGGCCTAAACAAATCCGTACAATCATGATCGCAAGTCTCCGGAACAATGATAAGTTATGACCAGCCGCGAGGAACTCGTCATGCGAGAATCGAGAATCGAGATGCATTGCGCACTGCAGTACCGGCCTGAACAGTGAGCGGTCTCAAAGCCCAGTTTGACATGCTTTAAGATGTGACTAATAGTGGTCACTAGAGAGATATCCGACACAGCGTGACGTGATCATTACGCGTGTAGGTTGGGCAACAGTGTGGACTCTGGATCAGTCTGAGGGGACCCGCGTTATAGCCGATCGAGGACACCTTATTTGATTGCGTCAAATGCTCATGGCATCATGGCATGCCTTTCACCAAACATTAATCGTCGTTTACAAACACCCATTAGAATCGTCCGACCAACTAAAGCGGCCGAGCGAATTTATTGGAAACGTTCCTCTTCATGCTGTTCAATCTTACATGCTTCCCTTACTTGTTTAGTACGCGGCTCAGTGCGCTGTGCATTCGCAGTAGTAAGCATGCACAAATGGGTTTGCATGAAAAAGTCGACTACATCAGCGGCTGCGTGATTCACATGGCCAAACGGCCTCCAAATCTTAGGCACCTGAGACAATCGGAACGCCCTAAACGGGTGACAAGTGGATGCAAGATTGTCGCTAGAGACGAACAACAGAGGCGGCCAGCAAATCGCGTTGGCTTGATGTCCAAATGTTAGAGCGAATGTGAAACCATTGGCCAGCGTCCACGGCAACCGCCGGTTCGTTTCGAGCTTGTGCGATCCTTCTTTCCTTCTATTTCTAGCAATGAAACCTTACGAAATCGGCACTTGGCAGGTTTTGAAGCAGTCTTTTGAGACCAACACAGATATTGGAACAATTGCACCTAGAAACCTTAGTAAACGAGATAGAATTTCGCGAAACCTTTCAGAAACTCTAGAGCCGCCTCGATTGTCACCGCCCTTGCTGCTCGGGAAAGCGGTCGTATCCACTGGCGATCGTGATCAACCAGCGCTCGCGAGCACCGCAACGCTCGTAAACGCCGGAACACCGAGCAGCAAGGCCAGTGAAACTTAGAGACGCTCTCTCACTGACTTTCAAATCTCGTCACAAGCCCTTATGACCTCTATCGCCAACTCGTAAACTCGGACCGCTTCGCTCTTTACCTGCGCGAACTGGTCAGTCTCAGTTACTGGGATGCTTGCTCCGACGGGATACTTGTGTCTCGGCGACATTGTGGCTGGTGACCCCGCCCGAAGGGTCGCCAGATTAACGAGCCGCCGGGCGGCACAACTCTGGAAGCTTCGCATGACGGAGGATTCGGGTGATCCTCTGCCGTCCCCGTCGACCTGGTACAAAACGAGCAACCGTATTTGCACCATATGTTTTGACCGTCACCAGCTTAAATTGTTGAATTTCCCCACTTACGTTCCACGTCACCGCATGTTGGCAAAAGCGTCATGGTCACAGAATACTGTACCACGAACAAGAAAGCACTTCACAAACCTTTTCAGCAGATGAAGCAAACTCCTGACTCAGTCTGGTGGTAAGAGATCAGGAGGGCTCAACCCCGCTAAGTCATGCGAGAAGTCCCAGAAATAAGCTGGCCACAAGACCCGGCAAACTCTCAAGCCACTGGAGGTAACCAAACGCCTTAGGATGACGGGGAGCAACTCTCCGACCGACTGCGCTGCTTCCGAATGTTTTCCATGAGCTCTCTTGACCAGAAATGCCGGTCTCTGTTTCTCGCTACAGATGCTTTACAGCGACCGAGGTGCACCCCCGACCAAAGTCGCTCCTTTCCACAGCGTTATAGAAGCTGCTCTTGACCAAAAACCAGTATCTCAAGTCACGCGCTCTTTTTCCAGAGCGTTATAAAAGCTGCTCTTGACCAAGAACCAGTATCTCAAGTAGTGCTACAGTACTTACAGCAAAGTCTATCGCGCTGCTTCCTAGAGCGACAAGTGAGCTGTGCTGGGAATCAAAAGGGACGGCAAGGGACGTGAAGGAGCGGAGTCTAAGATGCTCACCCTGCGATTCGTCCGTTTGCTGACGGCCAAAGCGTACCGCTGCCAAGGGAAGACGCCGGCCCGTCCGGAACATGCAACGGAACTTGCAGCAGAACACCCACGGAAAGGGGACGGACGCGGACGGAACATGCACGGATCGTGGACGGTACACGGACGGAACGGGGATGGACGGGGACGGAACGGGGACGGAACGCGCACGGAACGCGGACGGAACGGGGACGGAACGAGGACGGAACGGGGGCGGTATGGCCCGGACAGAACATAAATGGCCGAATAAAATGGCCGGAAATGTGATCTGTAATCTGTGATAGCTAAGAATGATTTTGTGCAAGAGAAATTCGGAGACGTTAAAAGCTGAACTTTAAGACAGAGTGGTCAAGGCACCCAGGCCTCTTGTGAATCTCGCAAGAAAGGGGTGTTCCGCTTGAACAGTTCATCCCACCTACGGTCGAATCGTCGAAGGCCACAACTGAAGTGCTTTCAAATATCTGGCGAGTGTTGGAAGGTGGCAAGAATTGAATGAGAGGCCTTATTGGGCTGATAACAGTCCAGAAAATGTCAGCAACTTAGGAGAAAGCTGTAGACGCGCCTCAAATGTCGCCGCCCTTGCTGCTTCGGGGAACGGTCGGAACCGCCCAAGCTCGGAAGCGCAAACGGTCGGAACCGCCAAAGGACCCCCGTTGAGTTCAAGCAGCAAGGGCGGCGACATTTGAGGCGCTCCTCCACTCACCTGGTCGCCTTTGCGGGCTTCGTGTCCATCCGTTGCATAAGGTGACAAGTCAGCGTCCGATTGCTCTAATCGTTTGGCTCTTCACTCCGGCCTACCAAACGTCGGAATCTTGCTCGCAGAAAGTCGACGTCTTGGCGACACTTGGACTGGGGCTTCCGCTCGCATGTCGCCCGGACTCGCGGAATGCCAAACAGAGGCGGCTCTTGCGGCCGCAAAAACGCAGACTTCTGGCGCTCCCTTGCCGTTGGTATCAGCCTGAAAATGAGATGAGCACCTCAGTATCCGGGCTTTCAGCAGCGAGTCAAGCACCCCCTTACCTGAGTTTACTTCTATTGCACGCGAGTTTCTGTGACAGGAGCAACTTCTCCAGTTAGCGAAACAGGGACTGCTATCCTCCTCAGGAATCGCAAAGCATTCCCTCTTAAAGCCCTGCCCGCCAGAGCCAGT